GTTCGTTTTTGTTTTTAAGTTGACGAATTTGAGATTACATTCTAGTTTTTGACGTCTAGTTCTACCCTATAATCTCGTTAATCCTTGCCACAACTTTTTTGTTGGTAGTTATTTTGAAGATTTCGATAGAATGATGATTCGAGGTTTTTTCATTTTAATTCGCCTCCTTAAAAAATCGGCCACTAAAAACTATTTCCAATTTTAGAATTGATTTTCTCGCGAACCGCTGCTTTGATTTTGATGATCTTTTTCTGTAAATTGTAATTTATTGACAATGCTACTAGAAACTTTTATTCAGAGTTTTTTTTACCTATACGGGATTGAACGATGTGTGTGACCCCATTGAGCGACATCTTACTAATACGTATTTGATGCTGGGTTAAGCTCAGGCTGTGAGATATAGACGTGGAAGCTTGAATTCAGAGATTTCGCTGGCTCAAAAACAGTTAAGTGAACACATTCACATTGATATTAGCGTTGATTATCACTAATCTAAATAAAAGAAATGATAGAAAAATTGAAATTTGAAATTGAAATGTTGTTTAGAAAGGAACGTTAAAATCTCAAAACGGTGAGTTTGATGGAAATAAATTTTAGCTATCCTTTTTTTATGTGGCTCCCAAACTGAATTAACGGCTTTTTGAACTCTACGTGTACAACTTTAAAAACGTCATTTAAAAATTGGGCTTTGTTGACAATTAATTGGTTAATAATATATATTATATTGCACTACTGCTAAATGCTATTAATGTTGTCATCTTGGATTATGAAGATAATGTTATTTGATTTTGGGTTCAATATACATTGTTTGTTGCCAAGCTGCCCTTCGCCAAGTTAAAAATAAAGGCTGTGCTATTTTATTCTATTCTATACCTATACCAATCATCACTCCATCCATAGTCTTCAAAAAAGTAACGGTGCTAACAAAATGTGATGTGTGATGTAATAATTTTCCTACGCCCTGTGTAGCAATGAACTAAACAAGCTGGACATAACTTTCTTACCATTTTCCTTCCGTTTTATTATGATGAATTTGGCCCCGAAAGTGTCACGTATTCGCGACTTCTCCGCGAGTGTCATCAAGAAAAACCTGTCGTTAGTCAGTCGGTTTCTTAAAATCGACTAAGTATTTTTTAAGTACCTTTTACCGTCGTTCTCGAAAAACTTCTAGTTTCCCGCACGTAGTGATTTTTGTGTTTCGATAAATATTCACGAATTCAAACCGTTTGTTTCGTTTTTGGTGCGTCCAGCATCAAAGGGTGCGAATATCGGTCCCGTGTATACGTGCGTGACGCGCCCCACAGAGAAAAAGCGAAGGGGGACACGTCCCTATGATGGGGGCGACGCGGCGGTGATGAATCGATAAACTTTATGTTAAGTGCGTGATGCAGTTATGGGAAACAACAGTTCGGGTGCCGGGAAATCCAGGAGTCTGCCCACGTCTCCCGAAGTCAGACGGGCCAAGCTGTTAGTATTATACGGGGCGGTTTTGGTGAACAACGTGATTTTTTTTCGTTTTTTACTCGGATTAGAATTCAGTATAATAGACATCAAAATAAATAAGAACTAAAAGTTCAAATTTTCACGAAATTATATATTATGACATGACAATTGCTTCGACAACACCGTGTCTTTATCAAATGAGACATTTGATAAAGACACGGACAATTGTCATGTCATAATATATAATTTCGGGAAAATCTGAACTTTTAGTTTTTATTTATTTTGATAAATGGATTTTCATCAATTAAAAGCCACCTCAGTTCAATTTATAATAGATATGATAGAATCATTTAGTTTTAACAATTCTTCTGCAAGTGGCAAGCTCGTGTAGTATCTATCAGTGTATAAATGATATCCTCTTTATCCTGGGTTATTGTCTAATATTTTTTGACACAGATGTAACACTATCCTTATGCTTACAGGTAAATCTTCCGATGTCAAGCTTCCTTAGTACGGCAAAATTGAATAAACTCTTCTACTGTAGTATCTACTCACCTCTTCTGTGCTATTTTATGTCTAACGTAGTTATTTGTTTGTTTCACTATTTTTATTATTAGCTCATCGGTAAAAAAGAGCTCTGAAAAATCTATGGAATTTGTGGTCCTACCATTTTATCCCCAGAAGTAAATAGAATCCTGTCTGGTGCCTGACAGGATTCTATTTACCAGGTTGTGTTATATTCTCGTTTTCTTCACTGCTGCTTGAACTTGATGGTAAAGGTACGGTTCTCTGTCTTTTAGTAACTATAATATCACTACCACTACTAGAGTTACTAATATTATCACTATCCAATCTATCATTTTCAAGCGCGTCAATATAAAATTCATCGTCACTACTTTGCAATTCATTTTCAACTTCATCTTTTAATAATTTCTTGGACATTTGAAACATTTTTTTTTTCTAAATATACAACGAAAAAATACACCGAACTTTACCCAATCGTGTTAGTTATAAAACTGGGTAATATTCAAAATGATTGTGGTTGAAATATATACATCAACAGATATACACTAAACAGCTTACGATGGCATGTATAAAATAAATATCACGATATATTTTATTTTAACGTAAACATGTCCTTGAAGGTTCAAGAAAGCAATTTACAAATATTAGAAATGAGCTTAGCGGATGACAGACCGGCCGACTTGCTGTAATGATAAGTCATGGTGTGCCGCCTATACAGCGACACACGAGCGCGATTTATTTCTTATATATTTCTTAAAGACTTTTGAATTTGGCAGCGAAGTTTATTTTAGAATGGGATCCTTAATATCTCTATTGTGGAAATTATTAGAGAAAAGAGCAGAGGGTTCGGTGATTCGGGTTGAGAAGCTGTAATGAAAATGATTATTATTGGTTTCGTTATTAGGGTGTATATAGTTTAAATTGTCAATAAAATCTCGAAGGGATTCTTCACACAAGTGTCATCAAGTTAGCGTTGCCGTAGTTTTGGTTTTTGGATTTAAGATGTTTAAACTTCTTCTTAACATCTTCCGTGAATATGTTTACGATGATTGTTGGCTCTTTTTGATATTTATTAATAAATTTGGGATTTGAATATACCAAAAATAATGTTGAATATTTCACGAATAGAGACTTTAGTAGAGAGAGATCCGACGTCGAAACTGAGCAAAATATTGTTTGTATCTACGAAACTAGCAGTTTTCCCTGTAAGTGGTTCTAATATAAAAGCTAGAGAATTTGTTGGAGAACCAATGGTGCTAACAATAGGTCGAAGGGGAATGCTATCTATAAACGAGAAGATTTAGAGTCAAGAGTTGTGACAACTAGTTTCACGGATTCTAATAGAGAAAACGCATTAATAGACAGATTTAGTAGGATCCGTTTCAATTAAGCTTCGAAGAAGTCAACAGCGTGAATCGACGCAGAAGTTTTGTAAATAGTATTTTACTAGCTTGTGGAAGTTTCTTTAAAAATAACTGTTTTATTAACCAATTTGCATATTTTGGGGTGACCTGTATAGCACACAACTAAAAACTGAAAATACTAAAAATTCTTGTTTTTGTTTGCGATTCACTCAACGGAGGTAAATATGACAACTATTTACCTAGTCATAAAAAATATTAACTAATTTTCGTTTTTGTACAAAATAAATCTGCAATAAAATCTTTTTTAATACCTTTTAGCTAAATAAGAAAAGGATTTTTTTTTCATTTTGGCCTTTAGATTTTGCTTGTCGATTAGCGCAGATTATCCTCATCTTTAATGGTGTGTAGGGGACGATTCTAGAGAATATTTTAAGCAAAACATTTCATAGAAACGTATTCGCTAAACGTCTTAAACTTTGATATACAGGGGTGACAGTTTTGTGGGAAGAAGCCTTTTTTTCTTTGGCTAGATTCATTTTAATATATTAAATTTAAATTGATACATTTCGTAGCACTGACTGATATAATACATACATACTTCATATGAACGGTTTTAATTTATTAATTTTTTGCTGCTAATATTAACTAAATTATTATACAAAATGCGGTTGTCGTGGGTAGAGCAATCTGTAGTGCGGTTGGGGTTGCATTAGGGGCACCCCAAAACTGGTATACCAGATTTCACACAACCATAGGATCTCAGACATTTTATGAATTTTCAAATCATTTTACGACTTTGACTGATTTGGAAAATAACGAATAAATTTTAAATTAAAGGTAGTAAGTAGTAGTAAATGAATCGACAAATTTCCAAACTTCAAAACTTCAAATCTTTTCAAACTTTTGTCTCCGAATTTCTCTTTAGATTTGGGCAAATTATTTACTTTACAAGTTAAATAAACACTTTTATAAGTATGTGTTTCCTTATATACATAAAAAAAATTATTGCACATACAGATTGTCTCACTGGAAATGTCGATCTGATATAGCATGACTGGCATAAATTTAAAACTTTGAAGTTATATTGTAATCGGTGGGTCCATCTGGGTGATAATTTTGAATGAAAATAAAAATATTTATTTTTATAACTTTAACTGCGTAATTTTCCTTAAGGAGTAAGGAATGTTTAAGACCTTTAGTAAAGAAATTCGATAATTATTAATATATGTTGATGAAAAAATCATAATGAAAGCCGGAAATAATTTTGAATCATTGAATTTGAATAAAAAATCCAAGGTTAAGTTCGTTTAATTTAACCATAGTATTTGTCAAAATTGATTACGATACCTTTTATAAACCAATAAAAAATATTTAATACATTTCCCGAATTTCACAGAGCTAGTGCGCCAGATTTCAGATCCATGCTGCCTGGGGCTGTCAATCATTCGACGCTTCGGTGATCTTTTCCTCCTCCGGGATATTAACAAAGGCGCTGGAGGCGGCGGCGGCGCGTTTTTGTTTGTAAATTCGGGCGATAAATAGGAAACCGTTTGGGCCTTAAGTATAAATAACACGGTATTTTTAAAGAGAAACCCGCCCGTCTTCGTCGACTCACGAATCTGGATAATTGTTCGATTTTTATTTTAAAAAGTCCAAATTCTTTCGCAGATCGTCAGCGGTCCCGCACAAGGGCGGCAGTAGCATTCCGCTTCCGGGGAGCGCGCTCCCCGCTCGGAGATGTCCCCCCGACAAGGTCAGGCCGGTGGCGGGGTCGTCGAGGGCCACCAGCCCCGCCCTTTCGATGATACCGAGGGCGCCGCCCGCAGTCGCCGCCGCCCAAATCGCCAGCCCCTACCAGACGGTGATGGCCAACGGCGCCGCTAACCAGCAACAGCAACAGAAGAACGCCAACTCCGTGCTGGACAAGCTCAAGCTGTTTAAGGTAAAGAAAAAATATCGTGAAGACTCGGAAAGACCTTTGTGAGTTCTTCCTACCGTATGTCAGCCATAGCAAAACGAAAACATATGGTTATTATACAGTCGGCCAAAAGAGTCTCTACACGTAGTATTTTTTCAGTTTTCTTTTGGTTTCTTCTTTCACTTTTCATCATTTGAAACACTTTATATAAAATAAGACAGTTTTAGAAGCAAGAAACTATGTCAAATAAGTCTCCGTACACTTTAATAAATTACTATTCAGAACTGCAGATTGAACCGCTAATTATCAACATTCTATCAAGTCAGCTTGTATCAAATTTCGCTTAAACAAATGAGTTATACTTGTTTGTTTTTGACGCCACGTTTAAGTCAGTGGTTTTAAACTAAAAGCAAAATGTCGCTCTAAAAATTGCGAAATTTCAATTGCGCCTCGAAAAATCGAAAAGAGAAAAAATCCTTTAGAGATATTGGTAAAATGATTAAAAAATGACATTCAACTGTACAGTATGTAATAAATCGATACAATTCCACCGGATCTTATAAACTGCTATCACGCTCTGGTCGTCCAAGGAAGTTAACTGGACGAGAACAGTCTTCTATTGAGAAAAAAATTAGAATTAAATCTAAAACAGGCGCTCCGAAACTTGCAGAGGGAATCAGACAAAAAATGTTAGCCGTCAAACGAGTAGAAACTGTTTGCATCGAGTAGTGACAAAACAAAAATTATTCTACGGCTACAACTCTGAAAATCGAAAATGTCTGTCCTACGGTGAAGCATGGTGGAGGGAATGTTTTAGTGGGGGGTGCTTGTCATGGACGAACATGGCTATTTGAACATCTTAAAGAATAATTTAAACAAGAGTGTTGAAGAACTTAACCTTGAGGGGCGTTATTTATTCCAACGGGATAACGATTCTAAATACACTGCTACGCTTGTACGTCACTGGATGATCCATAATGTCCGCCAACAACTTCATACACCACCACAATCTAAGGATGTTACGAGTAAAGAAGAGTAAAGAAAACATAGCCAGAAGTTACAAGAAAGCTTATTTAAGTCTCCCAAAAAGACTTAATGCCATTATTAAAGCAAATGGCAATTGTACAAAATTTTAGACTTTAAGAAATTTTTCAATTTATCATAAGAAATAATAGTGTACGGAGACTTATTTGACCTAGTTTCTTGCTTCTAAATCTGCCTTATTTTTTATTGTTTAAATAAACTGTTTTTGATTTTTATTTTATTTTTATTACTCATAATGACATTCTCGATATTTACATGAAATATATTTTTCATTAAACGTAAGCGCAACGTAAAAGAAAACTGAAAAAATACTATGTATTGATTGATGTGCCTGTGATATTTTCTAGACGGGAATGATCTTCCGCGCATGCCTCTAACTTTCAGTGACTTGCACTTTGAGCCATTTTCGTTCCAAGCAGCGTTGTTCACACATTTAACTCGTCTTTCCATAACATTTAATGAGATAATTCCTACATCTAAATGGAAAACTGTTGAATTGACGTAGCGTTATAACGGCGTTCGGTATTGTCCATGCAAAAAAGAAGATAAGATTGTAAGCAATTACAGCATATGAGTGATGCCCCAGTCATTTCAAGAGAACTGGATGTCAATGTACGGGTTCCCCAAGAATCGATTTTAGGTCTCTGTCTTTTTATTATAATATTCACACAGCATATGCTGGCGATAATTCAGCCTTTGCAAAATCTGTAAACACCTTGGGGATGTGACAAATGAATTTAAATCTTATGATTTTTCTACTATACAAAGACGAACAAATCTAGATATTAACATCAGCCATCAGAACGCAGAACTTGTTAGGTAAAATAATGTCAAATTTTGAAGAGTAGCTGTTGACGTTGAGAAGTCTTGCAAGCTTGCTATTAGGCAACTAATTCCTGTTTATTATGCAATGGTACATTTTCGACAGAAGGCACACTCTGGGGTTGATGCCATGCGACACATCCGGTGGTACAGACCGCTCCCATATCTCCTTCCACCTTTGTTTGACTTCAAAGTCGATCTCTGACTGATGGTCTTCGGGATTTGTTCTTCTGTTTTCATGAATTGAAAGTTGTTGACTTTTCTTCTGTATTCTGACTGCTATTTATCCATACGGAGGTAGCATATTCAGCGATAGTGGTACGATAAAGCTTTTGGGCAATATTATTTCGCGATAGGTGATTAAAAGGTGGCTTGAAGGATAACGTTCTGTCCAGGATGATTCCAAGATATTAGGGAGTAGTGTTGTGTCTGAGCTGTGTTCCATTAAAATATATTTGTAGTTGAATATTTACCTGCTTATTGCTTAAGTGAAAGCAGGTGCATTCCGTTTTTTTTTGTTTGGTGGTTAATCTCTGTTTTTTGTAGTATTTGGCATAAGCGAACTTCTTCGATATGGTTTCAGGGTTATCCACGATTTAAGTATCTAAGAGCACCGGTGCAAGAACCGAATCCTGTGGTAACCAGTCCTTCATTTGGTCTTTCATCATATTGTTTAGCAACTGAGTTAGTTTTTTCTTAGGGATTTGTACAGTCCCTACCTCCAGACTGCGTCGTAAACAGCCGAACTTTTAAGGTCCTCTTGAAGCCCGCCTCTATAAAGATGGTGAGACTCGATTTGGTAGTTGGTGCAGTTACGTCCAGCACGAAAGCCGGCCTGATATTTTGGGATATATTCATTCACCTAACATTTTATCCTTTTAAGTACAAATCTCTCCAGGAGCTTGTAGAAGTGAAAAGTCTTGTTTGAAAAATAATCGGTGTCATTATTATAATACTACAAATCATTTTTTAATATGCTACCATTAGAAATTCAAAACATTTAAAAAAATAAGTAGTTCAAATAAACATTGAAACATTTTTTTATTTGAAAAATATTTTTATAATAATATCATTATTCTATGGAACAGATTTAGATGTTGGTTGTTGAACGCCGGCAAGTCTAATTGCTTATCAGCATATTGATAATGTAGTGGCTCTATTACGGCAAAAATTGCTGCGATTCCTGTATTATCAGCATTAGGCATTCAGCATTATATTTAGAAGCTATATGGCTAAACATCATGCGCCTCCTATGACTTTTTAAACCATACCCCAGTTGTGTGTTGAAGTTCAATTTAGAATTTAGAAGCATTCAAAATGACACTCAAATTTTATTTCCGGTTTTGTATTTTTGAGTTTCTTAAACCAGTATCGTCTGACCTCGGAATATCAAAAGTTCGTATTAAAAATACCGAAATTGGTGGTGATTTTCAATAATCGATATGGTATAGATAAAATGTGACAACACATGCGTGCATCACCAACTTCAAAGGCATCGTGTAGAAGCTGGCGTGCTTTTCCACAAATAAAAATATTAAAAAAAAGTGATACATATATTTCTTAAGTTTCAAAAGGACCGAATGAAATATTTTTTGTTTTAAATTTATAAGCAAGGAATGAACATTTATAAAACGATGTATCCAAGCTGCAATGACAAAATTGTTAAAAAAAAAATAATTTTTAATAAACGCCCAGCTGATGTTAGGGGTGCTTCAACGGTTTCTTATTTTAATAAAAGATTAATTAACTTTTATTGTTCTAAGCGACTATATATACTAAAATTGGAACGATACAGAGAAGATTCGCATGGCCGTCTACAAATTCAAAAAAATTCGGTAACGTACAATTAGTTACTTTTTGATTGCTTATTTAAAGTTAAAAAAAGTAATAGTTTAACGAGAAGAATGCGTAAAATTAGTAAATTCTGTGGCGATCCCACTATAAAATTAAAAAAAGGTGTGAAAGAGATTAATAGTGCCAATCCCATTATTAATTAGAGGTATAATGGCAATCCCATTATTGAAAAAAAAGTGTAGAAGAGATTAACAAGGGCAAAAAAGTTTAAAATAGATTAATAAGGGCAAAATTGGAGGAATAATGGCAATCCCATTATTGAAAAAAAAGTGTAAAAGGGCTTAATTATCCCATTATTTAAAAAAAAGTGTAGGAGAGATTAACAATGACAAACCCATTATTAATTAGGGAAATAATGGGAAAATCTATTATTGAAAAAAAAGTAGAAGAGATTAATAGTGACAATCCCATTATTGAAAAAAAAAAGTGTAAAAGAGATTAATAATGGCAATCCCATTACTTATTAGAGAAATAACGGCAATCCCATTATTAAAAATAAAAATAAGTGTACAAAGATTAATGATGGAAATCCCATTTTTAATTAGATGAATAATTGCAATTTCATTATTTAAAAAAAAATGTAGATGAGATTAATAATGGCAATCCCATTATTAATTAGAGCCATAATGGACAATCTTATTATTGAAAAAAAAAGTGTAGAAGAGGTTAATAATGGCAATCCCATTACTAATTAGAGGAAGAATGGCAATCCCATTATTATAAAGAAAAAAGTGCATAAGAGATTAATAATGGCAATCCCATTATTAACTAGAGGAATAATGGGCAATCCCATTATTGAAAAAAAAAGTGTAAAAGAGGTTAATAATGGCAATCCCATTACTAATTAGAGGACTAATGGCAATCCCATTATTAATTACATGAATAAAATTATTGAAAAAGAAAAGTGTACAAGAACGGCAGTACGACGTACGCCGAAGGACCGAAAGCAATCAATGTTATAATATGTGGGAAAATAGAACAGTACTTTGGTTTTCGGGAAAAGTTTTATTCAGGGTTGAAACCCTTACGCCATTCCGTTAAGTAATATTTTTGTTCGGTTGTTATTTTTTTTTCTCAAAACCGGGTTATTGGACGAGCAACCGACATTATTTTTTTTTAATTATTTTTCAAGCTCAACACTCTCACTTCATTTTTTACGTTGTTATTTTTTAGACAACGGGGTACTTTGCTTTTTACTTGCGAAAACGTTTAGTGTTTTTTTTTGGCATAACCGTTTTCCGTTTTTCAAGAACCACGAGAAGACTGCGGTGTCGTCGTCCGGCAAACGGACCAGCAGCTCCAGCGGCGTGTCTTCGGCCAAAAGCGAACGAAGCGACAGCAGCCTGAGCCTGGAGCCTCCGACGGACGCGAAGCAGCAGGGACGAAACGCGCCCCGACCAAAACCCGCCGCCGCGACGACGACCAGGTCGTCGGCCGGTCCGAGGGCAACTGCGACGACGTCTTCGCGAAAGGACGCCAAGGTCAGCGCGCAGCAGAACTGTAAGACGGTTGCGGAAATAGAGAAACACGCGACCAAGGCGTCGAGCAAGCTCGCCGAGCCCAAGGTGAGGGTTTCCGTCCTGAAGGACCCCAAGGCCGGACAACAGCAGGCCACTCCGGGCACGGGCATTCCGAAACCGACGCTCGCGGTTAAAGGAACCACCAAGTCCGCGCCGAAGACGGACGCCATCTCTAGGGAAAACTCCCAAAGCTCGATGACGTACCAAAAGCCGGCGGTGGCGTTGGTGTCGCCCGTGAAGCCGGAAAAAGACCCCCCGCCGCCGCCACCGCCGCCGGCCCCCCCGGCTCCCCAAACACCCCTGGAGACCGTCAAGGAGGGACGGGAGGAAACGTCGGAGGAGGAGGCGGGGCGAGCGCGTCCGACGACGATATCGAGCCACGTCAGGCGCACCATCGCTAACTGCCTGGAGGAGCGTGGGGAGGGCTTCGTCGGTGTCGAACCCATGCGGCCGCTGCTGCGCGGCTACTGCGGCGCGTTGACGCTGCCGTCTCGTCAGCGCCACCCTTATCCGAGGGTGCAACCCGACGGCGGCGCCGACTACTGCGAGATCGCCCTCATCAACGGGTACCTGTCGGACGGCGACATCCTGGGGCCCGGACCTCGCCTCGCCGACATTATCGCCGACGGGTACGTGTCGGAGGGCGGGGCCGCGCTGTACGCGGCGCGGAGTTTGCCGAACGCCGCCTCGCCCCAGCTAGTCAACGGGTAAGTTGATTTTTTTTTACCAACTGCACAAATAGAATTCTAATATTTCCAAAGATGTTTCGTGTCCCGTAATCATATTAGGCACACTTAAAATATTTGCAAGTCAAATAGCATACAGGGTATTACAAGAAATACAAAAATTACACAAGCATAAAGTACCCTTTTTAATTTTTCAAAGAAACTTCCCCAGGCTATTGTAATACTTTTTACAAAACTTCTGTAGCTAAATGAGGAGCATAATCACCGTAGACAGTATGTATGCCCCTTATTTAACCTCGCCCCTATCAAACAATATAAAAGTAGGTACAGAGTATAATGCGAGCCAGTTTCAGTCAAGCTCTGAAGAAATCAACAGGACGATTGGTGAAACGTTAGCAAGTTCGACTCAGCAAAAACCGACGCAGAAGTTTTGTAAAAAGTATAATGTACCCTTGCCTCAAATAATAGAGCAAAGCGCCTGTCAAGAAAATTTATTTAAAATTTAAAATTATGCTTTCATATCAAAACCACTAAGATTTGTTATTTTGTTATTTAAGTTTTTTAATAATTTTAAATATTGTCGCAAATTATTCAATCTTATTTGTAAAATCAACTAAGATTTTTATTTTTTTATTGAAACACATTTTTTATGTTTGTTAGTTAATAGTGCAAACGTAACTTGCTAACTATTTTTCTATCGATTAAAAAATTTGTTATTGGCATTTATAAGATTTTTGAAAGCTCTGGTTTAAGGCTAAATCCATAGAATTAGCCAAAGAATAACACTTTCAATAAATTAATCACGATTCGTTTATAATAATATGGAATAGCTTTTTTTATAATTTTTAAGCTCTCCATTTTGCCCCTGGTATTACGCAAAGAACCAAAAATGTACAAATAATTTATAATTATAATGACGAAAAAAAATTTGCTTAATTTTTGGAGGTGGGCCTCCGTGCCCCAGGAGGCCGCCTTGCCCCACTCTAATAGACAAACCCAAAATCCTACTAGAACGATCGCTGATACTCATGATATAATGAGATGAGAATTTGAAGTAAACGTTTTGACAGTCGGATGACAGATTGTTATTATCAAATAATTGTTAAATTGCTTGATTATTAAGAGATTTTATTTCTAGACTTCAAAGACACTAAACATTGTCAGAAAAAGCCGGTTAGTGGAGATAATTATAAACCAGCAGATAAACAAATTGACTATTCAACTATTGGTAGGATATTAACTCATTTCAAGCGCATAGGGTCTTTAAAGTGTAAATTCAATGGTCTTGAAATACTTTAAAATTCAATAAGACTTCATTGCAAAAATATTGCACCAAATGTACCAAGATCATTTTACTTTTTTTAAATTCTAAATAAGGTTCTATTATTAATTTGTTTATATTTGTTATTTCTCCTATTTTGTTAAATTGTGTAGTTTGGGTTAGTTAGTATTAGTAGAATTTTGTAATAATTATTTAAAATAAAAATTTCTTAATATGTCTATTGTAATTAGGAATGCATAAAAAGTTATTAAATATCGTCGCAACAAACATAAATTTTTATTTCTTTAAAAAAATTTAAAAGTTGCTTAATTATTTTGAAAATAAGATGGAATTAGAACAATTTGCCAAATTGATTCGATGTTGAATTATTCAAGAAATAATGATAAGGAAATTTTTATCATAATGAACAGCTTTAATAATAACATTATGCTTAATTTTTTTTGTATATGAAAGTACTTTACTATAAGTAACAACAGTTTGAAATTTACCAATTAAATTAAAATTTAACTGTTTTTTACATTTTATATCAAAAATTCCATTTCCAGACCGAATATCATCTGTACATTATGCAGATCTTTTCTTATTGGAATTAAAAATTAGAACCACTTTGTTTTAGGTGTTTTCGAATTTTTTTTCGGGTTATTGCCGGTTATTATCACTATGACTACCGGCGAGACGAAGAAGATAAAAACTATTATCAATAACGACGCTTAAACAATTATCCACACAAAGATTATTTAAAATTGATTACTATTTAGCCAGAATATGCGCGTTTGCTATTCGTTATCAGCAAAAACAAAAAACGAAATAAAGTAAAATAATAAGTTAATAAAATAAATTATAACATTTTAGAAGTCGTCTTCTTTGCTTATAATTGGTGAATTGCGTCGTTATAGTTACCTCAGATTAATTGAACGTTAAAAGCAGACCAGATAACAAAAATAAACTACAAAATCCCGAAACTATTAGTATTATGAACATAAAAACTAATAAAATGTAGTCCTAATTTTTCCACTTAGAAAAAAATGATTTTCGCAAGTTTGTTCAATTTCATTTTGTCATTTGATTTTTTTTTAAACAATGTTTTGTTAATATCTAATCGAAGTTATTCCCTTCTTGTATGTTCCTATTTACACGATAGGTTTCAGTCTATACAGTAAATTTATCTGATCATATACATATTACATCTGGGGTTCTACAAGGTGCCATCCTAGGACCCTTACTCTTCCTCGTTTATGCGTCTATACTGTAAAATGCAGGCATTCGCTGGTGACACTCAAATTTATTTTCCTTTTGGTATGGAAGATTTCTTTGAGGCTATCAGATCAGTGATCTTTCTAAAAAATACAACTTGCAACTCAATCCTGAGGAAACTTATTTTATGGGTTTGGGAGCAAGAATAAAGTGGATTTTCTTAATGCTGTACTGTCAATGGGCAGTATTAACTGCTGAAACAAAAACTTGTTAGTAATAATAATCGATTTCAAAGAACTATTTTGTCTCTAAAAATTCTTTACAGCAACCGATATAATTTACATTTCAAACTAAAGAGCACTTTGTGTGACACTTTAGTAGTGTAACATTTTACTAACAATGATTATGTTTACGGTTTCTATGTCGATATGGACATCAAGAACAGAATGCAAACAGTCCAAAATTTCTCCTTACGATTTATATATGACTAAAGAAAATATGATGATGATGTGCCACACATCTATAAAACATTATTTTTGCACGTTTTTGTATCAGAGTGCTGTGTTTCAGCTGTCTATTATAATGTTTTGACAGTTCATTTATTAAACTTAAGTGTTGCAAATTTGAAATCTAAATCATTTTCACCTTTAATTAACAAAGTCTTATTATTATTATTTTACTTTATTATTATTATTATTTCTTCGTTCAATACTTCAGCAACGGTGAAATTTAGGTATAGGATATTATACAAAAAATATATCTAGAATTTTCCGAGGAATCCAAAAAAGCAATAAAACATAAGGGGATTCACTTAAAATAAGAAAGTTAACATCCACTTCCGTCATATCTCGATGTGCTACCCTATAGAAAATATTTCAGACGGATTGTCCCTGTTGTTAGTTTATTACCAAATTTTTCCCAAAATTTCCCATGGGACACTCTGTAAAGGACATTTCGTGTTTTCTTAGCGTTTTAATGAGCGGTCGACGTTTCACTACATTTACCACGGTCCGGTCTTCGGTCCGTGCGGCCGCGTGACTCATCGCGTAGGCAACGTTGCCGTCGTTGGCGCGTTTGTCCTTCGTTCCCCGCAGGCCGTTTTTTTTGTTTTTTTTTTTATAAATCGAAATAGAGCGGTAAATAGGCGCCCCATAAGTTATCGGGGCCCCGTCTACGTTAATATTAATATGCCGGTAGCCTATTCCCCGATAAATCACTCGTCGAGAACCGAAAATAACCTCTCGGGATGCGGATTAAAAACGCCTATTTTTATGTTTAAAGTTAATTCCGACAAATTTAAGCGAGTGTCTCGGATCGTTCGTCTCGCGTCTCGGCGAAAAGAAAAACAACGTATCGAAAAAACCGTTTGGACAAATGTCGCTAAGGAAGGGCATTTTTTAAAATAATTGGCCTATAAGTCTTTTTCCCATTGGGCCGGTGCCAGCTCCACGTTCGAAAGTTTGTAGAAACGGAAAAAAAATCTTTTTACTGCTATACTGTATCCCTCATTTGCAAAATCTTGTAGGCATTCTATATTTTTCATTTCAGGTTTTGGAGTCGCTTAAACTTGATTTCTCGGAATATTTTCTTCACACTTCAACAAAAACTTTTACTGTGTGTGTATTTATGAATATTTAGTCACGGCTCAAACTCATTTAAAAATTACAATAGAGTAATTAAGAAAAACAACAAGAACCCCCTATGTAATCCATGGGAATAGAAGAGCATACAATAAAATAATACAAAAAAGCTACAATTTATTGTAGAGTACATTGGAGGAGACAGCATAGTTAGTTCTGTAAAATTTTTGTAGAAATATTTAACTGGTAACCTTATTACAGGATGTTTTAGAGGTCAGGTAGAGCAATCGTTTGTTAGTGATTTTGTGGATAAGTTTGGGGCCCCTCTACCTACACAGGAGACAAAAAACTTGTAGTTTTCGTTAGCTTGCTTTATTAGTTTGTAAATCTCGACTTCGAAATTTTGTTTTAGAGGAATTCAATTTCTTGGATATTCTTTATTTTTACCATCGTTTCATTGACTATTGTGCTTTTCTCATATACTTATAATGACAGTTAACTTTAAGCTCAGGTTGTAAGAATACTCAACGTATCAAAAACACAACCCACAGACCCATACCCTTCTATCCTATCGCAACGACCAACACGGCTTGCGTCTGGAATAATTGATATTGAACAATGATTGAATTAATTTCACTCAGTTTTACAGTTCAATTTATTAATCGGCAAAAATACGTCAACTGTCTATTAGATATTAAACAAAATGCCTTATTATACATTATTATTATTATTATAAATATAGATTGCAAAAAATTCAAAACAGCTGTAAATTTGTTAAGATTTCCCACAAAATCCAGGAACTTAACTGGCTAGAAATTGACAGTACTTTCAAGTACTTTTTGGCGTCTATGGTTTTCCAAATTATTAGCACATCCAATCCGTCCTACTTACGAGCTAAATCACAGTTTCGTAATCTTAAATCGGTGCCTTTGAAGCACCCCTACTGACTCTCAGTGCCATGATATCGTTTATCTTTGTTCCGCAGATCATTTTCTTATAACGCTGTTATAATTTTTTAATAGTATACCCGATTAAAAAATATTTCAGGTGGAAACTGCTAACTTCTCAAATAATTTGATTTTCAATGTTATTCTTATTATTTTTACCCTTAATAACTTCCTATTGTTCCATATTAGTATTACGTCTATCTACTATACTATATTTAATTTATCAATATATATTTATAACTTCCTATTTAGTTTTCAATTTAAGCATTTAAGAGGTTAAGTGGAGTAGCTTTTGCTGGACTTCGCCTCTTCTCTTCTGTATATTTGTATACAATATACAACAATAAAGGCGGATGCGCCGGGCGAACTTTTTCGCATTTGATAAACGCTTTGGCGGAAACCGTCGCCGCCGACCGTTCGCTCATGGGACATGCGCCCCTCCGATCGATCCCCTCACCCCCAATATACGCGGCCGTGACGGACGCTGCCAGACGCCCGATATCGGCCTTAACACGAACGCGGCGGTTGGTTTTTTGCGGGGAACGGACCGCGCGGCCCCCGTAAAGATACAAACAAAAGACGCTGATCAGCGGGTGCTTGCCGACGGCGATGGTGTCCTCCGTGGTGGTGGTGGTCGTCGACGGATCCCGCCCCGATTGCGTTCGCGTACGACACGGTAAGGGCGATTGTTTTCGTGCCGACCGTCGCTCAGATGTTTCGCCTCGGGAGGACGGTCGAATTTTCTTGCGGCCATCGATTTTTCGCCGTCTACGCTACAGTGGGGCGCCGATTATCCGCCCGTCCTCGGTGGCGACCTTGGATTGGAAAAAAAGCATCCGGGACAAAATTCCATTTCCGATTTTGCTTCGTCGTTTTTTTTTTGTGACGTTCGGCGGTAGGATAATCGAACCTTCGCTGCGCGGGTCGTTTTATGTGAGCGCGCTTTTGTTTAACGACGCGTTTTATGCCCCCCTATAAAGGTTTAACTGCCGGACGCACTTCGGAAGCCGAATAAAAACAAAGAAAAGGCCGCTGGCGGAAAACGTCAACGGCATTTATCGCGCCTTCGGGGGTTTGTTTTTTTTTTTGTTCTGCCGCGTCAACGTCGAGGGTGCAACAACCTCTGTGCTCGAACGGGTTGAACGAAAAAATTTAAAAAAATGCTCTTTTCAAAACGGTATTTTAAAGCACATGTTTCACCTAACCCCACCTCCGCCAGTTGTCGTCAGACTCGCCGATTTGAGTTTTTTGTAGACGAGGGAGATAAGTCACGATCGGCCTTGCCCTCGTGAGGGGCTGGGGGAGCGCGACCCTAACGACGACGGCGGGCCACCCCATTGCCGATGAGTCAACAAGTAAAGCAAGGAGGGTCAGTTTTGTCGCTGCCTGTTAAAAGGAAATGTTTTTTTTTTCGAAACAGTTTAAATTAAAAGTTGAAAAATTCAGTAAATGCCCGTGCACAATAAATTATCACTTCTATTAGAAATTCCCACTAAGTACAGCTTAAATTACCACTAAATTTCACTAATTATTGTTTAAATTTTCATTTCATTAATCTGCATTTTGAGGGCAATTACATCAACATAATCTTCCTGGTAATTTGCTTAAACTTTTTAAAAAATATATAAATCGTGGAACACATTTAGGATATGATAAATACAGAACATAAATATACGAAACCTAAACAAATTTATGAAAAAAATTGAAAACAAATTAACATAAAAGAATTCAGCAGCCAAAATTTAAGCCATCCTGAAATATATTAAAGCCGAAATTTGTCAAAACAATTGTATTTCCTAAACTGAATTGTTTAAGAAAATTGTTATAAATAAATTACAAAATAGGTAATGTATTTTTAGGTTGGGTTCTTAACGAATTAAGAGTACTTTAAACAAGACTTCCATTATACCATCCCCTCGTCTTATGGTACAGCACTTTTTTCAATTTCTACAGATCTTTAATTTCTGCATATTTCTAAAATTCCGATAGGGCGGCTCTGATTTCAACTATACTTCCACTAATTACGATGACTCAGTACTCAGATTTTTACAAATTTTGTGTAGGTAGATCATGTATATAGGGGTGGGTGGGACAAGAGGCCCACTTCACTTTTTTGTGGCTTTTAACCATCAAGTCGATTTATTTTTGACTAACGATCGAAATTTAGCTTCCCTATTTATAATGGTATATATAATAATTATAACTATTTATTCAAAAATATGTAATAAAACAATACTAATTAGTAACTATTTTTCTATGGTATTTAATAAGATTTTCGAAAGCTCCAGCTTTAGGCTAAATCCTTAGAATTATCCAAAAAATAACACTTTCAATAAATTAATTATGATTCGGTTATATTAATATGGAATAGTTTTGGTTAGTTTTTTTACAATGTTTAAGCGGCCAATATTACCCCTGGCGTTACGCAAAGGGCCAAAAATGTACAAATAACCAGAATTTATAATTATAGTAGCGAAAAAAAAAGTTTTTTGGTTAATTTTAAGGTGGGTCTTCTTGCCCCAGGGGGCCGCGTTGCCCCCCCCCCCCATCCTCTCTAGACTCAAAGATTTGAGCCAGTACTTTAGTAACAATACATATAAGCATTACCGTTTTAAGACATGAAGGGAAGCAAAGAAAGACGCTACATCGACGTTTTCTTTTTCTTTTATATATAATAATTCTAATTATTTATTAAAAAGAATGTAATAAAAAAAATACTAATAATTAACTATTTTTCTATTGATTAAAATAAATGTTATTGATATTTCATAAGATTATCCGAAAAAGAACACTTTAAATTAATTATGATTGGGTTACAATAATACGGAATAGCTTATTTTAGAATGTTTAAGCGGTCCATTTTCACCTTGGTATTACGCACAGGGCCAAAAATGTCCAAAAAATCAAAATCTATAATTATAATAACGAAAAAAAATTTTGGTTAATTTTTAGGTGGACCTCATTGCCCCAGGGAGACCACCCTCCCCTACGTTCACAGATTTGAACCAGTACTTTTAGTAACAATATATATAAACTGCACATAGACGTTTTCATTTTCCAGGACCGGCCTCACGGTGTTGACCGAGCAAACCTCCAGAAGGGGCGGGGAGTCTGCGCGCGACTCGCCCCCGCCCCCGCCGGCTCCCCGTTCCGTCTCGAAATCGTCGGCGTCGTCGAGAAACGGAATCCCACAAGGTACTGCAGCCAGGCATCTAGGTTAGGGAGATGTTTCTTCTTTAATTATTTTTTTCTTTCGGAAGGCCCTGAGTCGAAACACGGCAGCAACGGCCAGCAATGGAAGCGGTACACCGACTCGCCGGGGGTGGGAAGTCCGCCGCCGCCCGCGCCCGGCAGTCCCACCTCCGGCCGCAGGGAGAGGCGGGGCAGTCCGCACGGCGGCAAAGACAAGTCCGGCGGCAAGGGGGTGCGGGGCGTGCCCCAGAGTTTCGGTTACGTTAAGCGGAACGGCGCGACGAACACCAATGGTACCGGGCCCCCGATGCAAAGTAAAGTGGCAAAGTACCTCCTCGTCATTTTTTCTACAAAAAAATAATTTACAGTCGTGCAGAATCACGCGGGGAAGACCGCTTCCGTATCGGCGGTGCCCAGGACCAAGGTTAAAGTCTCGGGCGGCACCCAAACTTGCTCGAGCGATCTCCAGCAGTCCCACAGTGAGTAACTAAGCATAACTTTATTTTGTACCTAGTTCTTATCAAGAAATTTCCTTAACAGTCTAGAGTTAATGGAATATTTTCAAGCAGTTCTGGGACTTCTTCACTGTGCTGTAAAAATAAAACATGACAAACCAACATTAAATGCTGATATTCTGTATGTCTGTACGTCAATTTATTTTCTCTTTATTGTATGTTTAGAGTAAATTTGGTTTAAAAAACTGTTGTCCCTCTCTTCGTATACGTCACAAGCACAAACCTGTTATCCTAATATAGATTTTCATGTCAATACATCGATTGACCAAAACGACGACACTAAACAGGTTTCTAAGTCAAAGGTCTATTGAAAAACAACAGAATCAATCACAGGCCAATAATTTTTAATCCCTTGAACGTTGGTTTTAATCTGCCATTTGATTCTGTATAATTTAGGCCTCCTAAATTTAAATCTGATAAGCATTTCCCTCTACGACGTTAACGTTTGATTTAAACATACAAGAACAAAAGGCAAATAAGAAAATCTAAATTAAATAATAGAGTCTCAAACATTTTTTTTAAATTTTTGGAATATTACTTTTAAATAACCACCATACCATCGTTCTCCGCACTCACGGCACCAAGATTTTCCAGAAAATTGTCCAGATGTGAGGGTAAAAAGTAAAGTTTTATTGTATCCCATTTCATCCTCATTTATTTTGAATATTTGTCGTTTCCTAGAATACAGTTTATGACATCAGTAAAGTCACATTCACATAGTCTTTATATCCTATTAGTCTCTTTATCCGAGAACCTACAAAAATTGCTTTCTTTAATTTTCCCTCTGAGAGATCGGAAAATTTTCGACGTAGGTATTTAAACCATGCTCCATTTTTATTTAAAGCTATTTGTCTTGATCGCCAATGTTTACTTTTATAATTTTATGTCTAAATTTCTTGGTCACCAAAGAACCACACACACTACGAAACGTATTTGGAATATTTATACAAAGTTTTGGCATTTGAATAAGAAATTTAATTGCATAATGACGACTAATCTCACCAAACGCAGTTATTATACGAGATGGACCGTAACGAATATTTCTAGAAACTTTTAAGTTTTTATTTGAGACGTAAATGGACCACTTTAAATTTTATTAAGCATTGATGCAGTGATTCAGTGATTCTACGATTTTTTAACACCAATTGTTTCACTTTTTCAACGCTTTCATCAGTTATTGACGTGCTGGGGTGTCCAGAACGACGTTCGTCGTCAGCGTCTTCTCGGCCATCTTGGAACAACTTGTACCATTTATAAACATTTTTTTTGCTCTAAGTAGACTCGCCATATACCGCTGTCAATATTTATGTTTTGCAGCACTGTATTCCGTTCAAATTTTATGCAAATTGTTTTTTCACAAAAAAAAGTAGGTGTGCAAACTGGTTGAAACTGTGAACATATATTAGGAACATGGGTATACCTTGACCAGAAATGTAGTGTTTTTACAACGGACCCTGTGGTGGTCAACTTTGCCTACTGTTTATTACTCCAAAACCGCAGCCCTTTACGGAACACCCTGCCGAGCAGACCCTTACCCGTAAACATTCCAGGGCAGTCCTAGGAATTTATCTACCTACACTGACAAGCGGGATATTAATATGTTTTCAATGTTTTCGCACAGCAATTGTTGAAACATGTACGTAAAAAATTAGTACAAACTAACAATTTCTTACGTTCTATTTCATTACATTTCTACATAGAAAATATATTCATATAATAATAAAGTATCGGTCACTTAAAAAATAGTCACTATCGCTGTCGCCACCTAGTTCAATGATCAATTCGGCCACTAGTCGTTCTCGATAAATATTGTCTTCTTTTATTACTCGTTCTTCATATTTAGATCAGCTTTGTACTGATGTTTTAGCTACCTCTGGCCGAGTTACGTTAATGGTACTATCACTAAATTTTGATGAAGTGTTATTTCTTCTTATATGCGCTTCCAACTCGGACCCGATCATCTCAATCGGGTTAAATATACAATGTGTAATCCAAGATTTTATGTCCGTTTTGTTTTGTAATCTATAGTCTTAAAAAGGACTATTGTTGTTTACAAATCGAAGAACTATGTAGAAGACACAAAAATACAAAAAGAAGAATGTTGTTCATCGACACACAAGACAAAAATGATTACTTTCAAACATACCTGTAAGATAAATAGAGTATAGGTACTTACCCATACCTTTCGAACTATCCAGTGAAAACAGCCTCGCAAGGTGAAAACTCGAGAATCAGGAATGTAAATACGTACTTACTGGAAGGATCACATTCAAATACCTCCGTTGCAATTTATATTATTCGAAAATACCCCGCAGCATCAATGATTAATCAAATTTACGAAGGTCTGCGGTTAAGGTACTGTAAAATACTTAAAACGTCAAAGCAATAACTACACAATATTTTTGCTCGAACAATACCAACATAACAAAAAAAATATATTGAAGATGGAATATACGTAGCCCGTCCAATTACAAAAGTAGCCTTACTTTTTACTTACTTTCAAAAATACCCTACATCTTAAACACCAATTTTTAGTTTTACGAAAACGTATGCAAATTTCTCCGCATGAAAATGTAGAGACGTGTACAGGATGTTTAAATATTAAAATCTCGCAGAGTCGAGCCCGCCCCAATTCAAGAGTTACTCGCTGACGGGCGGCACCGCCAATCAACTCTCGCAGTCGGTACGGGAACGGCTGATGCTCGGCTCGCAGAGCCTGCCCAAGGAGGCGGGACAGGGCTACGGGCTCGTCATGCGGCAGATGCGGCCCAAGGTGAGCGACGGTTCCCTCAGCGACACGCAAGCGATCGAGAACACCAGCCCATACGCCGCCCCCTGGCTCCGCCACAGGTGAATACTTATTTTATTAATGTTCCGGTGGCGGAGGCTTCACTATCGTTTTTTTTTTTCCGGGCCATAGTAACACGTACTCAGTGGCGCCCCGCCTCTCCGAAACGGACAGCATGGAGAGTCTGAGCAGCTTGCCGGGACACCGGAGCAGCTTGACGCACGCGCGTCTCCTACGGGACTCGCCGTCGCGTCTCAGCAGGAGCAACAGTATCAGGTGAGCGTGGGGGTAGAGTCGAGGCACAGCGGGCCAGGGAAACCCTACGTGTTTGACTGTTTCTTTTTTTTTGTAATACCAATAAATTGTACTTAATATTAATAAAAACACAACAATAATAAGAAAAAATTATTACGCACATCAAACTTTAATACAATATAATTACTGTACAGGGTACAGGGGAGTTTTAAATTAAACCATGAAAACTACACGAAATGTAGAAACATTTCTATAATTATATAGTAAGTAGAAGTAAATAGAAAAAAATAATGCGGGGTGTACCAACAGTAACAATTTAACAGACAAAAAAGTTATATATTTAATACAGATTAAAGCAAAATTTTATTTTTGTTTTTTTTTTCAAAATATTTTCAAAATTCAAAAACAATAACAAGGTTTTTATACAATTTTTGCGTTAGCCCATAGTTCTATAGACTTAAACCATTGCTTTGCAATAAGAGCGTTCATTTAAAGTTTTGTTTTGTATTTAGTGTCAAAAGAGCATGACTACGCATAGTAAACAAAATCAAATTTAAGTTACACTTATCGCTCTGTAGAAAAAAGAAAACAAATTTTTATATTAATAGGTCAAAACTTAAAACGAAAACCATTTTTCTCCGGTTTTTTTTTGCCCACCCGGTAAGTTCTTTAAAAATTATTTTTATAAAATGGAGCACCACAACATGTTAGTTTGATACATATCCCGAAATTATGCTAAAACTGTAACATATTACTTAATAAATTACAAAGATACTTTTTTTTGGCTATTCTTCTTATAATATGACTGAAAACAATGTAGAATTTTTTCAGGATAATTGGCTTTTACAGTAATTTACTTAGCATAAAATTAGTCTCAATACTTACCTTTACTAGCTTCCTGCATTTTGAATTTTGTCAAAAGCTAATTTTTGTAAAAAAATCCACTACACTTTTCACAAAGAAAATTGTATAAATAAAACATTCACAAAATGACACTGACAACAAACATTACAAAATTATTGTTAACGTTTCCATGGTAACAAGACGACTCAAATCATTTGTTTTGTGAAGCTTCAAGGCCTACTTAATTAATTCGTGATAAGAAAAACGTTTATTGCACGAAATATATTATGGGGTCATTTCAATAGTTTGGGCTCTCCCTGGCCCACCGTGCGAGGGTACCCCGCGGGTTGGGCGGTACGACAATAAATACGAATCTTTTTTGCAAGTATAGCCATCTCCGAGACCACCGGACGTTTCCCAGGTACAGACAACGGCCGCTTCGTGTCGTCCCGCGCTTTAGTGTGTGCTTTTTATTCCGGCCTGGACGGGCCCGATTCCGCACGCGCGCACGCACTAGTTTACTCGTTCGCGCGCGCACACAATACACACACCTACACAATCGCGCTCCAGGAATCGGGCCATCGCACCGTGGACAAATCTTTTAAATTAGCACCCAAAAATTATAAAATTTAAATAATGTAAAATCATTTCATATAAAACATTAATAACAAGCGGGTAGTCGTCGCTATATCATAATTTTCCAAAAACCAGACCAATCATGAAAGTTATGGCGTAAAATAGTGAGATTTTAGAATGTGACTACCATAGAATGTCTTGTTTTCACGTATCTCGATAGGCACGACTGCGAAAGTCACTCGCCCATTGCCGACTTGCGTCGAGGGCTGTGCATAGAATGGATTGTTCATCTCTAATGAGGTCGGTCTATCGTCTGAAATCACTTTTTAGGTATAATTTTTGTCGCGCCTTTCCTAATCTCTAGATATTTTTGCTTTTTTTTGTAAATGTATTGTGTTTTCTGATTTTTTGGTGCGTAAAGCGATATTCCACAATATAATATTTTTTCAAATTTTTATCAATGTGCCTTATCCTCCTTGATGCGGTCTTAAATTATACTTGTGCGTAATATTAAACTCGTTAAAATAATGATATTGAATCAAATGTGCTTTAGAAAAATGTTGCTCATACATTCCACTTTTTGTGATATCAGCATGAAAACTTGGCTTTAACAGTTGGGATTGATTTTTTTCACATAATATGTAGGGGCGCTGGTCGCACTGTAAAGTTTCGCTATTTTATGCTGTAATGTAATGGTTGGTTTTTTTTTTTGTAAAATTATGATAGACTGACTACTACCCGGTCTCCTGGCGCTCAAATGTTGGTTTGCTGTCGAGTTTTGCTTTTTTGAGACATTCCGTTGCTCTTTGCTGTGCAAATTGTAAGCTAAAATGTACCTCTTGCCATGTTTATACAAAAGGTCAATACACTGATTAAAACAACCCATGAAGGTTAAAAAAGCTATTTTATTTTATATGTATGTATGTATATATATATATATATATATATATATATATATATATATATATATATATATATATATATATATATATATATATATATATATATATATATATATAATGAGGTAGTAATAGATTCTTAATCAGGGGTGTAGGGTCATAAATTTAGATTTAACAATGTACACGCGTTTAAATCCAATTGGTCATTAAGTAATAGATTCGAATATCTCATTCTATTAATATCCATAGCTTCCAACAAATTTCGTCCTTTGCTTTTTGTTTCATCATGTAAAGGATTAAAATTCTTATCAAACTTATGCATTTCTGAATCTAAATGAACTTTTATTTTTATGCGCTCTTTTATATTCGTTAATGCATTTCTTAAATGTTCCACCTGTTTGTCCGATATGAATTTTGAGACATGATCCACATTTCAACTTGTAGACTCCGGATTTTTGAGTTTTTCGCAATAGATGTTTCGAAATTTTCTTGCTAGAGTCTCCTATGTATTTTATTGTGCTATAAAGTTTGGGTTCGGTGTTTAATATGGGATAGATAGAGTTCAGGGTTATTTGAAACTTTTAATTATAATCTTATCTATCTCAAAGAGGGTTCATAACCGTTGTTTTCAAAATTTTCTGTGAAAAGTGGTATGTTAAGTAGTCTGTGCATAAAAGATTAAAAGGCGACCACTTTGTGTGTGCGGGGGCGATTTGAGTTATGAATTTTTGTGTCCGGGTGTGTGTGAAAAATCAAATTTATTCTGTAATTCAGTTGTAGTTAATTCTAGTTCGATTTATGTAGCGCGCCTATTTCAATAAGTGTTTAAATATTTTAAATCATATTTTAAATTGCACCGTTGAAGTTTTGGATGCTAAATTATGAGATTTACCCACAGCGCGTTGATGGGGGCGCGAACAAAATGGCGGCAAATTTGGCGTTTTCGGGTCTCGACATTAAATATGTGTGTCTTTCCCGGCCCCAGATCCACCAAGTCGGAGAAGTTGTACCCGTCGATGCTTCACCGCAACACGGAACCCGAAATTGAGCCCTACTATTGCCTACCGGTCGGAAGCCTGAGCCACTGGTCGCAGCCGACCAGTCCCGCCCCCGGCACCGCGAGGACTTTCCCGCTGTCGCCGACCCACTCCGCCGCCGTCCCGCGGCCCAAAAACGACGACGGTAAGACTTGGGGGCGGTAAACAGCTAAATTTAACGTGGGGGCGTTGCAGTACATGGCTCGTCGATCAGCCTCGTGTCGACCGCCTCCAGCCTGTACTCGTCGGCGGAGGAGAAGCAGGCTCACGAGATCAGGAAGCTGCGCCGCGAGCTAACCGAGGCGCAGGAGAAGGTTCATACACTCACGTCGCAACTCAGCACCAACGTGAGTCCATTTTCTTTCTTTTTTTTTCACTTTATCTTTGCGAGAAAAACTGTGGCTACTGTCCGATAGATGGCGCGCGATGCGGATTTTTAGCGGCGTTCGAAAACTGGCTATCATACGATAGATGGCAGGCGCGTCTGCATTTACATTTCGGGGCTCAATTTCGAGGTTTTATTATTATGGCGATTTTATTGCAAAATACTTTAAAAAATCGGACTTCGACAAGGGTTATCTAAAATTTTGATCGTCCCATGCGCCTCGCTATTTGTAAACACGCGTCGCTTCTGGATAAATTTTGCCGCACAACAAAGCATCTTGTTTAAGTTCAGGAAATATTATTTACAAATCTAACTCGGTTATCCATAAATCGAACTTGCTGACGTTTCGCCTTCTTCAGAAAAGACAACAGGATGATTGACGAAACGTCAGCAAGTTCGATTTATGAATAACCGATACAGGAGGAATCCAGATGATTTGTAAATGATATTATAAGAGCCTTTTTGTATTCTGTTAAGGATATAGGATATAGTTTGTGTTGCTAGAGGTCGAAGCACCCCAAACATATATACCATGGGATAAAATTGATTCTACTAAAGATTTATATTTTCTTTGACTTTGGCGAAATATATAAAATTTATGGAATAAAATGTGAATTTTTTACATCCCATTTTTGGTAGAATTTGAGCAATCAAAAATATGAGTTGTTAATCTTTGCAAGCAGCACCAGCTTTGGAATTGGGTTTTGTCTAAATTAAGTGACAGTAGACTATAATATAGCCATTTTTTTCCATCAACCATCAACGACAATCAATGGGGTATCACTCGAGTAGCAGAGAATACCTTCCCTCGGTAAAAAATAAAAGTGTTTTTCATGATATCGTTTCAGACTATTTTAGCAACAGTTTAAAAAAATAAATATCTAAATCGAGTCAGCAGTGTGCGAGAAAATTGCCCCAAGTTTTAATTAGCTTTAATTTGATAATAGGGAGTTTCCATTTCAAAAAGATTGCCTTGTTACGTTTTTAATTCACATCCAAAATATCCACATATCTTGCAATAGTTTTGACATTTAACATTTTCGCAAAATCCAAAAATGTAATAATGTAAGGGTGTTCTATTTAAAATAAGAAACCTGGGGTCTAACCCAGATGACATAAAAATAAAAAAATCTAAATGAAACGATGCAACTCTATTGCATTTTTTTTCTACGTTCCGTAGATTATCTGAGTTAAGGGGTTAGGAAACCTTATTTCGGACACCCTGTATATGCCTAACAATTAAATTTAAATAAACATGTGTTTTATGATATCGTTTCTGAAGATTTAAGCTATAATGTGACTCTTGAGCCTAACTATATTTGTTTTATATATAAGAAATAGGTATGTTAAAAAAACTACAGAAAAAATTTATAAAAAGCTTTATTTTTAAGGAAAGAAAGAACGAACGAACATTTCTACCGACATTGGTCACTCCAAAAAAATGTGTTACCTGAAAGAAATGTTTTTTTCTTACTTTAATTTCATCAATTCCGTTTATGATTTTCTCACACATTCTAATGGCAAGACCACAAAGTCAATTTTGTGTAATTGCGATACGTAGTTAAGTCTTGGTCTGTTTTACTTTTGAGAAACTTCTTTCTTCTGCAGCTACAGTGGAGGTATTATAGGGTTCCGGATGGCTGTTCATAAATTAGGAGCAAATTTAATTTTGTTATAAAACGAAGTACTTCTCTAGGAGACTTTCTCATGTTTTTTGCAGTATGCGGTTTGTTCATTTCTTTTTGATCTGTGATAGGTTCATCTTTAAGTTGGGTTAATTTTTCATGGACACTTCCACAGTTTTACAAATCTTCTGCGTCTATTATTGATCTATAGAACTTGCTGACGTTGGCTTTATTCAGAGCTGAACTGCAACTGCAACTTGAGTGAAGTTTCATTTGGTTTTGTCCACCAATCCCGAAGAAGTTTAAATAATATTATCAACGATGTAATTCTATGCCTAACCATAGCTTTAAAAGATCTTTCCAGATTAATTTCTGCCGTCAGCCTCAAGCAGTTGCTCAAATCGATTCTCTCTTAAATTGTATAAAAAATTCTCCTTCTTTTGGGACATTTTGTCGTTATCCTATCCAATTGTGAGTTATTGGCCATTTGCGAGAGGTTTGGCTCTTCCGATCGGGCGTCGGCGTCGCGCCGGACTGACCCGACGGCCAGACGAAAACCAAAACAAACGCGCGTCTGCTCGGACGGTCAGTCAGTATGCGATCGTGATGTGGTTCGTGAGCGTGCGCGAGTACCGGGGTAATGTTCTCGTGTGGTGATTTCGTGCAAAGTGTTGTGGATTAATTTACAAAAAAAAAATGAAATGTTGACGTAGTATCTGGTGCGCGTAATTTTATTTTGATGTCGATCGAATTGGGAACGACCAACATCAATTTTTTGTTTGAAAACATTCGAGCCGCGTCTCAGTTGCCGCGTTATAAAACGAAATCTCGTTGTCGATTGTTTTTAATTTGACATTTGAAAATACTTGAATTCTTTTTTGGTCTCGATCGCCCGTTTGATATTATACGTTTCGATGTTGTTGCCGCGTAGTCGATTAGCATAAGTCGGAATTTATTCCAGACGAATTTTCATTTTTTTATTCGCCCGACAGATAAAAACGTCACCGAATTTGTATAACGACGTTGAGACATCATCGCGCCCAATTTACTGCGCATTGAACTTTGACGACGGGTTCAATTGGCGACATAATCCCAATTACGTTTGTTTTTACTACGTCGATGCGTATCAAAGAAAAAAGATAATGGCCAAGGCCGTCGGTTTTATTTTTGAGATGTTCGATAATTACGATTTAAAGCCCGGTAGACCCGATGCAATGGAAAATAGGCGTGATTATTTCGGTGGTATTTTGTAACTGTAGTTTTTTAAATATTGGCACTTAGTATAAACATAGTTTTAGACACATAAATACTAGCACTGAACCGGATTTAAAATATTTATTATAATTATTATAAAGTTTAACTAAAACTAAACTAAAATAACATTGAAAATTACAATATTCAATTTTTTTAAATTTTTTTATTTCGTTTATTTACAAACGTGGGAGGCTGAAGTTTTTCAGGGGTATATAGTTTGGACGGTACCAAAATAAGATTTTTTAATAGAATCAAAAACTACTCGAGGCGAAATGGAACAAATAGCATTTTGAGGGATATATAAATCTTTCAGTTCGAAATGTAGCACCTGCCGTTTTTGCTACATTTTTAATTTTAATAAATATCAAGCTTTATGCAAAAATGTAATTACCTTGTAAAAAAATCATAATCCTAAAACTAAACGCTAGAGAAACGAGGTAAAGTGCTGAATAAAATCCAATCTAATTTTAATTGTTATATTAATTTTTATATTCTCTAAAAATAATTTCTATGCAATTTAGCAAAAGCATTAGCTGAAAACGAAATCCTCATTTGCTTCTTAAACGTTTGTGATTTCTACTTTATTTCCATTATTCTTCGATGTTTACGTTATAAGTTTACGAAAACAAACACGATTTTCACGCACAAAGGGAAAAAAGTAGACATATCGTTTGTTAACCGGTCAAATTTCTCGCTATTGTAATATTTATATAAAAAAATACATACAGAAATTGCGTCGTGTCTACCGAGCTTAAAATATATGCAGCCCTGAAATGGGGGGCGGGGTAGGTAGGAAAGAAAAAATAATTGCCCATTGTCAACTGTACGCGGGCCTGGCGGTATCGGATTTCGCAATAGCACCATTTAAATTAATTAGATCGATCGAGGGGCCCGATATCGCTAATGCGCGTATCAAGCAACGGTCAACTCGCATGGAAATTTTGCAATTGCTTATGGAACATCCTGTGTATGTTCTATTCCAGATTCAAAGTTTACCCAAAACTTCTAATTGATTTTTTTTACATATTACCAATTTTTTCAGAAGAAATATTGAATTGAATGAAAAATAACACCAAAACATGACTTTAAAAAAACCTTTTTTTAAGGCAAACGTGCAAATGGCAATATAATTTTTGGTTAAAATTTTAAAATTATCCCATCATTTTACAACGTTTCAGAAACATATTTTTTTGTAGCCCCTTTTGTCCCTTCGAAGAAAGCCTTTTGCAATACACACATTTTTTATAAATACTCAATTTTCCCTAGAAATTAGAGGAACGTTTTTCTGAACGCACGGTATATTAGGTGACACGTTAATTTGCGGGATTTTTCCGCGGACGCCAATGCGGCCATAACGCGACTCATCGTTTCCGCGGAAACGCTCAAAGTGCCACCGAGAGGTCGTTTCCCATTCGAGCGAAAAACGGTAAAGCGGCCGCTCAGTATTCCGAGCTGCTCGCCATTGTTTATCGCGGGCGTTGAAAAAAATCGGTACGCACTACCGGGCGTACTAAAAAAAAAACGTTACTTTCGGTTAGGTTAACGAAATCGTCCAGGGGCGTAGGATAAATAATTTGCAAATGCGCGGGCAGATGCGATGCTGCACTGCGCTACCCCCGTGTCGAGCGTCTACGACGGTTTCGCGACCGTCCGCAGGAGAAGGGGGGCGGCGCCGCGGCCGCCGTCCCTGGCCAGCGTCCCGGAGGACCCCCGAATCGGGAACCCGCGAAACGGTACCCCCGCGGTGCCCTGGTGGGAGCTGGCGACGAGAAGAAGCCGGTACCGGTCCTGCCCTACCCTGGAGTTTCACGTTAGTATCGGCGGAAACGTTGATTTCCGACGCGCCTCGTATATACACCGTTATCGGTGTTTTTTTTAAAAACGGCCACGTGTTTAAGTGTTCCGAATTCGAATGTCCAAAAGTTTCGAACTTTCCACGATTGGCGATTTCGCAGAAACTCCCGAAAGATTCTGGTTAAGTGTCCACCACTTAGAAAATCGTTCCGACTGCGCCACTTAAATGTTCAAAATTCGGGAGAGCGTTTTTTAAAATATTTATTTATACAGAAAGCGAAATAAAGTTTTATTCGGACTAGCCGATACTAAGGCTGCAATAATTAGAGCGTTTTTTAAAATGAGACAATCGGATATATAAAGCTTTTGATGCGATGTCGGCGAGGTGTTATCTTCTTTTAGCTTTGAGCTTCGTCTGCTGTTCGGGACATATAATTACGTTTAAAGAGCCGGTTTCGTGAATGTAAATTCGAATTGAGAAATATTTGTATATTTTTGACCGTGACATCACGACGCGCGATTTTTAACGGCGACATCCGTCCTCTACTCTGTTCGCAAATTACGCAACGAATACGGCGGCGGCGGCGCGTTTTGTGTCGTCCCGTTTCGTTTAATTTCACTTGAAACAGTGGCTCCGTTGTCCCATTCCAAAGCGGTACTCCTAAACACTTCGGCACTCATTCAACTCGAAACTGCAATTTATTTTTATTTAGGGTTATGTTATATTGTATGGCCAAGCTCAAGATCACCGATGTAAAATATTTAAACAAAATAGTAGACCATAAAAATTCGCCGGCAAACCACCGTACGCAGATGCGCCAAAGCTTTTGCGTTTAAAAAAACGTCGAATATAACTGGTTGCCTATGATTGCGGATTTATTTCGGGGCGCACTTTTATCGATGCGTTTTTATAAAAGCAGGCGCTGCCCGTGAGTGATGTTTGCGGTACGTCACGTTTAAAAGTTTTTCCGATGTCCGGGGGTGATTCGCCCCCGGCCGCTCCCAGGTAATAAAAGTATCGTGAACACGCCCGAACAACACGCGCGTAGGTGAGGGTGCATTTTCCCGATGCAGGAAGTCTGGCCATTAAGTTTATTAAAAGTGCGGGTGGACCACGTGACCACTAATGGCGTTTATTATTAGGCAAATTGAATCTTCTCGTCCGTCCACGTTTCGGAACCATTCACTGCGTACGTCCATTTGTTTATTTCTTTTTGCCGCATTTAAATAACTTTGTAGGTTCGTCGACGCATGTATGCACGCGTTCTATCCATTGTTCGAAATTCGAGCGGCCTAGGCGTAACGGAATAAATTAACGAGGGAATTGAAAAAAATTGATCCCGGATTTTGGTACGCGTGGGTTTCGATAAATATGAGCCGCGCAAATATTTCCCGCGGCCCCGATACCGAACGCGTCTCGATTTTATACGAATTTTTGGGAATAAGGGACGGTTTTCCGTTTCGATTGCCGCGCTATCTGGTATTCGAAGTTGGTATTATGCGCGATTGCGTTCCGCTTTTGTGCGGCAGATGTCGCGCCTCCACATTTTGTAAAATAAATTACCTTGAATATTTTTAGTGAACTGATAAACAATCGTCATGTCGCTTTTTAGGTATAATTTTTTGATTTTTTCTTATCCTTCCGATATGTGATTTTTTTTAAAATGTTTTAATGTGTTTTGTGATGATTATATTATATATGGCAGATATTTTTTAATTAAAATTGTAAAATGTAAATGCCAAGACGTAAGTTCATAATGAATACGCCAAAAAGCAATACTAGATTTAACTCGCTTAAGATGCTAAGGTTGAATTGTCCATATTTTTTTTCTTTACCGTTCAAATCGTTTTCTAAATGTAGACGTGAAAAGGGATGCGGGTGTTTGTGGAGACATACTTAAAAAGAATTTTTTTACATAATATCCAGAGGTTAACTAGGACCCTATAATTTATTTATTTCATTACATAATATTTTGGTTAGTTCTATTTTCTTTTTGAATTATAGACGGAAACGATTTATAACCACCCATTACTATATTTCATTCTCAAACATACACAGACAAACGGCGAGTAAAAATTGGCACCTATTTCAAGGTTGTGTAAATTCACTTCAGGTTACGACATAACTACGTTGTTATTTTATTTTTTTTTGAACATATTTGTTATTTTTCATTTTAATTAGTGCGTCTGTTTTTATAAGTTTCTACACTGAAATATATCAATTTCAAAATATTTCTGAAGCGCTAGATTAAGTGTATCGTTTTTTTTTTGTGCATTTTTATTCGTTAAAGAGACGCGCAACTTTAATGTTGGTTTAACGCGGATGTTGCATTACCATTTAAAAGGCCTCGTCTTTTCTCGAGTGCCGAGAACTATAAAAAACGGCGCAAATTGGCCAGCCGCGCGGGTTCCGTCTCAATTTCCAAGGCCCGAAGAGGCTCGTCGACCCGAGATAAACGATTTAAATTTAACTCGATTAAAGAGCTTTCGGTGCACGCGGCCACTCTCTCAAGTAAGATTAATCGCTTATTATGCACTCGAACGATCCCGAATAGTGGCGCGTTTGCCATCATTTATCCGCGACCCAATTTTCTTCGGGAATCGCAGTAGTCATTTAATAAAATGGCGATGTTTTCTTCAGGCGCACGTGGTGGCCGCGTTCGAGCAAAGCCTGACGTCGATGACGCAGCGGCTGCAACACCTCACCTCCACGTCCGAGAAAAAGGTAAAAAAAAAACGAACCGCGCGAGAACACGCCCGTTATCTTTCGTTCGTCCGATCGCAGGATAGCGAACTGCAGGAGTTGCGGGCGGCCATGGAGGCGCTGCGCGCGCAGTCGATCCAGGCGGGGATCGGGAGCGGCCTCGCGCGGCAACCCTCGTCGGACAGCGTGTCTAGCCTCTCTTCCGCCTGTTCGCTGGACAAACAGGACAAGAAGAAAAAAAAAGGCTGGCTGCGCAGCTCGTTTACCAAGGCGTTCTCGCGCAACGCCAAGGTCACCAAGGTACAGCCGAGCCACGGAGAAGACGGCGAGCAACGGCACAGTCCGCCGCCGCCGCCGCAGCCCGCGCCCATCGACCACGGCCAGGAGGTGGCCGAACTGCAGAAACAGCTACGCGAAAAGGACCTGGTGCTGACCGATATCCGATTGGAGGCGCTCAGCTCCGCGCACCAACTCGAGAGTCTCAAGGATACCGTGATGAAGATGCGCAGCGAAATGCTCAGTCTGAAGCAGAACAACGAGCGGCTGCAGCGCATGGTGAGCGGCGGCGCCGTGTCGACTACGACCACGTCGACGACGACGTCCGAGTTATCGGTGGAAGCCCGCGCGAGCGGCAGTCTCGACGCGCTCAGCGATCTGCTACCGAACGAGGAGGCGGTCGCGCCCGACGCCGAGACGGACGGCAAACGGATCGCCATTTCCGTCTACCTGGGGCAACCGCACGGCTTCGACAGATACTTCGCGGAACGGTACGGTCACGAGTCCGGCGCGGCGAAGGGGAACCACGCGTCGTCGACCGAGATCGCAGTCGCGTACACGACCATCGGGGCGGCGACGTCGTGGCCGCAGCTGGACAACGCTGTCAGACGCGCCTTCAAGCAGTACGTCGCGAGGCTCGATCCCGGGGGCGGCCTGGGCCTCGGCAGCGACTCGATCGCGAGCTACAAGCTGGGCGAGGCGGAACGCAAGCCGGAGACGGGGCCGCCGGACCTGCTACCCGTCGGCTACGCCGTAGGACGGGTGAGCACCGTCCACGTGGTCCTACAGCCGGTGGCCGCGCTCGCGTTCGAAGCCCTCATCCCGAAAGGCGTGGCGCAGCGATTGGTCTCGCTGCTCGCCGAGCATCGACGGCTCGTGCTGTGCGGAGCGCCGGGTACCGGCAAGACACACCTGGCCACCCGACTCGCCGAGTTCCACGCGCAGAGTCAAGGTCGCGACCCCGCCGAAGCGGTCGCCACGTTCAAGTAAGCATCGCGCGTGTCTTTTTTTCTATGTACACTAAATTTAGGTCGCTCAAGAAATTTCAAATAATTTGAAAAAACAAGTTTATCGCCGAATCAGTGATTGTCGGCGTAGTTTCGGCTTTTTAAGAAATAACACAAGTTCGACCTAATTAAAAATTCGTGCACTTTCCAATTTGTCGTTCATTCATCTCCATAAAACTATGATTGTTTGGTGTATTTTAGATTTGAAGTGTATTTAGCTGGCTATAATGTTTTCGGATCCTATTGTTATGGCTAGAATTGTAGCATTAATACAAGATGGTCGAGGAAAACAGGAAACTGTGAGAATTGTTAGTAATGTGCTGTACAAAATGTACGCCAACGCTGCGGGGAGACTGACTTAATCACCAGAAGACCAGCATCTGGTCGAAGAAGGATCAGCAATCAAAGGAGTGATGAATTTATAGTGTCCGCATGTTTGAGGTTGGACACATTAATGTTGGACTGTTACAAGAAGAGTGGATTGAGAATTTGGTGACCAATTTTTTTTCTCCCAAACAATATGTAATTTCTCGAGTGACCCAAATTTTAATTTTAATCATTTGCGTTAAATTGTTTAATTTGTTCACAAAAAAGTAATATATTATCTATGTGTATGTGTATAAATAATAAATATTGCATATGATTATAGTCGTCGTATGTAGTTCCGAAAGCGTTAGTTTTCCTTTGCTTCGGCAGCGTCGACAACAAGTCCGCCAAGGAGCTGCGCCAGTACCTGCAGCACCTCTCGGAACAGGCAGCCGCCGGGGACACCGGCGTGTTGCCTTGCGTCGTCGTGCTGGACAACCTGCACAAGGCGGGCCCGTTGGCCGACGCGCTCGGCTCGCTGCCCCGCACGTTGCCCTGCCTCCTGGGCACCATGGCGCAGTCGGCCTGCTCCGCGACCAGTCTGCAGCTGCAGCACGGCTTCAGGTGGGTGCTGGTGGCGCCCCACATGGAACCGGCCCGGGGTCTGTTGGGCCGCGTCCTCAGACGCCGTCTCGCCGCGCTCGAGCTCGAGCAGGGCCCGCAGCCCGAACTCGCGGCCATCTTGGGATGGTTGCCGCGCGTCTGGCAGCACCTCAACGCGTTCCTGGAGACGCACAGCAGCGGCGACGTGGCCATCGGGCCGCGCCTCTTCTTGGGCTGTCCGCTCGAGTTGGACGCGGCGCGCGCCTGGTTCGCGGACGTGTGGAACTACTCGTTGGCGCCGTACCTGCGGGAGGCGGCGCGCGAAGGTCTGCAGCTGTACGGGAGACGCGCCGCGTGGACCGACCCCGCCCAATTCGTGCTGGAGACGTACCCGTGGCCGGGGGCGCCGCCCCAGGGCCTCACCACGATATCCGCGCGGGACGTCGGCTTGGAGAACGGGTCGGCGACGCACGCGGAAAACGACGGCGACCCGCTGCTCAACATGCTGATGCGGCTGCAGGAGGCGGCCAACTACTCGAGTCCCCCGCACTCGAACGATTCCGACTGCAACAGCGTCGAGTCTAACGCGACGCGCGGCAGCAACGCGGGCGGCGTCGACGGCGCGTCGTAGTCTCGCGCCTCCACCAAGTGTGCTTAAATTTCTATTTCTGCCCCGCCGACCCCACCGCCGCGGGTAACGGCGTAAATATATATATTTTGGGAAATATATACCGAGCTTTTTTTTTCATCGCGCGTGTAGGACGTTTGTACATTTTGCGTGGAAATTGTTTAGCGAGTGTCTCTGGTCAAAATGACGTGTATTTATTTCTTTTCGGCGAAAACGCAATAATATACGCCTCACTCTTTGTTTATGTATGTACCATATTAACCCCATTGAAAGTGTTTCATAACTTTTTTATACGAGATGTATTATAAAAACTGCCAATAAATTATTTAATAACGCCGCCCGTCGAATTTTCTTTTCCACGCCGCCGTCGAATTCGAAATCCAAAAAAAAAAAACGAAATTATCGGATTTTATAAATTTTGTTAAAAGTTGACGGACACGCCTCGCAAAAACTTTAACCAGACCAAATTTTGCGAAAATTCATTGTTTAAAATTTAAGAAATTTTGCACAATCCGGCAACGCCGCCTAAAAGTTTGATCAGCGGGAATACGATTTAAAAATCTGAGGAATTAAGTCAAAAATTAGAAGCAACGCCGCGCGAAAATTTTCAAAGAATCCCAATTTCACAAAACAAAATCTTTACAATTTTATAAATTTTGCACAACCCGGCAATGTCGCGTAAATTTCCGATGCCCGGAAGTGCGATTTAAAAATCTAGGGAAAATTGACGGAAATAAGTGGCAACACCGCTCGAAAATTTTTGAGATTGAAAATGTTGCAAAATGCAAAATTTTTAGAATTTTTGAAAATTTGCACAATCCGGCAACGTCGCGTAAATTTCCGATGAGCGCAAGTACGATTTAAAAATCTAGGGAAAATTGACGGAAATAAGTGGCAACACCGCGCGAAAAATTTTGAGATTGAAAATGTTGCAAAACGCGAAATCTTTAGAATTTTTGAAATTTTGCACAATCCGGCAACGTCGCGTAAATTTCCGATGAGCGCAAGTACGATTTAAAAATCTAGGGAAAATTGACGGAAATAAGTGGCAACACCGCTCGAAAAATTTTGAGATTGAAAATGTTGCAAAACGCGAAATCTTTAGAATTTTTGAAATTTTGCACAATCCGGCAACGTCGCGTAAATTTCCGATGAGCGCAAGTACGATTTAAAAATCTAGGGAAAATTGACGGAAATAAGTGGCAACACCGCGCGAAAAATTTTGAGATTGAAAATGTTGCAAAACGCAAAATCTTTAGAATTTTTGAAATTTTGCACAATCTGGCAACGTCGAGTAAATTTCCGATGAGCGCAAGTACGATTTAGAAATGTGGGGAAAATTGAAGAAAATAAGCGGCAACACCCCGCGAAAAAGTTTGTTGTTAAACGCGTCATCTTTAGAATTTAGGAAATTTTCCACAATCAAACAACGCCGCTTCGAAATTCGATCGGCTAGAGTGCAATTCCAAAATCTAGGGAAGGTTTAGGTAAAGTGTTCAAAAGATAAACCAAATCAGTGTGTAAACATTATATTAATATATTAGACTATTTAAATACAAATATATAAATAGTATTAACAAAACAAAACTGATTAATACGAAAATAAACATAAACAAAAAATACAATACGGGAGAGAAGCACAAGCAAGCGTTCTAAATTATTCAGTGACTTTCGCCACTTACGATATGCTGGAAAATACAAACAATTAATTGCTTTGATTGGGGCTAATCAATCGCACAAAGATTAATTACCCTGATTTTTTTAGGAGAGGTAATCAAAAATAATGAACAAAAACAAACCATAGGTAAAACATTGGTAAGTAATAAATAATACGACAATAGAACGACAATTATGGTCAGTTTTGTAAATCCAGGATTGCTTCAGACTGGGAGGTGATTTATAGACGTAAGTCGAACCATTGCGGCGAGTTTGGGAGCCGCTCAATGACGTCTGGCATTCCCTTCTCATTCTACGTGCGAAAGCACACCCACAGTGTAGGGGCCAATTAAGTTACCAATCAAATCCAATAAATTTATTGTTTAAAAAAGTAAATAAAATCAATGAACGAACCTCCGGATCCGGCTGCCTAGAAAACTTTCAAGAAAATATTTACACGTGCCGCTTGAGACACGAATTGATATCGCACTCCCAACAATTAAAAACTAAACGCCTAAAAGTTAATTACGAGAAAAACTAAGTTTACCTACACATCCAGCGAGTAAAAAAAATATTCTCTCTTGGCCGGTGGGACGTACGAAAATACACTAACCTATGTTATCTTTAATCGACAATTTCATTTAATGAACGATTTCGCTTTAAAAAACGAATCACTGACGTCAGAGATCTTCCATGGCCGCTGACGAAAGGCGCGTTAAAACAGAAAAACCAATCCCGTTACGGTTCTGTGGTCTCCGTACGTTCTACGGTCTGCGTGCGTTCTATGGTCTGCGTGCGGAGAAAAGAATCTTTGGTTTTCGCGAGACCGATTTTTAGTCCTTGTTCGGAACTGAAGGGAAACTGAAAATTAAAAAGCGAAAAACCGCAACGGACGCCCGCAAATTATTCGGCACCTCGGGAAAACGAGATTCACCGCTGCTCCTTTGCTGTCAGCTTGTCGATAAGTTCCTGCAATGGCGCCAACTCCCTTCGCTCAATCAGGCTGAACTCCTGCACGAAGAAAATGAAATGCTTGAACGATGTGTTCAGGTGGGCCTCCTCGCCCAACTGCACCACTTCACTGAAATGTTGATGGTAGATGTGCGCGTACACCCTGAACAGTCGCTTCAGGATTGTTTTCGCGATCGACTGGAAGTTCTTGGGGAATGGCACTCCTATCTTTGACGGAAACAGAGTCTCGTCGTCCAACTGGTCCTGCACCCACGTCATCAGGTAATCGATGTATTTGGGGGCCGAACACTTGATAGGTTTTTTTACCGTGTGCCCGTCCGCCCAATGGTACTCGTACTTGGGACCCGCCGACATGATGGGGCAGCTGTCCTCGGTACAGAACTCTGTTATCGTGCCGTAGAGCATGTTGATTTGGTTAAAAAAATCCACCGCTGGAATAAACAATGCGTCACGTAACGCTTGCGTAATCAAAAGACGCGGAGAAGCGAGGTACTTATAGTTCACGGTTTGTTGGGTCTTTTGTTCTTTTCCTCGCTTGACCTATTTTCGCCACTGGAGTTTTCATCATCGCGAAATTGACAATAAATAGAAAAAAACTCACAGTTCACAGCCACCCATTCGTTCAAGTCCTCCCCTTCCGGCAGCATCACGGCCAGACGAAGATTACCGGAGCCCAGGGTGGCGGCCGCGTGTTTCATCAGCTCATATTGATGCGTCCCCTCGGGAATGTTCTTCTTCGGTTTAAATGTCTTCGACGAGCGGCTTCCACTAAAATCGTTACCCTTGTTATTTTTGTCCCTGACGACGATATAAATAGATTTCGTCCGCCTAATCTGGATACCCCCACTTACAAAAGGAAGCTCATTTTCGGTCCTCTTGATCAGAAAACTGGACGATAACAGCGAACGCCGACAAAGAAATCGAATAAACTTCGGTACGAATCGAGAGGGTTTCGCAACGTTACTTTTTCTTCGGTCAATCAATGAACTTACCGTTGTCACATCATATGGGAAGGAAATGAAACCACGGAATAAGTAAAACAGAGGGGTAACCACAGACCACCGCCGTGCTTGATTAGGGGATTATGAATCATTACCGTCATTCCGTAACAGTCTTCTTTTTGTATCGGGGGATATACCAGTGTCTGTCTACCTAACCAAAATATACATTTTATTCCTTCAACAACTTGTAATCGTTTTATTTTTTTTCGAATATAAATCCGTTTAAGCGGCGAAGCGAGTAACGCAATATCGATTAGCGCACCAAAAAACAAAAAGACATACGCGACTCGCAAAGCTCAACGAGGTGTCAACAATGTCGGTTTGACTTTCGAATTGAAATTTCAGTGTCTCCGGCCGCGATGGCAACAAAAACCGTGGCCACGGCCACAGTCAGGGCGGTGAAACGTAAACTGATCCCGAGCAGGGCCGCCTTGATTTTGGTAAAACCCGACGGATTATGTAAACAACCTCATAACCTCAAAAATATTATGTTCTAGACCCCAGCAGCGGTCAACAGAGTGAAGGAGCTTTTAAAAGGCAAAACCGAATATGTACGGAGCTATTAACCTACCTGTTTACGTGTGATCCGAGTTTTTGTTCTTGTAGGTGGGTTTGAAAATCGGCGTCCGACAAAGAGGCTGTAACGGCTTGTCTTACACTTTGGATTATGCAAAGACCAAAGACGCGATGGACGAGGAAGTCGCGCAAGACGGGGTGCGCGTGTTTATCGACAAAAAGGCACAGTTGACGCTTTTGGGCACAGAAATGGACTTTGTCACGGACAAACTGAGCTCCGAATTTGTGTTCAATAACCCGAATATTAAGGGGACCTGCGGCTGCGGCGAATCCTTTAGTATATAGTCACGTTTTTAGCAAAAATTGTAAATAGTAATTTATTGAAACACTTAATAAAATTGAAATAATAAAGTTACTTGTTGCTCGTGAACGGAAGTTTCGCCAGGTTTTTTAGGGCCGTTACATCCAGGATTTTATTCGCCACGGGACTAGGGTCGGGATTAGAGGTCAAAAGGTTGTATTTTTTCATGTACTGTACGGTGGCGAAAGAAAACTCGGGCCTGTTTGGGATGGGGCAAGACATCGGAGTGGCCGTGGGGCCCCCTTCCTTTGCCGCTCTTGCGAGGTGCTCGTCGGGCAGGTACTTCATGAGCAGCTGCTTGACGACAAAGCTGATCTTGTTATGGTCGTAAGACTCGCCGTCCGACGAACCCGACGATGTATCTTCCGTGCCGGGCACGTCAATCCCAATGCCCCTAAGGTGCCTCAAAGTGGCCTCTTTGACTTTGTTCACGGTTTTCGGCGTCAATTTATCAGCCTGGCAGGGTTTACATGCGCCAAGATTATCATGTCGCGGCCGAATACGCGCTTTACGGAGGATATTATTCACTTGGTCCTACAAAAATTCGATTAGAAATGATTTGACCAGTACGTGTGGCTTTACCCACCATTAAATTTTGATAAAACGTCGTGTCCACTTCCGAACACACGTCGTCCTCACTAAAAAGAAAAAACACCCAAGTTGATACTGTAATATTTATGTGTGTTTTTTTTAAAGCAGGAAACAGGTCCTCAAGTTTTTCTCATTTGTTTGAAGACACCCTGTATATCGGTTGGCGTGTTTTATATAAAACAAAGCATAGGTAATTATGCAACACCTCATCCCTTTTAATAGCATCGCATTTTGCTTCTAAATTTTTCAATAGATTACCAAAAAATATTGAAGAAATAAAATTCAGACATTAAAATTAAAAACGTTCTTACAAAGGCTTTCCATACTATGGAATATTTAAACAGCGAGAGAAAGATTGATGATTCTGATTTAAAAGATTGTGTATTCTAATTTAAATTTGATTAACTTAATTTGATTATTAAAGATTTTGACTTGGGATACAAATAGACAAGAGAAAAAATGGTCAATGGTTAGAGCGCACTCCATTCAAACCTTACTCGGAGTCCTCATAGTCGTTCATGTCGATTTTGATGCTCGGGTCGGGACTAGGACAACCCTCTCTGACTGGAATCAGGTCGTGAAGCACCATCGACGTGTCCACGCTGTCTTTCGCTTCAGTTTCGGTTATTTCTTCAATCACGGGTTCGCGGTTGTCGTCGCAATCTTTCGCGTTGCCGATATTGTTTTGCGGCGGCCTGAATGACACCTCGAAGCTCCGCATCAGGTCGATCGAGAACTTCGGCAGCCCCCTCTTTCTTGGACTGTTGTTGGTGCTCATAAACCTGTAAGTCTCGTGTTTGGTGCTGGTCAAGTACCTGCCCGTTTCGGCCGCTTGCGGTGCTCGCGTGTTCGAACCAGGAAGTAACGCGGACACCTGCTTTTGCAAGAGTAAAATTTGCTCATTTTGCTGGGCCAACTGGCGGCCCTGTTGCGCGATTATCTGCAGTAGCTCTTTAATCGACGGCTCCTCGTCCCGTTTCACCGCAGCACATTTGCATTGATTGAGGTCGACCTGTTTGCGATTTACGACCGGAGATTGGGGCCTTCTTTTGTAATTTAAAATATCAGTCACGGAATCATTGTATACGATTTTGTTGTCTGACTTTTGCGATTCCAAAAATTGACGGTACGTTTCTGGCGGTGCGGATGCGCTTGTAGCCTCTTGCTTCGATTCTTTTTGCTCCACGTTCCGAGGCAAATCGATAATGCTCAAGTCCAAATGCCGGTTAGGTATGTTTGCCATGTAAATCTGCTCGAACGTAGGGGGCGTTTGGACGGGTGCCGGTCGCGGACTGTCGACAGCTGCTAAAACTGGCGACTTTTGTTGGGGACTCTCGAACCTAACCTGCTTTTTGAGGTAGGAAGTATTTTGACTAATATTCTCCTTGTTCGATTCGGCACATCGGTTATGATAAGGGTTTTGTTTTAATTTCCAGCTCCGGTAGGGTTCGAAATCGTTAGAAGCTCCAAGAACAGAGACTTCTGGCACTACCGGCGCCGACAGCTGCAACAAAATTTACCCTGACGGGGGCGATCATTTTAAAGCGGTCAACGTTACTCGATCTCTCGGAGGAAGAAACGGCGGTCGTCTAGGAGCGTCGTAAAACGAATCCATTGCGGATACTATGCCGGTTCGACGCCAACGGTCCGCCAAATTCAATTTCAAAAATATCTGGTCTAGAGATGACACAAGTAGACCACAGAACATGACACTTATCAATTCGTAACAAATAGGTGGCAAAAAAATAATTCACGGACCATACGATGAAAAAAGGATAACTCGATATTAGTACAGCACGTGACGTCACCGCGTTGCCGATAAGGGACAAATGAAACTCGATTGATTCTTAATTTAACGGTGACCAGAGGGCTGTGTAGACGCCAATCAGTAATACCACTCTCGACATGCAGCTTGCATCTTAACAGAATTATTAAATTAACTTAAACAAAAAGATGTACTTTAAAAAGTTAGAAATAAAAATTCTCTCGTTTATTTTTATTTTCTTTGTGATTCACATTTCTTACACCGTTAAAATTGAAATTTTAACGAAAATACTATTTAAAAATAAAAAAACAACGGTGTCTTTCTACTTTTACGTTGTCATTTGTTAATTTAATCTTGATTTTTTTGTTTTTAATTAATTAAATTACAAAATTAAAAACAAAACTTTATGATAAAAGAACTAAATTTTTAAAAATTAATGTAATAACAATAAGACACACTTCAAAATAGACGTGACGATCTGTAGATAACGCGAAAAATCGGCGGACCACAGAACACGACAATTGCACGAAAACGCTGCACGGTGACATCACCGCGTTGCCGGTCGGAGGTAAATGAAACTCGCTTTGTAAGAAAACTTTCTTAATTTAACGGTGACTAGATGGCGGTGTAGACGCAAATTAAAAATACTGCTCTCAACGCGCGGTGCTGCAAGTAAAAAAAAAGGCTCAGTTGCTGCTGTCCATGTCGGGGTCGCTCTCGACGTCGGAGCTCGAGCTGACCGCTAGGTCGCCGGTCATCGCGACCCTCGCGTACTCGTCCTTGTCAATGGACTTGCAAAAGTGGATGGCGTACTTCAATTTTTGCTGAAGCACGTGCTGCAACGCACCAGCTTTCGTGTCAACCGTTTCTACCCCGCCCCCAACTTACCTTGCAGGAATACTTTGGCATTTTAAGCAGGAAAAAGCAAGTGTAACTCTCGGGCAGGAAGTGATCGGGCGGCGTGTACTTGTCGATGATCTGAATGACAAAATCGCGGCCGCGAAAATCCGCGATGGTGCGCGGAAGACGCGTCCGGCCCCACACGAACCGCAGGAACAAAGAGCGTTCCTGATTGGTGAACTCCTCCATGACTTCCCAGAACCACTGGATCAGGGGGGCGCTACTGTCAACGCCCTTGTACGTCGCGACCGACTTGAGGAGAGTGAGCGGGATGTCGGGAGAGCCGCACACCATCGTCTCCAGTTCGTAACCGCTGAACAGAGAAAGCAGCGGAACCGGGACTACCTTTGACATGCCGTCGCGTATCGCTTTGATTTGTTCGTCGAACTCGTGGAGTCTGCACAAACGATATTGTCATTTTTGCTTAAATTAATCGATTTCTTAAAGTTAAAAAAAAGTTTAATCTGTATTTAAATTTTGGGCAAATTTTTTCTATATCATGTTGTTAGTTATATTTTTGTATTTCTACTGGTTTATTGCATAGTTAATTTTTGTTCCGAACATTTAACCATTAAAATTAAGAAAGCAAAATTTCATATTAAAAAAAAAAGTTTTTCCGTTGTTTTATTTTTGTTGTCATTGGTTTTTTAATTTTTTTTATTCCTTATTTAATATAATATTTAAAAATTAAAATCAACTTGAAGGCACTCGTTTTTTACTTTATTTTTACGGGTATTAGTTACTCAATTACCAATTTCTACAACAAATGTATATTAATTCCGTTGTGTTTTGTTTTGAACAGAGAAGAAATAAGTTATGAAAGTCCAAATTGATATCAATTGAAACAATATCAAATAATTTAGGATCGAAATCACAAATATAAATTAAGAATAATGTAGGCCCAAGGACAGAACCTTGCGCTACACCTGATGAAACAGGGAGAAGTTCGGACCTTACATTGTCAAGGGTAACTAACTCTCTGACATCGTTTATTTTCCAACTTCTACTGGTTTATTGTTTGACATTGCATACTTTAGAATTTAAGTAATTTTTTTTTGTTTAACATTTTAACACTAAAATAAGACAGGCAAGGCAAGGCAAGTAAAATAAGGCAACATCTACAACAGCCAACGGACAGGTGAAACGTTACAACCATACGATCTTGACTTCACTGTCGGCAGTGTTTGCATATCTAACATTTTGGTATCAAAAGTGCTAAACGAACAAAACTTCGAGCGAACGAGCAGATTGAAAGCTATGACCGTACAGTCTTGGCTACTCTATCAGCAACAGCTGACGACAAGAGGAAGTTAGGAAGTAAGATAACTCGCATAAGCTTCTTTTCGGAACTAAACCAAGGACGATCCATTCTTAACTCTGGAACTAACTAACCTGAAGTGAAGTAGGAGTCCAAAAGAACCTGAACAGAAGTAACGCCTGTGCAGTCGAAGCAGAAGAGATTTGACATTGCTAAAAGAAACTATTTTATACGAAGTAGTGTGCTCCTACGATTACCAATGCCAACAACAAAGAAAAAAGTACTTGAACACGATAGGTATATCGGAATATATAGGAAGGTCTCTGGTCCACAGATACAATGAAGCCTTATATTACCACCCACGATGTTGTACGGACCGAAAGGTCTTAAGGAGGCAAAATGATTGTGTCTTTAGAGAATTGAGTATACGGAGAATAACGTTGAAAGAAAAATTAGAGGTTCTGCGTGTATGCGATCCCGAAGTAAACATGATCCATATGACGATGAAATTAGTAACTGCGTCACTGGGTAGATATATTGATGACAGAGTTAGATTTACATCGATATATAATTCGATGGTGAGGTCATCACAGAGGCCGCACACCGAAGGATTTGTTCGTTGCAGTGTGTTCGGTGTGTGTGTTTGGATTCTGGATCGGTTTCCGAATAACTAAGTGTTTTAACGAGATTTTGTCCATAAATTTCTTATTATACGACCAGAAATATAGTGCATTTATTGCGTTGACTTTTTAAGTATTTTACAGTACCTTCAGTTTACAAATAATCATTTTTGTCTTGTCTGCCTGTCGATCAACAACATTCTTCTTCTTGAATTTTTATGTGTTACTATTTTCGATTTGTAAACAACAGTTTTTTTTAAGACTATAGATTATATTCCCGGTAGATAAAGGTACGTCATAAGTTGTTTGTTTTTTTAACCCTTTAAAATGTGGAGAATTTGAAGACGAAGTGAATTCAAATAAAGCAAATAAAAAACCGATCCATTAGACTTTGTTTACAATTTTATAAGAAATTCAGAAGAGGAAGTAGAAGCAGCAATAAAAACAAGATTGCTTTCGAAAACTCGTCACTGGGCGGGGCAGGTTTTGTGTTGTATAGGGACGCATTGTTTTTCTATAGTGTTCCTGCGGACCACTATGGAACTTTCGCAAAATCGGACTTCAAAATTACAGCAAACATCGGGAAATATTAAAATTTGCACAAATAATAGCGTTTTGTCGAATGATATTTTTTCAAATATCTCTCGCCCTGTATAATTGACGAAACCTGAAACTCTCTCACGACACGATTTACGATACGGTTCAAATAAAATTATCCCATCTTTAACGGTTTTTCATTTATCGCAAATAATTTATTAGCCACAAAAACGGAAATTTTTAAGATATTTTAGATTTTTTGCCCATAAACGACACACCCTGTATATGTATATATGCATTGTTCGAAGTAGAGGTTATAGCCTGGATTTTCCATGCAGTGCGCCACTTGTTACTACAAGTGACATAGAACGTAATCAATTGTTACTTTGTACTAATTTCTTGATGAACACATTTCAACAATTGCTGTGCGAAAAAGATTGAAAACATACTTATATCCCGCCTGTTAGTGTAGATACATTCCTAGGGCGGGCCTGGAATGGTTACGGGTAAGGGGCCTGTGGTTTTAGAGTAATAAACAGTAGGCAAAGTTAATCACGGGGTCGGTTGTAAAAGCACTATAATTCTGATTGAAGTATACCAGCACACATACGTGGACGACATTTTAACTTGTTACTTTTCAAAGCAAATCAAATGTCGAATAGCTTTTAACAATGGTAATCATAGCAAAAATATTCTTATGACGAAACAATAGCATAAACGTTTCAAAACAGTTTTTCCAATAGTCAAATATAATATTTTAACTCCAAAAATTCCGTACCACTTCTTAACTATAACTTAAAAGTAGTTTTTAATAATAACAACAAAAACACAACAAAAGCGTGTATAAACTTTAAGTTAGTTAAAATACGACGAAATTCGATTCTATATGCACAGGCTAGCGACTAAAGCTCAAATACAAAATGGTAGGTATCGAATAAGAACGTCGGTACGTAGGATATCCTATACCGATGAGTGAGTGCAAAGTGTGCGAAATAATATCCTCAACTCCCTTAACACGTTAGCTTTTTATTTTTTTTATATACAGAGTGTTCATTCGAAGAAAATATCCGCTTCCTTATTTTAAATAAAACAAGTTTGTAATTTTACGTTTCAGGCCCAAAAATAATTAACAATTTTTCTCGTAAGGGAGCCTTCATTATTTAACTTTGGGCGGATTGCGGTTGCATACGTTATATAATAATTTATAATCGTGCTTGTGCAAGAAAATATTCTCCTTACAGACCCCCAAAAATTCTCAAGGATTTCGAGAAACAACTATAGACATGATTCTATCTTCGAGCTCAGCTCAATATTCTGCTTTTGCTTTTACTTAAAAAAAAAATGCCTTTTTCTTTTGGTCAAATTCTACGAGACAAAACGAAGATTGTTATGCTTCGCAAGGCTTCAGAAGGTATGACAAATGTCGCAAATCGCAAAATCTTTAGAACTTAGGAAATCACGCACAACGTCGAGTAAAATTTTTAAAAATCCATCGCAAAATTTAAAATCTTTACAATTTAGGAAATTTTACCCAATAAGGCAACGTCGCCTACGGAATTTGGCTTAAGCATACAAGAAAACGTAAAGGACTCACCTAAAGTTCAACGCTAACCGCACGTATTCGAGGCGGTTCTCGTACGATATCTTCCGGTACTTGGCGCTGAGCGGCACGTCGGTGCCGCACGACGACGGCGTCGAGAACGGCATCTCGAGGTTGCGAAAGAGGGGCTCGTCGGGTCCCGCGTCCCGTATACAGAGCAGACCGGGCACGTAGTCGCGATCGATCTCGGTCAAATCGGCCGGGGTCAATTCGACGCCGGCCAGCTGCTTCCACACCGGTTCCGCGAGGCTCAGGCTGAGCGGCGAGCCGGTCCTGATCGCGACGCCCATCAGCACGCCCAAGAACCGGAACATGTTCAGATGGAGGCAAGTGGTCGCGGTCGGGTTCGGCACGAAACAGTCGCGATTCGCGCCCGACTCGTCCCTCCCGTTGGGCGTGGGGACGAGCAACGGCAACGAGCCGTTCTGTAGTTCGTCGCACATCTCGGCGATGCTCTCGCTGTAACCGCCGCCGCAGTCGTCGACGCTCTCGCCGACGAACTCCACCTTCCACACGCGGTGCGGCAACGCCAACGCCTCGGACGTCAGCAGGGGCAGTTTCGTCACCATCTGACCGAACACGGACTTGATGCCGTCGACGCCGGCGAGGCCGCCGCCCCTCGATCGCGACTTTTTTACTTGGAGCCGGTTCAACTCGACGATCGGGCCGTGGTGCTTGTCCCGCACCATGGTCGCCTGCACCACCTTGCGGAACGTCGCCTCTTTGATGTAATAGATGAGGATGTGGCGCAGCTCGTGCAGCGACTCCTCGCCCGAGATCGGGAACATCGCGATGCACGGACAGATCAGTTCCGTAAAATGATGGAGCAGGACGAGACGTCGGTGCAGCACGCGCGCGTCGATGTCCCGCAGTAGGTCGTATTCGATCGGCGCGACGGCCGGCAGCCGGGCGGACGCCGAACTGTCGGTCGACCAGGCGAGCGTGTGGGCAGAGCCGCACGCCACGTGCGTGATTTTCTTGGCGTTCGTTTGCAACGCGGCGACGACCCGCGGTCTCTGGATACCGTTGGTGGTGCCGTCGCCCAATTGGCCCTCGTCGTTGTCGCCCCACGTGAACACCTCGCCCGCGTCGGAGCACGCGACGCAGTGCAGCGAGCCGGTCGCGATCGACACGATCCGCTTGCCTTGGAGCGCCGCGACCTTCTTCGGGCGTCGCATGTGGTCGGCGGTGCCGTGGCCGAGACGATGGTAGTCGCCCTTGCCCCACGTGTACACGCTGCCGGAACGCGTGAGCGCGATCGAAAACTGCGACCCGCACTCGACCTTGACCACGCCCAGTCCGGCTAAACTCTCGATTTTCATGGGCACTTTGCAGCCGTCGGAGCCGCCGCGGCCCAGTTTGCCGTAGTCGCCGTCGCCCCACGACCACACGTTGTCGTCGTCGGTGACGCAGAGGGTTTGGGCGTCGCCCGAGCCGCAAGCCACGTCCACCACCTTGTAGCCGACCAGCGCCTCGACAAGTTTCGGCTTGAGCTGGTCCTCGCTGTCGCCGTGACCGAGACGCCCGTACCGGCCTTTGCCCCAGGTGTAGAGGTGGCCGGAGGCGGTGACGGCGGCCGAGTGGGCGCCGCCGCACGTCACGTCGACCACCTCGTAGCCTTGGAGGGCCTCGATCAGCTTTGGTTTCTCGCAGGAGAGGCGGTTGCCGTGGCCGAGTTTGCCGTCCTCGCCTTCGCCCCACGAGTATACGTCGCCGTCGGCGGACAAGGCGAGACAGTGCTTGCCGCCCGAATTGATGGCGATCTTTTTCACGAACACGTGCTGGATCGATTCGAGGAGGGTGGGGACGAGGACCGAGTCGCAGCCGCCGATACCCAGACGGCCGCCGGCACCGTAACCGGTGGCATAGACTTTGCCGTCGGCGGTGACGGCGAAGAGGGTCTGTTCGCCGCCGGCCAGTTGAACGGGTCTCAGTTGCGTGAGGGCCTCGCACGGCGTCGGCACCTTCACCTTGGCGCCGTCCACGCCCCCCAACTGACCACGGTGGTTGTGGCCCCAGCCGTATATCGTGCCGGAACCGCCCCAAGACAGCGTCCAATCTTCGGGACGCCGATTCAACCACACCAAAAGTTGTTCGTCGTGCTCTTTCTTGAACAGCGTGTGCTTCTCGTGGTCCCGGTAGCCGCCGCCGCCGTCGTCGTCGTCGTCGTCGTCGTCACCCGCGTCCGCGCTCTCGCAAAACTTTTTCCGCACCTCCACGCAAAACGACCGCGGCAACGGGGCGCGACGAATCAGCGACTTGAACACCCTCGCGGCGTTGCAGTACCGCCTGAACCACGCCCTGAGCACGGGGTGCCGTGGTTGATACGCGCGAAAAATCGAATTTACACACTTACCACTTGTGGTTCTCGACGACGTCCGGCATGCGGTCCACTTCGAGGTCGCACGCGAGCGCCGCGAGCACCTTGAAAAAGTCAGAGTGCATCAGGTGGAGGCCCGCCCTGACCGAGCCGTCTTCGTACTCGTACTGGCGGAGCAGCGCTCGCGGGAGCTCGTCGAGGAGGCCGGCCAACGCGCCGTCGGACGAGCCCAGACGGGCGAGACGGCGCGCGGCACCTTCGTCGTCGGGGTCGTCCGTCAATATATCGCGGAGCTTTCGCAACGCCCACATCCTCTGGTGGGCGGCGAGAAAACCGAGCTGCGAACAGGACGCCAGAGCGGTCGCGAGGCGGGACGTGAGGGCGGGGTCCGCGGCCGCGTGTAGCCTCGGATCCAACAGACATGCGACCGTGTCGATCGAGGGTTGGCCGAGGATCGCTCGGTCCGAGCCCGAGTCGCGAAGGCCGCCGCTCGACACGACCGGATAGACGGTGAACCGCCATCCCCACCCGTTGACGGAACCGTCGCTGGTGAAGGTCCAGCGCAGTTCGTCGCCGGGAATCCTTAGTTCCGAGGACCAGTCGCTCCACTCGCGGCCAGACCGCGTCGCCACCACTTTGCCGGTACCGTCGGTGATTTGCAACGGATCGTGACGCCGTTCGGTCGAGCAGCGTCGGTCGAACTCGACGCGGAGCGCGTCCGCTCCCGGGAGGCGCACGTGACCGCGCAGCGTCACGTCGTCGACGTACGGATGACTGGACTCTTGCACCACGGGATGCGGACTCGTCGAAGAGGCGTGCGTCGCGTTGGCCGCGTCCTCGAGTTCCGTCACGCATATCTCGAGCAGCGTGGCGCGTATCGACGCGTCTCCGGCGCCCATCGCGATCAAAACCGACGAAAGGACGTCCTTGGCGTGGTCGTCCTCGATCCGATCGGCCACCGCGAGTTTCAGCAAGTCGACGAGCAGTCGGGCGTCGTTTTCCGTCAGCGGGGACGCGAACTCGTCCAAAGCGGCGTCGCCGTCACCGACCACCTCCGCGTGGGACGTCAGGGTGGCCGCCACGACGGACATGGCGCTCGTCGACATCCTCGAGTGTTTGGACGAGACGCTCGCGGAGCAACTGCTCGCCGTCATCGATTGCGGGAACGTCGCCTGCTGGTTGTCGTCGGCGGTTTCAGCGTCCGCGAGTGAGGCGGGCGCCTCGCCGCCTCCGTGGTTCGGTCTCTCGTCGCCCGGGGTCGTCGCCGCCGCGGCGTCCGCGTACTCGGGCAGGTTCTTCACGTCGGTATGGCTGCGCAGCGCACCGACGATCGCGCGTCTCAGTTGCTGCACGTGCATCGCGTTCAGCACGTGCTGGAGCGCCTGTTGTTTGGCGGCGTTGCTCTCTAGCGACATAACGATGTCGCTCAACGTGGGCGCGTTTTTCGAGGTCGTCGGGGTCTGAGACGCGTCGCCGTCGTACAGTCCCAGTATGGAGGAGCCGAGCGGATCTTTGGCGACCGGGAATATGACGGGCTCCGCCTTGGACGCGGTCTGCGTGTCTCGCGACGTCCACGCGACCGAGTGCGAGCTGCCGCACGACACCCTGTTGACGCGGACGTCGTCGAGGCCGTGGACCGGCGCGGGTTTTCGATTAACGGCGGTGGTGCCGTTGCCCTGCTGGCCGTGGTCGTTGTCGCCCCACGCGTACACCCGTCCGTCGTCGGTAACGGCCAGGCAATGGAGCGCGCCGACCGCCACGTGGACGACGCGTTTGTCGCGCAGCGACTCGATCATCGTCGGTTTGCGCACGTGTTGATCGGTACCGTGGCCGAGACGGAAGTAGTCGCCCTTGCCCCAGGTCCAAACGGTGCCCGTTTTGGTGAGGGCCAGCGAGAATTGGGCGCCGCATTCGATCTGCACGACACCGAGGTGGTTGAGTTTCTCGACGTTGTGGGGCACGTCGCAGCCCTCGGAACCGCCGCGGCCCAGCTTGCCGAAGTCGCCGTCGCCCCACGAAAACACCAGACCGCGATCGGTGAGGGCGAGGGTCTGCGCGTCCCGACTCCCGCACGCCACCTGCACGACCCGGTGCCCGGCCAACGCCTTCACGAGTCGCGGTTTCAGCTGCGTGACGCTGTCGCCATGGCCGAGACGGCCGTACTCGCCCAGACCCCACGTGTACAGTTCGCCACCGCTGGTGATGGCGGCGGAATGCGAGCTGCCGCACGCCACGTCGCGGATCTTTTTACTCTTCAGCGCTTCGACGAGTTTCGGCTTGTCGAGATTGAGACGGTTGCCGTGGCCGAGTTTGCCGTCCTCGCCCTCGCCCCACGAGAACACCTTGCCGTCGAGGGTGAGGGCCATCGCGTGTTTGCCGCCCGAATGGACGGCCACTTTCTTGACCACATACTGACTAAGGAAGGGCACGGGCCGGGGGTGGGGCACGTTCATGCTGTGCCCGAGGCCGAGACGGCCGTTGGTGCCTTCGCCGCAGGCGTAGAGTTTGCCCTCCTGCGAGACCACGAACAGCGACTTGGAGCCGCCGGCGATGTGGATCGGTCTCAGTTGGGCGAGCGGTTCGGAATACGCGGGAAGTTTGACCTTGGAGCCTTTTATGCCGCCCAGCTGGTCCTTGTCGTTCAGGCCCCACACGAACACGCGGCAGGCCGAGTCGTCCGGCGAGGCGACGTGTTCGTCCCGGGAAACAGGCGCAGGCGCCTCCTCGTTCAGGTCCCAATCGTTCGCGAGGAACGACACCGACGTCTTCGGTTCGCCGTAAAAGTGTTTCTTGACGCCGACGAGGAAGACGCCGTGCACCTTGCAATCGATACCGTTGTTGCGGCACTTGGTCACGTTGATTTCGACTATGGGGTAGTGCTTGTCCATGTTGGAGAGTAACGGGACGACGGTGTCGTTGGTTTTCACCGATACCGAGTCGAGTTCGAAAAGCGAGTTGACGGTGTAGCCTCCGTTGACGACCACCACCGACGGCATGTAACTGTTGTCGGACGGGTCGACGCCGATTTTCAGACTCTTGACGACCACGTCCGGATAGAGTTCGAGACGAATCCAGTGCTTGCCCTGGGAGCCGTTGCTCTGCCACGTGCCGCCGGGCAATTCGAAACGCGTCCCGTACTTGGACGAAACGGACACGTTCTTGACGAGTCGCGTCCACTCGGTGACGATCTCGCCGTCGACCTCGAACGTGTCCTGACGGTAATAGCGGCCGGCCCTGCCCGCGCTCACCTCCCCCGCGCCCGGCTCGTCGATTCGCCCGAACGCGTGCCGGTGGTTCCGCTTGGTGTAGAAGCAGTTGTCGCAGAGGTCGTAGCCGTCGCACGTTTGGCACTTGAAGCGGGGGCCGCGGATTGGCACGGCGCAGCAGCCGGCGCAGGCGACGCCGTCGTGGCAAGCGGGCACCGCCTCCATCTCCGACAGTAGCCCGGTCCATTGTTGTTGCTTGGGGAAATCGACGGTGACGTCGTGGCCGTTGGCGGCGATCGCGGTGACGACGCCGACGCTGTCGTGGGTCGCGTAGCCCCACTTGTACCTGGGCGTGGCGACCGTGGGTTTCACGCGCACCCGGTCGCCCACTTTGATGGAGGCGGGCGCGGGCGCGGACGGCGGGAATCCGAGCAGTTCGACGTGGATGAACCGCACCCAGTAGGTGCTCACCTTGTGCTGCCAATTGACCTGCAGATTGAGGTCGTGCAGGCCCTCGCGATCGATCTTGATCACTTTCCCGACGTCACCGAGCTGCACCTCCTCGTAGCTCTTGCAGCAGCGCACGAGCATGCCCACCTCGACGTTGTCGCGCACGTACATCGCGTACTCGTCGTTCGATAGGAACTGAGACCGACGGCAGAAGCTTCGCGAACCGGCGTCGTCGCCGTAGACGTCCGCCGCGGCGCCGGTACCGTTGTCGTACGATACCGATTCGGTATCGGACTCGTAAACCGAACTCAGCGATTCCGTATCCTCGGCCGCGATCTCGGGATGTTCGAGGAGCCATCCGACTATCGATTCGGGATTAATGGGGTCGTCGCGTGTCACCGTCAAAGTCTTTAACGCGCATTCGACCGCCTTCCGCGTGAATCCCATCTCGACGATCTGGTTGACGACGGGAGAGGGCGTGTCCTCGTTCAGTTCCATCCTCTTGCTCGTCTTTTCGCTGACGACGCTCTTCACCGAACACTCGCTGTTGGGAGTGGCCGGCTCGCTCGTGGGGCCCCTCGGCATCGTCGGTTTGTCGTTGCTGATGCCCGACGACGACTCGAAATTTCCTTCGGCCGCCAAGTACTGGCTCAGGTTGAGCGCCGCCAGCTGCATATCCGCTAGACGGAAGCCGGGTTTCAGAGGACTCGGCTGCGTCGCCTTGGCCAGCAGTTTCTGGATCAGAAGCACCGGCTGCTGGTTCAACTCTTCTTCGATCGATTGCTGTTCTTGCGACTGATCCATGCCGTTCACGGGGTACCTCAGCACTTTCCTGAGACGACCCCGGTGGCCGAGCAGTACGCGCGTCGCGTTCAACGCGCTCAAGACGTTCTGCTGGACGCGCAAGTATGCCAGATTCACCTGGCCGTGATACGACTTCCTCTCGTGCGGGTTCGGCGAGCCGTGACGGATCATCAGCAGGCCGGCCCACGTTTTAACGGCCGCCTCGTTCATCGGCATTTTTTCGAACGAAAACTCCGGCTGCGGCGCGAGCTTGGGCCCGTGGACGGGAACCTTTTTCACCTCGCCGGTCTCGTGCAACTGCACGCACAGTTTGCCCTTGGGCGTGACTCCGATCACGGTGCCGGGCGCGCCGTCCACCTCGGCGAGGGCGCCGATTCGGGGTCGCGTGTCCCAACCGCCGACGACGTTCATACAGGCGATGACCGCGAAATGCTGCAGGTCGGAAGCCACGCCCTCGGCGCCGAGAAAGTAAGCGGCGAGGGCGAGCTTTTGCGCTATGACGGCGTTGAGCACCTGATTCCAGCCCAGCGAGGTGTGCAGGCCGCGCAGCAGGACGACGATTTCCTGCGCGAGGGTGCTGCTGTGCGACTGGGTGAGCAGCACGAGCGACTTGTCGCCGACCGCCGGTTTATTGCCGACATCGTAAGAACAAGTGACGATGACGTTACCGAGGATGTGCAGCAGCTTGTCCGACACGACCGGTATGTCTGGACTGTCCATGTCCCAGGACGCGAGCACGGTGCGCAGCAGGCGCACCGTCATAATTTGTTTCGGCAAATTCAACTCGTTGCCGCTCGCGGGCGGCGTCAAGAAGCCCAGCAGCATCGCCATCCAGGGTTTCGTACTGAACGCCCTGCACATCTGCCGCGTCTGGCACACCGTTCGGATCAGCGTCAAACCGCACCATTCGGAGCCGGCGCCGCCCAGAGCCGAGCAAAACAGAGCGCTCAGGCCATGTAGCGTAGTCTGGTGCAGATCGTCCCGCGACAGGCCCGCGCCGACCGCCACGTTTCGTAGGAAATTGACGCACGCCTCGCGCAGCATTCGAATCAGGCGATTGTCTCTCGCGACGGGCGACGTTTTGTCGCGCGACTCTTCGCTCTCCGTCTCGGACGTAACGGGGGACGGAGGCAACGCGAGTGCGAGGTCGTACTTGCCCTCGATGCCCATGCGGTAACTGTTGGTGGTACCGTTGGCCCATTCCACCCGTACCCATCCGTCGTCGCCCAGTTCGCCGATGACGCGACCTTCGCCGGGCGGGCTGCCGTCTTGGTCGCCCCATTTCCAGTCCACCCCACGCACCACCCTCGCGCCCAGTTTCATGAGGTTGGCGACCTCGGGCCCGCTCAGGGAGCTCGGTTTCGGTTTGTCACCGTCAACGACGTCCGCGTACAACACGTAACACTCGGACGCTCTTCTAGTCGCCGTCTGCTCGCAGCACGCCTGCTTGAGCAACCCCAGCACCGAACTAATCACGCCGCTGTTCACTAAGGGGCTCAGTTCCGGCGCGTTGTAACGGTCGGACGCGAGCACGCCGAGCAATGCGAGCAGCATACGCGCGCGCGGTACGTCCCGCAGGAGGGCGTGCGTGCCGAGATTGAGGACGACCTTGGGGTTGCCCTTGAGTTTCCCCGATTTCGCGGGCACGTCCCTCAGGATGTAGTTTCGGAGGGCGTCGACGCACCATTCGGTGACGGCCAGCTGCCCGAGCATGGTTTCCGTTTTCAGGAACGGTGTCACCAGCTGAATATTGTCCAAGCAGTGCTGCGCCCGTCGGTCGTCGGTTGTTTTTTCGGCGCCCAAATAACCGTTGATTATCGCGTATCTGACGGACGTTAAGAGCGTCGTCTCGTTCAGCAATTGCCGGATCATGTTCAGACCCCCTTTCCTCGTTTTACACCGTTTAACCTAAAGCAACGGGAATAGGTGGAACGAATCGAACGCAGTTAAGCATACGTTAATTTTCTAAAGTTAAAAGTACCGTCAATCCGAACCGACAGAATTTTGTTAATGTTTACGTTTGCCTTTTTTGTTGAAATCGGTTTGGACTTGTGAACACCCTAGGCACCGTATTCATTGTGCATTGTGTATTCGAAAATTTAGAGACGTGAGCTGCGATGTTTTCGCCTGTCTAATAGATTATAAAAAGGCATCCTGAAGAAAGACGGTATGGACGGAAAAGATCTGAAAATCATAGCTAATTTCAATTGGAATCAGTCCTCAGGGTGAGCCTACTGCAAGGTGTTTCTCCCCTGATTTTCAATCCATATTCTAAGTATAGATGAAGGTATCCACATAAATGATTTCGAACTTAACAACCTGCGATACGCAGATGATACAATAGTATTCGCGGATACAATAGAAGGCTTGGAAAAGCTAATGGACAAAGTTACAGGGGCAAGTAAACACACTGGTAAAACCAAACCTATGATAATCATTAAAAAAGGCATCAATCAGTGCAGAATTCGAAAGGTTAAGAGTGCTTGCTTAGCTATGGATCAAGTATTCCTGCGCCTGCGCCGATTTCTCTGGATAAAATTATAAAAAGTTTGTGTGTTATCGGCATAGACGCGAAAGACACGACTTGGAAAATTTTGAAATATACATGGAGAAAAATGTCTGGCCTAGTAGTATTGATCCCTGTGGAACGCCTTTATTGAGATATAAAAAAGAAAATAATTTGGAGTTGTATGTCACTGCTGTTTAAATATATTATTACTGAGATAACTAGATAGTAGATTTACTGCGTTTATAGAAAGTCCTATGTCATGTAAAACTTACGTACATCTAGAGCTTTGAAAAAATCATCGGTCATTTTCAAAATGGCCGTTGCGCCACAGTTGAAGTTGTGAGTTAATTAATTAATTAACAGTTTTATAAAAATCAATGAATTTTCAAAACGAACGTAAATATAGTATTTTTGATTTGTTCTTTTCAAAATTTAAATATCTGTAAAAAAACGGGCATTTTCTAAATGCATTGAATGGAAAGTTTCGGTTATTTTTAATTTTCTGTAGGTTAAAAATTTCACGGATTAAGTAGACATCAAACATTTCAGATTTCCATTTGAAACGTTAAAAAAAAATAGAGCAAAATCACACTTGGCACTTACCTTAACCTCAAAAATGAATATATAAAAAGAAATGTTGTTGCTTAATTTTTCAAATAAACTTCCACACTTCCACTTTTTACAAAACTTCTGGATTAGTTTAGCGTCGGTTTTTGTTGAGTAGTTAACGTTTCGCCAATCATTCTGTTGGCTTCTTTAGAGCTTGACTGAAACTGACTCGCATTTTACTCTGTACCTGCTTTTATGGGAATAAGAGAATCAGCCATCCGACACGGTGTTTATGCCCCCCTGATTTAGCTCCACCCGCCTCAAACAATATACAAGCAGGTACAGAGTAAAATGCGAGCCAGTTTCAGTCAAGCTCTGAAGAAGCCAACAGGGTGATTGGCGAAACGTTAGCAAGTTTGACTCTACAAAAACAGACGCAGGAGGAATCCAGAAGTTTTTATAAATAGTATTACAGTAGCCTGTGGAATTTTCTTTGAGAAATTATTATGTTAATTGCTATATCTATTTGATTATGGAAACTTTGGAATAAAATTTGGAAAAATGGTTACGTTTTCTCTTTAATTTTGTATTGATGCTTTTCTGTTACGAAATAAGGTCACTTGTCTCGTAACGTAAAAATCGAACCGTAACATCACCACTCACCTGCAAGTACATGACCTTGCGCAGCACGTCTACGTCGACGCCGGACACGACGACGAAATCCAATATGGCGCCCATCAGGTCCAAATTTTCGGCGCACGCGCGGCTCATCTGTTTCTCCGTCAAACGGGACACGATACCGGCGAGGACAATCTCCCGCTGCGTCTTCTTCTCCTTCTCGTCGTCGTTGCCGTCGAGTTTCGGCGCAGCCTCCGCCATCTTCTCGGCCACCCACTTACCTCCGTCCGGCGCCCTCTGCCGTCCGTTCTTGATCTCGTTGTTAACGTCGTCCGTCTCGCTTTTGCCGTCGATAGGTGTCGGTTTCCGCGTCGTTCCGTACTTCGCGAGATCTTCGTGCGACTTGCGCTCGACGCTCTGCGACTGAATGGTCGCGTTCACGATATCCTCCGGTTTTTGAATGTCGGTGGTGTGGCGGCCACATTTCAATTCACGGATCACTTTTTTGACGAGCGTGCGCACCCTTGGCTCCCTGTAGAGGGCGTTCACGTTCTTGAACGCCTCCGTCTCGACGCCGACCGCCGCTTTCACCTCGTACAAGAGAAAACGGCAACGCTCGAGCAGCGGTATGCATATCTCCTTGTAACTCTTGTTCGCTTCTTGACGCGCCTTGATCAGGTTCCATTTGGTCTGGTGCACCAGGCGGATCATTTCGGCGACGGGTGGCGGTACCCTCGCGCCGCCCGGCTGCGACGCGTCTGTGAGAGGGGGAAACGTGAGAGATACGCGAGCGAGGTAGTTCCGACACGGTCCGCTACGGCGCTACGTCGCCGACTACGTAAACTTACATGCATCTAAGATCGGCAACAACACGTAACCGAGGCCCAAGTGCTTCAGCAAGACGGCAAACAGAACCCTGCCGATCTCCTCTACTGGGTGTTCGAACGAAAAATCGACCCGGGTCAAGAAATTGTTCGCCTTCGAATGTTGCTCTACTATCGCCAGAAACGCTATAACGTACGGGTCCTGCGGGACCACCGGAATGAACAATAGCGGACGGTTAACAATGAAAAACTACGCTACGGATTAGTGCGCCGCTACGCGTCTACGACTAAGTCCGCACTACGCCGCGCAGAGGTCATTTTTATTTATTAAGGAATTAATAATTCGTAAAAAAAATATTACAGGAGTTACCTGAAAGATATATTACATTACATTATTCTAAATCATATATATATATATATATATATATATATATATATATATATATATATATATATATATATATATATATGTATATATATATATATATATATATATATATATATATATATATATATATATATATATATATATATATATATATATATATATATATATATATATATATATATATATATAAGAAAGGAACTAAACTATCTGCAAAACGATATGCATAAAGTGCAAGCAAATTCAGGACTGCAATGTCGAACTGTCTTATATAGCAAAGCAGAAGCTTACTGTTATAGGTATTTATAGAGATATGAACTTAGACCTATTGAAGCAATCACAAGCTATCAATAATTATAAAATCGTAATAAAAATGAATGGTTTTAAATCCAAAGCATAATACTGCTACGGAATGCAACTAGACAAACTAACACTGCAGCATCTATCCTAGCTCACATAATAACAAACAAAGACTTAACATGCACAATCAAACTGGAGGGCAGCGACACACAAAGTAATGTACGTAGAATTGAAGAAAGCGATAATTATAAAAAAAAATATTTAAAAAGAACTTACCTAAATGAAGATAAGTGGCTCAAGAGTGTACAAGAAAAAATGCAGCAAAATGAACCAAAAATGTTTCGACAACTAGCTGAAATAATAACAAGAAAACTTGTACTGGATCTCTAAAGAATACCTAAACAAACTTAAGGAAAAAGACAAGCTGTTAGATGGAAAAAAAATAACAACGAATACTTAAATAACTTAAGAACAACACTACAGAGAGAATACGCTGAAAAGAATTTTAATGAAGCAAAAGAGAAACTCTAAGAAGATCTGGAAGATTTTAAACGAACTAACGAATGCCAAGAAAAACAAAACTAAAAGAATACATCAAATAATTAATGCAACTGAAGAAGAAGAAGAAGATGAAGTTGTGGCTAGCATATAATGGTAGAACTTACTAATAATGTCCCGCAAATTGGAAACTACCCTGAAGATTTGAACGTGGCTAAAATCATCCCGATATACAAAAAAGGAGCGCATGACGAAATGAATAATTACAGGACAATCTCCCTACTCAGAACTTTGTGCAAAAAATTATTAAGGCAAGATTAATAAAATTTATTGTTTATTAGAGGTCTGCAATAAATTAAAAAAATATATATCATTCTATTATTCTTTTTTCATTGTCTTTGTCATTTGTTTTTTTATCGTATTTACATTTTTCTTGGCCACAAAAAAGGAAATAGTGCTGGAAATAGTCGATGAGTATTTCCCGAGTTCAATTGTCTAATGTGATGTTTGTGGAACGAATTGTAAAATTGTGATTTCTACTTGTGAAAGGCTGAAGTGAGTAAACTTTTCATGTATATTTTCATTATTTTTTAATATGTGTAAAAGCCTCAAAAAAAAAAAGAAAGGAATAACTATGACCCCTAATTACTCGTTTTACATAAAACACAAATCGGTACAGTTGCAGATTTCGATGTTTTTCCATGTTTGTGTTAAAACTTATTTTTTCCGTTACTACATTTTTTAGCATTTTTATCATTAATAAATTTAGGTGCCAAGAGGTGCCAATATGTAAAGAAATCAATAACCATGTCAATGGAGCAGAGAAAACTCAATACAAGAGATCAATGCTGCTGTTTTGAACTATGTTATAAATATGCTTCATTTAGAAGATGATAAGGATGACAGTATAGTTAAGGAAAAAATAAATAGTTTTACTAGTTTTGTTTCCTCTCTAACTGGCTGGATAAATCCATAATTTTTGTTGAAGATGAGGAAAAATCGGGTCCAAGTAGAGGTAGACCTCTGGAAAATACCTTTGCAAAAGTATTCCACACAAGAGTTGACAAAAGAAGTGGTTCCAAATATTAAACAACAAATATCGGAAATAGAACCAATTAATATTTTACAATATAAAATACAAATTTACCATATTTTCAAAATGACCATGATAGATGGCAAGCTCTTCAGCGTAGTTAGTGAGTCTTCAAATCCTACTTATGGTATATGCGGTGCAACGCCTACAGTTATGAATAACTTAGAAAGTGTATTAAATATTACACCGAACGACATTTTATATGACTATGGCATCTCAACACTTCACGCTTGGATAAGGTGTTTAGAATGTTGCCTGCATATCTCCTGGTGTTTAGAATGTTGCCTGCATATCTCCTATAAAATAACGATAAAAAAGTGGCAGATACGAGAAGATGAGAAGATATTCTGTTGCTTCTGCAATAACAGGGGTGGACGAAGAATTTTTGAAGCGATTATACGTTCCGGATATGAAATAGACGTGGACGCGTTTACCCAGTATTGCATGGCAACAGCCAAATTGTTTTTCTACTCCCGTCTGTAAAATACCTAATTACCCACCAATCTAGCGTGTGGGAAGCGTCAGTTTCCTTTCCCATGAATCGGAGCCACTTCGGCAATTCCCGGGATTTTACCGCACAGATCTGGGAGCAATCGGATGTTGTCGGAGATATTTCCCACGCTTTGAATTTTGACGTTTGTCAGTTCTGACGGTTATGTCAGTGAATGTATTCGTGTTGTGTTGCGAAAATGTACCCAAAAACTAACGGTCGTAGAAAAAGTATAGTATGCAACACGTTCGGTAAACTTTTTAACTCACTCGTTTATTAAACACTCGCTCCGTTCGTGTCAAATAAACTCGTGGGTCAAATGCCTTTTGCAGCACTTGTTGCATAATATATTATTGTGGAACGTTACTCATGGTATTTTGCAGATGACTCTACATTTCAAACATCAAACCCAAATGTGGATATTCCTAAAGGAGACGCAGTTGGCGAAAGAACATGCAAATATGTGGTTTAGAGCAAATCGCCTAAAATTTAATGAGGACAAAACTCACTCGTTAGTCTTTTCAACAAATATAAATATTTCGGAAGAAAAGGCTGCGAAGTTGTTGGGTGTGGTGATGGATGTTAGGCTCTCTTGAAGGGACCATATTGCTTATTTAGTAAAGCGCCTCTCAAGTGTCAACTTTTTGTTACAATGATTATCTTGGATTATCAAGTTCCGAGCTACTATGCTCTTTTTTATTCAATTTTATCATGTAACGAAATTCAATAGATTCCATAAAAATTTTTCGTATGCAAAAAAGAGCCATCAGAATTATTCCAAGACATGATACAGAAACCATTGTCAACCGCTGTTTCAGTTTCTTGTGTATTGCACGGTTTTTGAAATTCATAACTCAAAAAATATATAAAATACCCCACTTCCTCCTCAAATTTGCTTCGAACTAGGAAGTTTAAATACACTAACAGAATGAAAAATTCTCTTGACCTAAGAGCCTAAAGCAAGAGCCTAACTTGGCAGCCTCTGAACATCATGATGGGTCAAACGAATTTTCCGTTGTACCGAATAGACATGTAATTTTTATTATTGTTTGTAAAGTAACAAATGAGGAGAATATTTTCGTGTCGAAATATGCGTTTTTCATGGTAACACCCTATATGGAATACTTTTTTCAAGATAAAAGTTTTATTTTTACATTAGATGTAGAAAATACGGAATAGGAGTATACATTTTACTATTGCTTTTAAAGGAACAAATTGGGATAATATTTTTATGTTGAAACAAAACTTTCATTTGTATTGCAGGCGTAGAAAATATTTGACAGACTGATATTGACAGATTTCAGAATTATTACCACCTAAAAAATTAAAATGACCTCCGCGCGCCACTCACCGACAACCGGCTCTCCGCCAAGGCGTTGACGAACGAATCGATCCGCGCCATCGGCAATCGGAAATTTTTCGCCACCTTCTGCGTGACGTTCGCCTTGGGCTCGGTGGGCGTATTATCCGCCGTCGAGTTGGTGCTCCGCGATTCGCCTTTCTCCTCCTCGTACGGATCGGGGGGCTGGTCGAGCTGCAGGCCGCCGGCCAAGAACCGCGCGTTCAACCACTGCTTCGCTTCGAGTTCCGCCTCCTTCTGCGGCAAGCTCTGACGCAGGTTGGACGCGTGCGTGCCCAGCAGGTGAGCTAGGTGGCGCTCGACGTCCATCAGAGCGAAACAGACGGACATGTGGTCCAGATTGGGGGGAGGGGCGCGTGCTTCGCTCTGTTCGGGATGACAGTAGTTGCCCACCAAATAGTTGTCGAGAACGTGGATGTTGTTCTGCGACGAGTTGAACACGTAGCTGGCATCTTTGCCGGCACACTTCTGCAAGAGGTCCGCGAGCGCCTGGTTCTCGCAGTGGAAGTTCTGCACGTCGTATACGCGATTGTTGACGATGAGCCATTTGCCGCCGTCACGATTGTGGTTCTCGAAGTCCGAGCGGCGGATGAGTGGCGGCTCGTCGGCGACGCGCTGCGTCGAGTTGACGGTACGGGGACGGAACACGCCAGGCCAGCCGACGTCGTCGAGATCGAAGGCGTCGGCGTCGGGGCAGGCGCGGCATAAACGGTCGAGACCGCGCAGCGTGCCTTTGAACGTCGCCTGCCAATCGACCGCCGCCAAGAACATGTCTAACTCGTGCTCGAGAAGGATCATGCTGACCACCAGTTCCGGGAGTAGCGTGCCTAGAAAAAATAAAGCAAAAAATGAATAGAAGTGATTTTTCTGGCCCACCCGCCGAAATAAGAAATGCAAATGAAGTCGCGTGGACAATTGATTTCGTTGCATGTGGTGTAGACCATTTGATCGACCATATCAACAGCTCAGCCTTAGAAGCCTGCACAATATATTTAGGTCTTAAGGCTGAACAAGACTTACAAAAAGAACTGAGGAAGGTCCCACAGTTTTATTATATTATTTAAATATTTTTAAATAATATTTATTACATCGCAGTAACGGACTACCAAAATCATGGAATTAGTAGTTAGGTAACCCAGATTAGGCGGATTTAGTTTTTGTACTTTGCTCCAGAGAGCGGTTAGATCAACTATGGTCAGTTGGTAACCATAGTTAATTTGAGGCACCGAACTTCTTTTCTTTCGTTTTTTTGGTATTTTCCTATTACCGATTTCTGTCGAGATCTTTTGTTAAAATTCCAAGCACACTCAAAATGGTTCTATTACACTTCACTCCATGCACAGCACTGGCATTGGTCGCATTCAGCGGATATAGCAAAGCGCTCCCAATACGTAGCGGTAGCGATTGCGATTGGGAGCGTGTTGTACGTTTGAATTTACAAAGCCGTAGCGGAAAAGTCCGATGGCACATGCGCTACAAATCCAACAAGTTGTAGGGTCGACGCCATTTTTAGTAGCGAGTTTATTTTGTGCTAGGTAGCGGTAGCGAACCGATCGGTATTGGCAGCATTTGATTTTGAAAGAGGAATTTGGTTAGAGTGTATTGGACAGTGATGGTGATGGTTCGAAATTCCAGCAAAATAAATATATTTTATTTGTTATTTATATTAGTATTTACAAAATTTACAACACAAAAACGTACACAGGCAGCAAAGACAATATAGGGAAAACTGGAAGGGGTGGAATTTACTAGCAATATTATCAAAATTGATGAAATACATAGGGAGGACAAAACAGTGAACCTCCTGAACTTAATAACCGCGACAGCAGTTCCTGTTCCTGCCGAAAATAAGAAAGATCCGTCCTCTATCCCAGTAACTTCACAGATGCAAACCACTCCAATCAGAGCAACACCTGTATCCCCCATGGACGTTAAGATTCAACAATTTTTTTTATTGGTATAATTTAAAAAAATGAAGGCTAGAAGTACTAAGAGTGAAATGTTTTATCTACGAAGAAGGCTGACAAATATCGAGGAAGCTCGAGTATAAGAAATTAGCTTCTTACGAAACGCCATTGAAAGAAGTAAAAAAATATTTTATTTTTTATAAAAGCATATTTGCTATTTGGTTCCTCTCCTCATTTCCACCATCATCTGCAACTTCCAGGTGTGGTACCACCTCTTCTAAACATATAAAATGTCCCGCCGCACTACACACAAACAATGAATAAGCTATACCTTCGAAAAAATCTAAATCTCAAAATCAACAGCACCGAAACATAAATAAGACACCATAACCTCGACATACTCGTTCCCAATCGCTACCGCTACGTGTCGGGAGCGCTTTGCTACGTCCGCTGAATACGACCATTTAACGTTTCCGTTTTTGACATATGAATATGATTTCTTATTTTTGTTGCGATGTTGTTGATTTTGAGATTCGCATTTTCGAACAACTGCTCATTGCCGTTTCAAATTCGTCTTCTACGCATCTGACATCACTGGGCTCTTCTCTATTGAGACGGGCTCTATATCTTATTCAGTGTGTGTGTATAGTGCTGCTGATTTAACAAATATTAATTAAGTGACAACGTATTTGTACCCTATATCAAAAATTAGTTATGTTATGGATTTTTTAATTCAAAACGTCATATTTGTTGGTAGCTTATAGTTTTTTATTACAAGTCTAGAAATATAAAAGGTACCCCCTTCCTGTTTTCAGTCTATCGTCTTTGATGTCTATGTAGATTTTTTTCGGGTTTCTCCATTTTCTATCCAATATTTCTTCCGTTTAGTGAAAATACATTCTGCAAATAACTTTAAATTGCATATCTATTTCATGTGAGTAATTTGCGTTTGTTTGAAAAAAGACATACCTTGATACGATCTTCGAAAACTAAAGAAAACTTTCCTCTTGGGACGCTAAAAAAGTTTTTTTTTTGGTAGATACTAATAAAATTCATACTTACCATCACTTTCAAAACCAAATTCTGTCATTACAGCTACCTAGCAGAAAATAAACCCGCCACTAAAACTGGCGTCCACCTCACAAAGAGTTGGGTTTTTAGCGCACGTATCAACGGACGTGTCCGCTACGGCTTTGAAAACTTAAATGTACAACACGTTTTTATCTGGCCTCGGGAATCGACATGCGTCGCTATTATCGTCATCGAGGACCTTAACCGCGGTTTTCCGCGCCCCTCGTTAATGTTAATTATGCACCTGTAACGTTTGCTCGTTATGTAAAAGATAACGGGATAGCAATTGCGGGTAGATAAGAGTTTTAGGCAGACCCGTTTTCGTTAAAACCCGCAAAACAAACCGATTAAAACGTTAGTCATCGTAATTCACGAACAGAGACCCGGGCAGTGACAAACCCTTAAACAGTTCCTTCAGCAACGTAAGTGTTAAAGATTTAATTTCAAGAGTGGTTCGAACGATCAATTTTTCAGTTTTGGCCGCCCGTCACGATGAGTATCATTAGTCAAGCGTTTAAATTGATCGCCCTTCTCCCGAAGCTGGGAATTAAGGTACCGGTCCGGGTACTAGGCGTGGTTCAAAAGGTGGCCCTGTTCGCGTCGTCCGCGTCGCTGGGACTGCCCGCTAAACTGACGGCGCTCGGTATTATTCTGCCCGGAAAAGTGGCGAAAATCTTGTTCGCCGTAGGCGAGTCGGCGTTGAGCGTCGGCACCTATCCCATCAAGGAGGGCGCCAAAGGTATCGGGCACGCGTTTTCCGGCCGTTGAAGTCATTTTTAAAGCAATGTAAAACGCACTCAAATAAAAATTACCGACGATATCGGCTTTGAGAATTTGCATCACGCCGCCGAAATGTCTCGGGGCGAGTGAGCACGCGTCGTGGGCGGCGCCCAAAGTCGCGTTCACGTGGTGACTGAAAGTGTCCAGGTACTTGGCCAGCAGGTTCTCGACCGCATCTCGATTGTCGACGCTCCGCAGGTACAGTTTGCCGATCAACAGTCGTTGGAATCGCTGCAGCAGTTTCAAGCTGGGCGACGCGACGTTGGTCTGCGGCGTCTGTTTGCCCGACGCGCACAAATCCTTCAGCGACGTCTGGCTGAGGTGGCTGATATTCCTAAACCCGACTCGCGTTAATTAAATGTCGACCAAGGCGGCGACTCTAACCTAATCAGCTGCCGGATTAGGTAGAGCAACGGTATGGTGATGGGCGTGGTCGATTGGTCGTTATTGTCGTCCGCACACGCCAAATCGGCCACGTCCACTCTAAGGGACTCGTTCAGCGCGGCCTCCAAACCGCCGTCCGCCATCAAACTCCACACCAGCAGGTCGGTCATGAATCGGTGTCCGGACTTGCACATTTTCGGTTCGACATCTGCGACATAATCCCATCACCCACCTTTACCTAATTTTTCAAAGAAACTTCCACAAGCTACCGTAATACTTTTTATAAAACTTCTAAGGAAGGAAAGGTAAAGTAAGGAAATGGACCGAATCAATAAGACTCTTCTGTCTCTACATCTTGAAATCCCTTCCATTTTGTCTCCATCCGAGTTCGATACCTTTTCAAACCTGATTCATAACAAAGCATTAAATCTCTACAAAGAATCACATTCAGAAATTTGAAAAACTAACGTCAACACTGGAGAGACCATCAAACTCTTTTCAATTGCCGAACACTGTGATAAATATATCGTCGCACCAACTTTCGGAAACGGAAAAATCAGTTCTTTCAAAACATTCCAACTTTGTCCTTGCCCCACGTATTATCCATTTCAAATGTCTATCCTATACAAACTACCATCTTAAACAGCTAATGAAAATCGATTTGAAACGGCAAAAATCAAAACCGTCTAAATCTAATATTGCAGACTGACTAAAACCTAATCCCGACATCGTAATGCTAAATGCACAAAACGGAAATGCTACTGTGAACTCGGATGAATATCAAGAAAAGATTCAAGATATTCTTATCGTCGAATCATATCGTCAACTTAAAAAAGATCCTACGTCATCTATGGAACGCAACCTAGAAATTAACCGCGACTCAGGTCTCTACCTGTCACCAATATGGGAATCAGTCATCCGAGACGGTGTTTATGCCCGTCATTTAGCTTCGCCCCCCAACCCCCCGGCAAAAAGTACAGAGTAAAATGCAAGCCAGTTTCAGTCAAGCTCTGAAGAAGTCAACAGGATGATTGGCGAAACGACCCAGGAGGAATCCAGAAGTTTTATAAAAAGCACCTTTAGCTAGTTCCTATAACCCGTACTTACCTGAACCCATCAGCAAGGAAGAGAGGGTGCGAGCCCGGCCGTTGGCGGTCGGTAACAGGACCGACCAACCGGTCTGCAGGACGTTCTGGGCGGCCGTCTGGACCGACGCCACGACGCCCGAGGCGCTGGCCAAATGAACTACGCGCGCCTTGAGCCCGGCCAGTAGTTTCGAGGTCGGCGCTAGGCCGCACGTTTTCGGGTCAGCTTCGCCGTTGATAACGCCGTGCAGCTGGAGCTGCAGCAGGTTCAGCGTCGATACCGCCAAGCATTCCCTGTCGGGCGACGTAGCCGACGTCGAGGTCACCATCTCGAGCAGTTGGTCGATGTGCCTTAAAAATGCGGGTTTATTGACTATTCTCTCGCGAGTAGTAGTCTTTTACTTGAAAGTACTCTCCGTAAGGTCGACGACGAACGGCAACGCCACCGGGGGCGGGAATCGGTTCGAATTCGTCCACGCGAAACTTTGCACGGGTCCGCACAACACCCCGACTATCTGGTGGCCTTTGAGCGCGTCGATCGCTAGCGGCTCCGCGACGTACGGCTCCGCCGAGTCGGTCACCTGTCGACTCTCGTTCTTACCCCACCCGAACACCTCGCCGTCGGCCGTCAGTGCCATGCAATGGGATGTGCCGACGGAGATCGACGCGATCTTCTTGTGGGCCAGGGCGCGGACCACTTCTGGGACGCGGACGTGCTCCTCGGTAGGATGACCCAATTTACGTCCCTCGCCTTTGCCCCACGTGTACAAGACGCCGTCCCGCGACAGAGCGGCGCTGAAATGTGCGCCGCAATACACGGACACGATCTCCACGTCCTGCAGCTTCTCGACGAGACGCGGCACCTTGCTGCCCTCGGACCCGCCCCGGCCCAATTTACCGTAGTCGCCGTCGCCCCAACTAAACACCCGTCCCTGGGAGGTGACGCAGAGCGTGTGGGCGTCGCCGGAACCGCAAGCGACGCGAGTAACGTGGTGGCCGCCGAGGGCGGCCACGGGGGTGGGTACGAGACAGTCGTCGAAGGTGCCGTGGCCGAGCCGACCGTAATTTCCGCGTCCCCAGGTGTAGAGGGTTCCGCCGACGGAGACCGCGGCGCTGAAAACGATAGCGATCGAATCGTGGGGCTTAGGTGGCGGCGGGAGCATACCTATAGGTGGTACCGCATTCGATATAAGCGATCTCCTTATCCGCGAGAGCTTCGATCAAGATCGGTTCGTCTCCCGAGGCGGAGTCTCCGTGCCCTAAACGTCCCCCGTCGCCGTTACCCCACGAGTACACCCTGCCGTTCTTGTCGAGCGCCATAAAATGTTGCCCCTCCGCGTGTGCGGCGATCTGGACGATTTCCACGTCCGTGATAAGGTCGATCCGATGCGGGCACTGCGTTTCGGACGCGTAGTAGACGAAATATACTTTGCCCGTTTTGGTAAGCAGCAGGAGGCCGCGTTGCGAGCACCGTAGCTGCGTGACACTCAGCTCGCTAAGCGCGTCGCAGCATTGGGGCCCCGGACCAGACGCCCACGATAGCCAGCCCCAGCCCCACACGCGCCATCCATTCGTCGGAGACGTGGACTGGAGACAAAATTAATAGTCGCTATTTGTCCATTTGCGAATCCGCGAAATAAAACAAGGTTGCTTTCGAAAAATCGTCGCTGGGCGGGTCAAGTTTATATTTTGAAAAGAAACCGCTTCGCAATTTCTTGTCCTGTACATAACCGAAAAAATGATTAAAATTTAAGTTATAGTATCGAATCTTCCACGTCTCCTGGTAAAATAATTTTGCCGATCAAATTAATAGTTTTCCAGAAATTTTGTTTTTTCTGGAAGAAAACGTAACAAAAACAACAATTAAAAAAAAACTAGGCAAGTCTTGATTGCTCCCAGATTCGATAGTTACAAATTTGAGACATCTATTACATTTTTGATGTGAAAACCTAAAATACAAAAGTTTTGGCCTTCCATACGGGCTATATAGTCATGTGAAAGAAACTGACAACAGAATCAAAGCCTACTAGTCATAGTTAATTATCATTATAAAGGAAGCCCAATTTTCAGTTTTCTGAAAATTACCGACGCACCCTGTACATTTTCAAAAAATCATCAAAAATAAAGGTTTTTGGTCCGAACCGGAGAAATGCGGTTTTTAAATTTTTAAAAATAATTGTCGACCCCCGCCCCCCAGTTTCAATAGGTTCCATTAGGGGACAGACAAAAAAAAAGTTTGGGGGTCCCTTAGGACCAACCGTTGCCGAGATGAGTTTCGTTGTCAAGCGCGTATACTTCCGAAAAATTAGATTTCATCGATTTTTCGGAAGTTTTGAAAAATCGTCGCTGGGCGGAGCTAGTGGGGTGTAGCGCGAAGCAACTTTTTATTTTAAAAAGAAAGAGCTCTTGTGCATGCCCTCTGTATAAAGTGTCTTCCACGTCTCGTTAATAATGTATTATAGAATAGAACAATTTTCAGGGTCTTTTAGATTTTTGTCCACAATTGATAAACCCTGTATATAATGAAAAAAATGTCTAAAATAAAAGTTGTGGTCTTAGATCTCCCGCGTTTTATGGTCCAAGAATTTTGCCGATCGGGCAAACATTTTTCGAGAAAAGAATTTTTTGATGCAGCCCAAAATGACGACAAAAAATTTTTCGGAGATTTTTAAAAAATATTTGCCCATGTCCCATTGCAACTTACTTTTACAACTTAAATACGGGGGTGGACTCCTACCACCTTGCCAAATTTGAACATGTTTCAAGCATAACACGATATAAATGTAACTCAATATTCAGTTTTTTGGAAATTCCCTTCACACCCTGTACATTTTCAAAGAAATTGTCCGATGAACGATTTTCGGTTGGTGTTGGTTTTTGAAAAAAAATTGTTATGGAATTTTAAAAAATACTTCCCATTAACCGATCCCTCTCAATTTAATAGGTTCCGTCACGGGTCTAGACTTTTGCAAAATTTCAAATCGATAGATTCAAATTTTAGACATTTACCGTGAAACAGTCGAAAATCGAAAAAAAAAAAAGATGGACGCCAAGGTCCAATTGCGATCATTTTTACATGTATTGTGCAGAACGTGGGCGGTAAAAAAAAAAAAAAAAATTCAACCCGTACCTTCCAAAGTTATGGTCATAAATGCGTTCCGTATACAGAGAACGGAGAACAGACAAACAAACAAAAGTTTTTTTTCGACCCCGATTCGTCGGTTTTTGAGTCGAAGGACTGAAGAAGCCGTACGATGATTGGCGAAACGTTAGCTTAGCAAAACCGATGCAGGAGGAATCCAGAAGTTTTGTAATAGTATATTATGCAACGGCATTCAAGGGATTTTAATAAACGAGTGACTTAAAAAGTTCACCAACGTGTTAGTTAAGGTTTTCTATCACATAATTTGTTGCATTCTATACTTTTTCTACGACCTCAGTTTTTGGGTCCATTTTTGCAAAACAACCCGAATATATTCACTGACATGACTGTCAGAATTGACAAACGTCAAAATTCAAAGCGTGGAAAATATCTCCGAAAACATCCGATGGCTCCCAAATCCGTGCGGTAAAATGCCGAAAATGTCCGAAGTGGCTCGGATTCATGGGAAACGAAACTGACGTGGTAAAGTAATGCTTCCCGCACGTTAGATCGCACGTTAGATCGGTGGGTAATTAGGTATTTTACAGGCGGAAGTAGAAAAATATTATTACAGTAGCCTGTGGTAGTTTTTTTGAAAAATTAAATTTACCTTATTAAACGAGGAAGGTGGGATGTAAGGGGCGGCGAGTTGATCGAGATAGGCCATGGTGTATACTGCGACCTGTTTGAGATCTATGTCGGACGTTTCGTCGTCAGGCAACTGCATCTTTTCCAGGAACGCCCCCGCACAAGATACTTTCTCGTCCCGTTTGCACGACAACGAGGACGAAAGCGGCAACGTCCGCCTGATCTCGGCCAAGCGACGGATGAAGGGCAGAAGGGGCGCACCGGCATCGTCGACGGTCGATCGATTGTCCAAGTGGACGCGCGCCTCCCATAAACTTAGCATGAGCAAGATATTGTCGAGAACCGCGCCGAGAGTGCCCTTCTGCAGAGCAAATTCCAAAAGTAAATTGAGGGACGTGTGCTGGTCCTCTAACGGGACGTTGCAGTACTGCCTGCTGTTGGAAACGTCCCTGCGGAAAACAAACGGTGGAGGGTGTGAAAACGACGCCCGGTGCCGCCCTTACGCCGCCGCCACTTGTCTCAAAAACTTGGTGGATCGATCAACGACTTCAAGCCAAATTGGCGATATTTCCTTTTGATTGTACAGCGTCGCGACCGGCAACATCCTCATGGCTTCCAGTGACTCCTTCAGCAGCTCACTGCACAAATCCACATCCTCGCCTGAAGAAAAACGGGAGTTTGATTAGGGAGGCGGGTATGCTGCAGGGGGACGGTTTTTACCTAGCCTCCAGGCGCGTCTCAGGAACGCGAATGAAAAGTTGAGCGCCGCACTCGAGCCAACCTTAGCTAAAGCAGACGCAGGATCAGCTACGGAAATTGACCGCTTCTTCACCTCCATGCCCACCGTCTCAGCGAAGCACTTTGGGGCCGACGGCGCCCGATCAAACTCAACATCATGTGGCACGCGGTTCAAAGCAATCAAATAGCGCTTGAGTATGATAATAAGACAGTGGAGTCGGGTGGACGACAAGGTGCAGGTGGCTGCTTCCTGGCACAGCGACGCTTGTTCGCAATTGAGGCTTTTTATGCACTGTTTCAATTGGTCGACAGCTGCAAACCAAAGATCGTAAGCGGGTGGGCATTAAAAAACAAAAAAATATCCTACTTGGTTGGGGCCCCCACGCCCATCTCTCCAGCAAAGTTTCTGTACGCGGAATCACCTCCTCTTTGTCTTTCGCGGTTCGCGCGGCTTTTTCCGCGTCCAGCTTTTGGCAAGGGGCACAATTGCATCCGCTCTGAGGCCCGCATATACCGTCGCAGCACGTGCACGTCAGCACCTTATAAAGAGACTCGTTCATGGCGTACCATGCGGCCGAACTTGTTAACTTACCCTTCGCCCGCAATAATATTTTCCAAACTCGCCCTCCTTGGCCATAACACCGGCACTGTTGAGCAGCCCGGTCGAAAACGGACCCGTGACTTCGCCATCGTTGACGAGCGCGTTCCAGCAGCTACTAAGCGCGTCCTCACCGTAGAATAGATTCTCGATGTTGATCTTTAACCACTTCAGGTCCAGTCTCGGCTGGGCTCTTAACGAAGCCTCCAGCCGGGACATGACAATATCGATGGTCCTCCGAGAGTTTACATATATTTTATGTTTACAGTCGGGGATGATTGATAGCCACAATTGTTAAACGTTAAACTGTCAGCTTAAATTGCCGATCGAACGGCGCTTCATTTCGCGGGAATTACCGCTAGGGAATGTTCTTTTACAAACTTTTATTTGTTCCTCGGAACGAAAACGTTCACTATGGATTTATTTTTCGGGATACATATGTCACGGCGCTTAAACTAACCATTTAAAATTCTCAACCAAAGACCACGGTAAACGACACAATTAATTTTACAGTGGGACAGGACAGACGCGCCAGAGAACAAAGGAGAATTTCTTCGTCTTCGGTGAAAACCCCGAAATCACCATAAAAGAAGAACGAAACCATTTTTCTGTATGCTATGCTTTGTGTACGTTTTAACATGGCGTCGGATTAACGTTACCGGTTCGTTCTTGGTTATTCGTGCTAGAATTTTCGCGAAATTATAAAACAAAAACTCGCGAAATACAAAGCACAAGAACCGCAATGAACAAGCTGGGTCTTATCTTTTTCGTTTTGGTGGTGGGTACGGCGTGACTCACTGTAAATTTTGTTTATCGAACATTTTTAGACACTTACCGGAAATTTCCGTTTTGCCTGCAACGCGATCAAGACTGGCAACAAAAAACCAATCATAGAAAACCCGGTGGATATTAAAGACTTGAAAAAGCTACTCAGAACGAAAACCAACGTGCTTATTTGTTTCTATAACTCGTTTAAGCAGTCCCAAAACATAATCAAACTCGTCCAGGAAGTAGCGGACAGTATCAAAGGGGAAGGGACGATCGCTTTAGTAGACTGCTCCGGGTAATAGTTTCATTACGTCCACCGAGGAGGTGCAAAGTAACGTTTGGGATTGTAGAGATTCGAAAAAGATGTGTAAGAAGTTGAAAATCCCGACGCACGAACCCTACGTACTGAAACACTACAAGGAAGGAGAGTTCAACAGAGATTACGACAGAAAGTACACGGCCGCGTCGATGACGAATTTCATGAGGGACCCGACGGGCGACCTGCCCTGGGAGGAAGACGCCGCCGCCAACGACGTCGTCCACGTCCCGGATCCCGCGGTAATTTAATTTAATTTCGTCAAAAATCGACAGGCTAGTAAGAAAGTCGCCATATGCGATAACCGAGAAAAAAAATGAACATTCGCGGGGAGGTTGTTTATTCGCGACAATCTCGCCCGTAAATGTCAAAAATTCGCTGTCAAATCGTCGCGAAACTCCGCGCGCGCGCATGCGCATCATGTAACCGCGAAATATGCCAACCTTTCGCCAGAGCCTGGCCCGGCTGCTCAAAAAGGAGATCCGCCCCATTCTGATCATGTTCTACGCGCCGTGGTGCGGCTACTGCAAATCCCTTAAACCCGAATACTCCGAGGCGGCCCGCGAACTGAAGGACGAGGCCGTACTCGCTGCAATGGACGTGAACCGACCGGAAAACACCGGAGTACGTGTACGCTACAACGTCACCGGGTTCCCCACCCTGCAGTATTTCGAGTAAGTCAATGTCTTCAATGTCTGTGTGAATGATATTGCCCCATGTTTTCATCGTGCATTTTTCCTATTTGCTGAGGACCTAGAATTTCATATGAGAATCCAAAATGACAATGTCTGTTTACATCATTACATCAGAGGAATAGTCTCAAATTAGTAAAAAATTATCTGGCATAGAGGTATAAGATTGTGAAAGCAAATGGCTACACAAGTAACAAGCTCAAAATAAAAATTGGTGTGCCGCAAGGCATGGTCTTAGGACCTATATTCATATGTAAACTCTTTATTCAATTTGAGCGCCCCTGCCTTGACTGTGTCATACGCAGAAGACACTGTTCTTGTTTTTACTGGTGATAACTGGAATACAATTAGAACACAAGCAATAAATGGATTAAAACTCATCCAAATTTCGCTCCACCTCTACAAACTAACATTGAATATAATTAAAACAAAATACATAGCTTTTTCTCTAACAGCAGCAAGTAGGCCAGAATATGAATTTATTATTTTGGATGGTTATAATATAGAGGAAGTTTCTTGCATAAAATACTTGGGCATTATGATAGATAAGCATCTCAAATGGGGACCACATATTGGTTGTTTAACGAATAAAATTAGTAAACTTATACACAAATTTTATCTTCTACGAGAATTTTTAAATGGTGGTTGTTTATAAAGCTTTTGTTGAATAAAAAAGATTGTTGAAACTAAACCTACAGAGTGGTTTCCGTCTGCGAAGTCACCGGGATAGCGAGTGGGTTTTTCTTATTTTCGGCAGGGGACTTTTTTTTTCCTTATAACAGGAACTACCGTCGAGATTATTAGGTTAGGAAGGTTAATTGTTTTGTCTTCCCTATGAATTTCATCTCACTGGTGATAATATTCCTAGTAAATTCTACCCCTTTCAGTTTTCCCTATATCGTCTTTGATGCCTGTGTAGGTTTTTTTCACGTTTTTCCTTTTAGTATCCAATATAATAACTTAAAATTACATCTCTATTTCATGCGAGTGTGATTTGTGTTTGTCATTCTAGGGTTGGGTCTTTATCTACCTATTTCATTCTATTTTATTTATTTTTTTTCCTTTTTTTCATTTTGTTTGGCCCGTTGATAAGTAAGTCTGTCCGGCGTGTCCTGTGACCTAATCCGTACGCGCGCGGTTTTGCAGGAACGGCGCCCTAAGGTTCACGTACGAAGGGGAAAACAAAAAGGCAGCGCTCGTGGAGTTCGTACGCAACCCGGCCGCACCTCCCGTCAAAATTCAGGAACCGGACTGGTCCGAGACTGACAACGAAGTAGTTCATTTGACCGCGACCAGTTTCGACCCGGTCATCAAGGAGGAGTCGTCGGTGCTCGTGATGTTTTATGCGCCCTGGTGCGGTCACTGCAAGAAGATGAAACCCGAATACGAAACGGCGGCTGCGCAAATGAAACACGAAGGGGCGAGTACCCCCCGCCGACGGTACTACTGTACGAAGATGTAAAATTCCGGTCGTGTTTCAGATTCCGGGCGTGTTGGCGGCAGTCGACGCGACCAAAGAACAATCGATCGCGTCGAGGTACGCGGTCAAGGGCTTCCCGACAGTACTGTACTTTTCGTACGGCGAGAGGCGGTTCGACGTGAACGCGCGGGACAGCCGCAAAATCGTAGAGTTCATGCGGGACCCGCGCGAACCGCCGCCGCCGCCGCCACCGGAGAAACCGTGGTCGGAGGAGGGCGACGACGTCGTCCACCTCACCGAAGAAACGTTCAAGCCGTTCTTAAAGAGGAAAAAGCACGCGCTGGTCATGTTTTACGCGCCCTGTAAGTAGTCGGCTAGATATCAGGGCGTCGTCACTATATAAAAATTATACAGCCTATAGTAAGCCCTAGCGGCCATAAAATAAATATTGACTTACTATTTATGATCCTATGAAAGTGGATGAAAACTGCACGAAGAGTACAACATGTAATTAAGATTCTTGAGCATTGAGTGTAAACTTGGGACAGGAAAAAAAGAAAAAGTCTTTATCAAATGTGACATTTGATAAAGACACGGTGTTGTCGAAACAATTGTCATGTCATAATATATAATTTCGTGAAAATCTGAACTTTTAGTTCTTATTTATTTTGATAAATGGATTTTCATCAAGTAAAAGCCACCTCAGTTCAATCTTCAGATTCGTCGCATGCAGAGAGATCTCACCATTTTTTATAATCTACTGCATTCAAATTCCCATGGATCTGAGTTGTTATGTAAGATTGGGCTTCGCGTCCCCCCCCCCCCTCCAGACCAGAATAAACCACTCCTCCCAGGTGGAGTTCCATCGTACTAACTATGGGCAGAGTTCTTTTCTTACTAGGTCAGCTGCACTAGCGAATCGTTTTTCTGACCAACTTCCAGAGTGCAAGAATATTTAAGAAAGAACTTAAAGACTGTCGGTAAAACTATTCCGCTTTTCCTCGCAATAGTTTTGTATATCATTGTATTGGTGCCTCGCTACTCTTATAAATGTTCTTACTGTCGTGTCGACTAACTATACCAATATTTAATATTTTGGAAAACCAATTTTTGTCATATTAGGGTAAGGTCTTCATCTGTCTATTTCATTATATTTTAATTTTGTTTTATTTTATTTTATTTTGTTTATGTGAATCTTATTTTATATTGGGCGGTTGGCCCGTTGATAAATAAATAAAATAAATAAGACCTAAAAGTTCAGATTTTCACGAAATTATATATTTTCACATGACAATTGTTTCGACAACAGCGTGTCTTTATCAAACGTAATATTTACAAACTACCTGCTACTATATATACCGAAAAATGACAAGAAAACCTTAATTTGTTGTGCGAATTAAGTTTAATAATCGAGAGGTATTTAAATCTAATACAGCAATACATTTGAATGTCTCATTTTGTTAATCTCCATGGCTTCCAATAAATTTAATTTTCAGTATAATTAGAATCTAGACTATTGTTTTTAAACGCTCTTTTATGTTCACGATTTATACCGTAAGTTAAAGAAGAAACTAAAAAAAACTGAAAAAATACTATGTGTACGGAGACTTTTTTGACCGAGTGTATCTGATTTTTAGGGTGTGGCCACTGCAAAAGGGCCAAACCCGAATTCTCGGCCGCCGCATCCGAGTTTCGGGACGACACGCGGGTCGAGTTTGCCGCCGTCGACTGCACCGCCCACGCTGCGCTCTGCGGCGCACTCGACGTCAAAGGTTATCCGACCCTGACTTACTTCAGCTACTACAACAAGGCTCAGTTACCGTATGCGGGAGGCAGAACGGTAACCGCCCCCATTCTCGATCCATTTTGCGCTTATCCTTTGTAATTATCTTCGCGCAGAAAGCGGACTTTGTCGAGTTCGTGTCGAATCCGGTTGGAGGCGGGGCCGTGCCGCGCGAATCGTGGGTCATCGACCCGGTACTTCTCAATCTGACCGGGAAAAATTTCAAAGCGACCCTGCAGAGCAACGAGCTCGTCCTGGTCATGTTTTACGCGCCCTGTGAGTGACGAGACCAAACGTTCGTCGGCGTATCTTAACGCGAGGGATCTTTTTTCTTCAAGGGTGTGGCCATTGTAAAAAGATGAAGCCCGAGTACGTGGCGGCGGCGCGGGAGCTCGAACGAGAGGGCCTCGGCCGACGCCTCGCCGTGGTCGATTGCACTGAGAACCCGGACCTGGCCGAGGAGTACCGGGTACAGGGGTTCCCCACCATCAAGCTGTTTCGCGACGGCGTCTACGTCGCCGATTACGACGGGAAACGCAGCGCGGACGACATCAAGGCGTTCGTCCGCGAGCACTACCCTCGCAGGAAGGAGGAGCTGTGACGGCTCGTGGAGTACTTATTCGCGACCGATTTGTAATAAAAAAAAATTCGTAAAACGTTTTTTTTTTTTTGGGCCCATGCTCCTATCCAACCGTGGGACGGCGGGGAAGTGGATGGAGACAAAACAAGCCGGTCGGTCCACACATTTTTCTTTTTTAATTCCGCTAGTACAATACACGTCTATATCCGTTGATTTATAAATAAATTAAAAAAAAACTGTGTAGTTTCTTGGACCTGTGTTTTCTTCAAATTCTATTGGGTATTCGGTGTCTCGAAAACAAATAAAGTAACTTCTTTAAATATCTACTAACGTTTCGATCTTTTTCAAAGTATTCTTATTTTGACTAAGTGACATATAATATAACAATTGATGCCATTTGACGTTGCGTGAATATATTAAAAAGAAACAATTTGTCAGCGAATATTTTTTATGGGGATTGGAAAGCGCGTACGGATGTTTTCTATTAGCAAATGTGTTGGAAAATTTAATTTTGTTAGTTTGAAATTGAAGGATAAATTTTGTTGAGGCCTTTAGAATCGGTTTTGTAATTAATTGATTTTTTTGTTTTTTGAATTTCTGTACTTTCATAAAATTCTCTTTTTTTGGTGTTAGATTAGTTAGATTAATTAAATGTGTGTTTAGTGTTGAAGTATGACCAAAACAAATAAAACAATTCTTCATACCTATTGTGACAACACACATTTAATTTTCAAAAAGTTAAAAGCCTACTAACAGAACCTAACACCAAAAAAAGAGAACTTTATGAACTTATTGTAATTAAAAAAAAAAACAAAAAATCAATTACAAAACCGATTCTAAAGGACTCAACAAATATATCATTCAATTTTAAACTAACAAAATTAAATTATCCAAATATATTTGCTAATAGAAAACATCCGTACCTGGTTTGCATATTCGCTGACAAGTTATGTTTCTTTTTAATATATTAACGCAACGTCAAATGTCATCAATTGTTACATATGTCACTTATACAAAGTAAGAATATTTTGAAATTACGATCGAAACGTTAATTAATATTTAAGGGAATTACATTATTCGTTTTCGAGAGACCGAATACCCAATGGAATTCGAAGAAAATATACACAAGACGGTCCGAGAAACCACATCTATTAAAAATTCACATATCACTAGCAATATGGCCGCGCCGCGCCCAACCCGGCGAAAAAAAAAAGTGCAGCGCGCCAGCACTTACATACAAACACGCGCACGTCCAACGAAAAATATATATAAAACATTTACATAAGAAAAATAACAACAGCGTCCTTACTGCTGCGCAGGCGTCTCGCCGCTGTTTTTTATGACCGGCGCCGATTCGCGCCGGTTGCCGTAGCCGTCGCGGGGTCCCCCCCCAGGCTGCTGAGGCGCGCTGTCCCTTCTCGCGACGTTATCCACGTGGGACACGAACGTGGGGGTCGCGATAACGGGAAAGTCCTTCCTGATGGAGGTGAGCGCCTTGCTCACCCACGGGGGCCAGCTGTTGCGCGCGGCCGCGAGTTCCAGCTCCACGGAGCGGAGCCGGTGCGTGAGATTCTGGTTCCGACACTCCGCCTCCACGTGCGCGAGCTTCGTCTGCGCGAGCTCCAGCTCGAGCTCGCGAACCCGTTCGTCGAGGCTGGCTCCGTGTCCTGTGACGTCGTCGACGGCGCCGTCAAGGTGTGCCGAACACGTCGGACACTCGGCCACTTTCGCCTGCGAAACAAAAACCGAGATTTTTTGGCCCCGCCCCTCGTGACCGGAAGACCCGTACGGCCCTGCTAAGCTTAAAAGTGGTACTTCCATATTTTTCTCTCGAATTGAGTTAAGTGGTAATCGTAGGACATTTTTCATAGCTATAAAGTGGTAAATCGTTGAAAAAAAAAATGAACAAGATTGCAAGTTCGTAGCGCGTTGCGCGAAGCAGCTTTGTATTTCAAAAAGAAGCCGCTTTGCGAGTTATTGTCAAAAAAGGCACGCATTGTTTTTCGGATGTTTCGCCAAATCGATGTAATTATATTGTGCATACACCCAGTATAAAGAGTCTTTCACGTATCGCTAAACTTTAAAGCCGCGGCAAACTATAATAAATATAAAAATTTGTACAAATGATAGCGATTTCCAATGATATTTTTTCAAGTATCTCGCGCACCCCGTATGATACACGAAACCTGACAGTCTCTCTCGACATAATTCACCATACTGCTCGAACCAAATTATCTTATGTTTTATAATTTTTCATTTACGGCTAACAATTTAACCAACGAAAACGGAAATTTTCAGAGACTTTTTGATTTTTTGCCCACAATCGACCCAACCTGTACATTATTGAAAAAAAAATGGATATAGAGGTTACAGTTAAGTTTTTCTCAAAACCATGCAGTGCGCCGTAATAATCAATGACGTCATCGCGTCTTGACTGAACCCGAGGTATAGTATAGGTATATCCAAAATTTTCATATGCATTGTTTCAAATGTCTAGAGCAGCGTGTGTGATAGACGAAAAATGTAAACACAAAAATTGCAGCTCTTGATGCGGCCTTTGACACGAATGGCTATATTTATTACGTTTTTTGATTCACGGTTAATAATTTACTCTGGAAAAGAACAATTTTAGATTTTTGTCTATAATTGGAAAACCCTGTATACAATCGAAAAAATGCCTGAAATAAATGTTATAGCACTGGATTTTTCACGTCTGCTGGTTAAAGAATTTTGACGATCCGGTTAATGATTATGAAGAAAAGCATGTTTTTCTCGAAGCCAAAATAACAAAAAAATTGAAAATTAAAAAAAAATACTTTCTGAAATTTGATTGCGCCCAATTTCCAGTGTTTAAATGTGAACACGGACTTTTACTTCTCTGCTAAATTTGAAGTCGATATCTGCAAATTTAGCACAGATTTCTTATATAGAACAGAATATCGGGATCACCCTTTACAATATGTGAAAACCTTAAATACAAAAGTTTTAGCTATCTATACAAGCTATATCGTCATGCAAAAGAAACTAATACCTGGAACACCGTCTTTTAGTTATAGCCAATTTTCACTATTTTGGGTATCCATTTTTCAGTTTTTTTGGAAAACGCGGAACAACCTGTACATCCTTGAAAAGTAATAAAATTTTTCGGAGTCAAATCTTGTGCGTGAAGATTTTTTTCGGTTGCATCAACAGTTTTCGAGAAATGATTTTTTGTTAGACCCTTACAAACGCGATGTTTATTTTTTTTTAATACCCCCCAACCCCGCCAATTTCGATAGGTTCCATTACGGGGCCAAGCGTTACTCGCCTGCCAAATTTGAAGTCGATAGTTTCAATTTTCGTGATTCATAGGAACGTCGAAAAAACGCCGTTGGTACCAATGGAATCAGCGTCAAAAAATAAGGATTTCAATTTTTTTCTGTTTCTCCGTTCTCTGCGTCACGAGTTTTAATTCAATTTGACAGTCCACTAAGTACACAAGATATTTGAAAATGGCGGCGATCGGAGATTGGCCGCCATAATCAAAATAAAAAATTAAAAACCGCGTTTGCATGGATCTAAAAAAAATCATTTCTCGAAAACGGTGTACGAGATCGACAAAAATTGTGTATCAAAAGATCCGCAAGACCCAATGCTATAAACTTTTATTCTGGACAAATTTTAAAAATGTACAGGGTGTAATGAAAATTTACCAAAACTGGAAGACTGCGATTCAGAAGTCAATTTGTATGCACCGAAATATAGCTCGTGTAGCCAGCTAAAACTTTGGATTTACCTTTTGTACAGGGTGTTTGCGATATACCGTGCAATATTATAAAACGTAATGGGTGCCCTAAATTTGCAGCTGCCGACTTCAGATTTAGCAAAGAAGCAGAAGTTTTTTTTTAATTTTTGATTTTTTTTTGGGGTTATTTTAGTTTCCGTAAGTTTAGTTTAGTGAATTTTTGCTTTTGATTTTGTTTATTTTGACAAAACCTAACAATTCATATGTAGCACGTATTCATTATAACTCAATAAATACGTTTTTTGTTTCGTTTATTCTTACTCAGTAGACTACGTCTCAATTATTTACTGTCACCTGGTCACGGAGCGTATAATTTGAATGTATAATTTCTTATCTTGAAATTAACTTACCAAATCGTCAACGACCCATAGAAAGTAAATAATTCCTTATCTTAAAAGTGGTATCAGATTTTTTTTTTGCTAAGCTATGGAAAAAAAGTAATCTTCGTATTACAAAAATTTTAAGTTAAGGTATTTCGTGGGAGGAGGTTGGAAAATAGACTTAGCTTTAAAGTCAATTGTTTTCGTTCTACCTTTTGTGGATATCCCACTTTTACGGTTATCTGGGCAGTATACCGACCTTGAGACTGAGCAAGTCCCGTCGCGCGACCTGAAGCTGCGCGTCGAGCCGCTGCCTGACCGTCTTGTAGTCGGCGATGGCGCGTTCGCTCTTCCGTTTCGCGTCGTCCGCCTCGTCCACCTCGCGCTTGAGGATCTCCTTGAGCCGCGCGATTTCGCTCATCATCAGTCCTTTCTCCTCGTCCATGCGCGCGACGAGCGCCTTCAGTTTCTCCGCCTCGCCGGCCTCCTTCTCCTGCCGCTCCGCCGCCTCTGTACCCGAAGAGATTAACACCCAACCGTCTACCGAGAGATTTTGACATTTTCGCAATGAACGAAGACGAAACGTTTGACCTACCAACTCTTAACGGAGGCGTTTTTAAAAAAGAGACGAAAAAATTTGAAAAAACTCTTTCGACATTTTTGTGTCTACATTAAATGTACTACTTTCGCGACCACTCCTCGATTGTCTAGTCAAATTCGATCAAAATGTGTTATATAACAATTACCTATGATTATTTAATAACAATACAGTAGAGTTAGGATATTGTAAACCCGCCTATTGTGAAAACTCGGTTATAACGAACACTTTTTGAAATACAATCAAAAAGTCTCATAAGACAAATGTAAATTTTTACTCTTGTAGTGAACTTTCGGATACAGTGAACTAAATTTCGTCAAGATACATTTTCCATTTTTAATGGACTTTTTTGTGGGGTTCCCCCGGTAATTCCCAGGAGAAAAATTAAAATACATGGCACATTTCTTTTGTTATTGTTTTGATTGCAGTTGTGATTTAGATTTCGTGGAGAATATTGATTAGCATTAGATAAAAAGCATTAACGAAAAATACGATGTTATACAAAAAATTAAAAGTGGTATGAAACAAAGCGATATTTATTGTGAAATGAACTGTCTCCATTACTTGGAAAAAAGGTAGGATTCTAGTAGGATCAAGTGAACGCAAGGCTCAGAAAATAAGCTCATGAAGGCGTCAATAAGGGATTTTTACCAGTGGTTTACCCAAAGAAAATGTTGGCGGGACTGTACAGTGCTGCGTTGAGACCATTGAATGTGGATCACAATAGAATCCTTAAAGTGATTTACTAAAAGTATAAAACTAATTTTAAATATTTGAGGCCCACATTATACAATAGCGTTCCATTAAAAATCAGACTGATGAATAAAATAGGTAGTTTAAAAATGAAACTCGTAAATTTATATTTGAAAATAGGGAACTTTATTGTGCGTTGTTTTAAACTGTGGTTTATTTTATTTTTATTATTTTGTCGGATTAGTCGGGCGGGGACTGAACTGCATTAGGTTATGTTAGTTTATATAATAGGGTAAGAGGGTAGTATAAAGTGTTAACATAATTATTATCTTATTTTTAAGAAAGCGCATACGCATATTAAGTGTATGTAAAACTCCTTGAACTTGGAATTCCACAACTCTGTATGTACCTTCAATTGGAACTCAATGGTAATAAAAACATTTAATCTACTGCTTAATGAAATAAAGATAGTGAATCAGTTTCTAATAAATGGCTGTTTTTATAATCTTACTTATTGTTGGGACTTGTCGATTGACCATTTCTTAAATGACTAGTAAAAAAATGTTTTAAATAACACCTCGCAATTGTAGAGTGTTGCCTATCATTCTTTAATAATAACCTACAACCTTCTTCAAAGGATGTCCCAATTCAAGGTTATCTTACAGAATGTGCCCGTTAAATATTTTTTTGTTTCTTAATTTATACTGTTTTGGCTTTAGCTTTTTCAGTTTTCAGTAAAGTTTTTTGATTTGTCACGCAAATGCTAAATCAATCAAAGCAATCGCAACGCCAAATGACGCGCATTGAATAAATAAGGGAGATATTTGTTAACGTAAATAATACAAACAGACCAAATGCAAATTTCGTCTTTTTTCCATCAACTTGTATGTATAAAACGCATATGCTTATCTAAGCACGTGCCCTACATGATATTGGAAAAATTAAATTATCTTTGTTACTGCCAAAACATATAAGGCACGACTTCTCTTTAAAAGCATATTGTAGCGACATTCAAAATACGCGAAATCGACATCACCTTTCAAGTGCACAAAGTCGGCCTCGTATTTCTTGAGCCGCTTGACCTTGATGCTGCAGGCTAACTTGACGAGCTGCTTGGCCGCCTCCTCGGACCTGCACTTTTTCGGCAACGACACCCGGAAATACTTCAATATGCCCTCGAAGTCGAGCTGGAGCAGGTCCCTTTTGCACCACATCAACAGCGCGAGTGCCATCTGGAAGAGCGTGTCGATTCCTTGTAGGAGGAACACGTCTATGATCCGAAACACGAAGTAGAGGGGGAAGCGGGCGGTGAACAGGGTGAGGAACCACTGGGACGCGAACATGTGGGTCTCTATGCGGTGCTCCTCGAAGTGCGCGTAGAGCGGATTCAGGTGCTCCTCCATGAGCCGGTTTAATTGGTGGAGGCGCAGGTACAAATTGTCGAAACCGTCCTTGTAGAGGTCGCGTAGCCCGTAGTCGTACATGAGGCGTACCAGTACGCAAAAGGCCTGCTCTTCGGGCATCTAAGAGAGGAACGGTTAGCATTTCCTCACCTGGGTTCCGCGACCGCTAGCTTACGTGCAACAAGAGTGTCGCGGCCAAAAAACTCAGACCTTGACAGTACCCGACCTCGAGATCGTGAACCGCGTACGCTTTGCTCACGCGGTAAAGCGAATCCTGACCGAGGCCGCCGACCTCTTTGAAAAAGTCATGGGCTGGAAAGGTACGCGCGATATCCCTCTGTATCACGTTCTCGCAGCTGCATTCCTACCGCACGACGTACGACGATCGCTTAGAAAAGACTACTACCGTCCCGCGCCACCCGGTTACCTTGGTAATGAGTAGCCGGTAATTTTCCATCATCTCGGTGTTCTCCTCTGCGCCGGCGAGTCGCTGCCACACCTCCCCGCGCAATGCTTCCGGGATACCGAGCCTGACGAGACCGGCGAGCTGTTTCGGCCGCTGCCTCGTCTGCTTCCACTTGAGGAGGATGTCTGCCCAGCTCTCCAACACGTCTTCCGCGCAATCCTTGGAAACGAGCCCGGTGCCGCTGAGCAGCGGCTCGTCACCGTCTAAACTCGTTGCTGATTACGTTACGTCAACGACAACAACAAAAACGTGCCTGAGTTGTACTCCTCCTCCTTCGGGGTTAGAGTGTCTATGGAGGTGATACTGGGCGACGCGATAAGACTGGGCAGGTTCAGGTTTAGGTTGAGCAGCTTGCGGTCGAGCTCGCCTGACGTTTCCATGCTCAGAACTTCGTAGCGAGTATCAATTGAATCGCCGCAAACGACCTGTGCACAAATTCGAAACGGGACATTTGAACTACTCTCTCCGACGCGATGCCGCGCACGTACAAACCACAACTAAATCATTCAGACACTCGAAAACAGTCGAAGATAAGCGCGTTCCATCCTTTGTAGATAACAGGAAGCTCGTCAAACCGATAACCACGCAATAACAACATTCGCTGATAAAAAAATATAAGCGCTCACCTCCTTCAGATTGAGGTAGAACTCTTGCGTCAAGCTACGCCGCTGGAAGTACCAGAAATTGCGCTCGGGATGCGAGAAAATGCGCACGGGAGTCTCGACGAGGAAGCGGACGGGTTCCTGGATGCCCCGGATCACCAGGTCGACCGCGGCCGTCATGTACTGCTTAACTTCCTTGTTCGTCTCGACGTTTAATGGCGCAAACGAATCCTCGGTGGGGTCCCAGGCGGCCGCCACGGTCGTGCAGTTGTTTTCCGCCGACTGCTCGGTCTGCAACAATCGCTGTTTGTGACCCGAGAATGGCAACGGCCGATGGCGAACCATTTCGAGCAGCTGCATGTCCGAGTGTCTGACGTGCCGTCCGGCCGCGACGAGCACCCCGAAGCACCGGTCAATGACCAGCTGGGGCCCGTTATCGGACACCTGCCGGATACTAATCGATATCTGCTTCTCCAGATTCGTCCTCAGCCTGAAACCATTGCGGTCTTTGCCGACGGTCGAAAATGAACCCTGCAAATTCAAAATCGTAGCAGAAACGTCCATAGTCCCAGGTGGGCTGGTATTGCCTTGCCATCATCTTCTCTGATTTCGAGATTAACCTCGAAAACGTACACCAGGGTGCGGGCCTCGGGTACCGCGACAATCGAGGCTGACATTGCGTCGGCGACAGACGCTACCGAGCTGCTGAGCGATCGCGGAACCCTCTGGAACGCCTTCGCGAAACACGCTAAGAAGGAACGCCCAACCACTGTAAACCGCGCCTTCCGAAAGAGGTGTGAGGGTTACGATATTACCTGAGACCCGTGACACGGCCTCGACGATGTCGCAGCGAAATACGTGGCATTGAAATATGGCGGATTCCTGGGTATCGCCGTGCGACCATGTGAAGGCGAAACAGCTCGCCTCGCCGCTACCGACGGAGCCGCGCGCGTAGAACAGAATCCGGTGGATTTCGTACCTTGATATGACAGAGTTGGTGGAGGCGTCGTGCAACCTAGAGAGAAAACGTCGGAATACAGATATGCCACTTGGGACGACGATTAAACTAACACCACGATTCCTTGAGAAGACAGCGGAACTGAGATGGACACCTTGATGCCCTGTTCTAAGCTTTGCTCATTCAATATCGCCATATTCCTGTGGATCTCTGATTCGGACTTGGGAGCGTTGATCTGGGCCGCGCCCAAATATGTCACTCCCGAGAATATCGTGCATTCCTGATCAACATCTGAAACTGAGGTGCAAATAACGAGGGTAGGCGAACCATTCAACGTCAACAAACGCTCTTACTGCTGCTGTCATCATCATCGGAGCTTGGTTTCATCAAATCCTGCTTCTCAGTCGGCGACAGTTCCTGAGATAATGGGTCTTTGCCGAAATCGACGGGGCACCCGTAAAACGGGATTTTTTTTCCGTCGTCCACCGTCGTCGTCTCGTTCGTGTTACTGTCGGGCTCCATCAAGACTTCCGACAGCGCGTCCTTGAGCTCGTGCAAGCCTCCTCTAAAATCCAGCGTCGGCGTTTTGCTGCTGCCAGGCTTATCTGAGACGAAATCAAACTCCTCACTGGTCGCTAGAGATTCATTCGATTTGGCGCTCAGGCTATCCTCCATTCCGAATCCAAATTTGAAAATTATTTGAGGTCCGGTAAAAAATGCATTTTCTCGGTTCGACCAACGTCAACTCAAACTTTTGACTAATATTACGCGCGGGATTGCCTATGTGTTGATATGTCGTTCGCATTACATCGCGATACCGAAATTATTTGCCACCGATTTAATTGTTAACAATAAAATATGTCAAAACGTCGGATATCATGGATCGGATATTTAGACCGTGCATTGATAAGATTGGTCGGTCCTACTAGTCTGTGAATCCCTATCGATCAACATACCACGGACCTCTGGAACGGCTTTGACGTTTCTTTAACCTGGTTTTTTGCGTCAACAAAAATAGAGGGCCACTATATGGAACATTTATTCTTTACTTAACTTGAGTTATACGCAGCACAAATAAACACTGATAACGAATATGCGGCCTTATCGCAAATAGGTGCTGATAATTATGGACGAAAACGGTGAGAACCGCCGTGCAACTTCGCCACATATGTCTGTAAAAATCGACGTGAATGAAAACGAAGCTGACGAGGAAGTTGAGCAGCCCATTACGGACGTAACCGAAGAAAAAATCGCGTATCAGCAGCGGGTGATTGAGGAAACCTCCGAGACCCTCCGGTTTTTGGAGGAGAAATGCACGAGGCTAGAGCACTTCCAAAAGGAACTCGAATCCAAACTGGAGGCTGCCTTGAAACAGAAGGAGACTGCCGTGAAGGAGAAGGAAGTCATGGTGATTAAATACGCCGTGGGTGAAAAGAATGTAATACGGGAACAGCAACTAAGGGAGCAAGCGGAAAAGAAACAGAAAGAGTTGCAAAAGGAAAACGAGATTCTACAGCATAGGGTGCAAACCATGGTATCAGAGAAGGCCCGAATTTGCCAGATGTTGGACAACAAGTGCTACGAGTTGAAAGGCGCCCAGCAAGAGCTGGACAAGGCGAAAACCGACCTGACTGCTTTGGAGACTCAGATAAAATGGTCGCAGAATAGTCTTAAGTCGGAGATGGAGGCCCACAAGGAGTGCCAGGCGAAGGTCGACGCGCTAACGAAAAAGGTGCAAAACTCGGCGGAGCAAATCGACGAGGCCAAAAAAAACGCTGAGGACACCATCAAGAGTTTCATGACCTCGCAAGATAACCGCGCGTATGCTTTGGACCAACAGGTCAAGGAGATGCAGGCGTCCTTGATTCTCTTCAAGCACGAAAAGGCGGATAAGGAGGAGCAAATCAAAACGTTGCGACACGAACTCGAACGGGCGCAAACCAAACAAAAAGAAACGATCTACGAGAACAACGGCCTTTCGCAAAAGGTGCAGCAGTTGGAAAGGGAGCGTCTGGACGTCGAGCAGAAGCTGAGCGAACTGCGATGCTGCTCCGACCAGCAACGCCAAGACGCAGCCGATTTACAGACCAAGAGCGTCCAGCTGGAGCAACTGAGACTCCAGCTGAAGCAGTAAGAGGCGTGTCACGTTTTAAATTTCGCGCTTAATTGCAAGGGGCGTGATTTTCAGCGAACAAGACCAGCGGTCGGCCTCCAACGATCAAATCGGTCTACTCAAACTGCGAAATCAGGAACTGGAGCAGGACATGGAGGCGTGTCGAGTGAGGGAGGCGGAGTTGCTCTTGTTCACCCAGCAGCTCACCGACAAGAACGTCAGGTTACAGTCGGAATTCTCGGCGCTGGAAACGAAGGTGCGAGAGTTAACTGGGGAGCAGACGGCGCTCAAGAGACGTTTTAAGGAACAAGAGACGAAGACGCAGCTACTGGCCGCTTCCGGTGCCGAAGAAAAGGCGAGATATGTTGAGGAGATCGAGATGATGAGGGCCAAGATCGAGGAGCAATCGCAGCAGCTCCAGCGCGCCGTGCAGGAGGCGGAAGATCAGAAAGGGGAGAAGGTAGTCGTGAAGAGGAAACTGGAACACTCGCTGAGGGTAACGTTCGGTGAAAGCCGAATGTGGGTGGACCGTCTAATTTTTCGAGATTTAAGGAGGTGACCAGGGAGCTGCAGCACTATCGAAAGAAGGCGGAGCGGGGCGACGCGGACCGTCCTGCCAGTGCGTCCCCTTCGCCGAGCACCGACGGCCGGTCCTCCGACAGCGATCACACGCCCGACCGTCAGGCCTTGATCGAGCACATCGTCAAGCTGCAGCGGATCAGCGCCAAAAAGTCGGAAAAGATCGACTTCCTCGAGGAGCACGTCGCGAGCCTCGTAGCCGAGGTCCAGGCCAAAGCCAAGCTGCTGCAAGCCTACGCGCTGCGCGAACCGTCCGGAACGATGACGTCAAACGCGACCGACAAAAACAAGGTAAAACTGTGTCATTGGGGGGCGATCTAGCGGAGTTATAATCGATTCGCTTTTGTTTCGGCCGCCGCGCAGACTAGAGTGTGGTGAGTAGGGGGCGCTCGCGAGCGTTACGTGTAACTTTTTTGTTTTCCGGTTGCTCAGGCGACGTTAGCGCAGCTCGGCGGGATCATGGCGTCCGTGTACGGCTCCCGGGTGGCCGACGACACGCTCACCCTAGAACTGTCGCTGGACATCAACCGGAAGCTTCAGGCGGTGCTGGAAGATGCGCTCTTGAAAAACATCACGCTCCGGGAGAGCGTGGATACCCTGGGAAAGGAGATCGACCGGCTCAACGGCCATAAGTCACCCACGTGACGCCTCGCCTTCCCCCCTTTTCCCAATCCTTGCGATCTCATTAGATTTAATAACCCATTGTGAGAAATAAACCCGACTTTATTATTATCAAACGATATCGTCGCTCATTTCCGCCGTGTCCCTCGCCACCTCCTCATAATCCCGCTCGAGGGCTGCGAGGTCCTCTCGCGCCACCGTAAACTCCGCCTCTTCCATGCCTTCGCCGAGGTACCAGTGTACGAACGCCCTCTTGGCATACATGAGATCGAACTTTTTGTTCAACTTGTTCCAAGCGGACTCGATGGCGGTGGTGTTGGACAGCATGCAGACGGCTCGTTGGACGCCAGCGAGGTCGCCGCCGCTGACCGCCGTCGGCGCTCGATAATTAATGCCCACTTTGAAACCGGTGGGGCACCAGTCGACGAACCGCACCCCGCTCTTGGATTTCATCTGCGCGATGGATACGTTCACGTCCTTGGGCACGACGTCGCCGCGGTAGAGCAAGCAACATGCCATATACTTGCCGCGGGTGGGGTCGCATTTCACCATCTGGTTGGTCGGCTCGAACAGATCCGCCGTGATCTCCGCGACGGACATGCCCTCGTGGTACGCCTTCTCCGACGAGACGACCGGCGCGTAAGATGCGAGCGGGAAATGGATCCTCGGGTACGGTACCTGCGTAACGTGCGCGAGTGTGAGAACGACGACCGACCACGCCTACTACGTTTGAGCGACCATTTGCAGGAAGGCAGTTAGTTAATGTTTGGTTTTCATTTTATTCTTTGTTTGGGTTTTTGAGTTTTCTAAAATAAATCTATAACTTATTTATTGACCTGGAGTACAGCACCAAGCAATAATTCTTGTAATTTTTCAAAGGAACTTAGAATACTATTCACAAAACTTCTGGATTCCTCCTGCGTCGGTTTATGTTGGATCAAACTTGCTGACGTTTCGCCAATCATTGAAAATTATCGACCTATATCTCTCCTTCCAATTGTTTCAAATATTGACGAATGTAAATCATCTGTGATAGTAACATTAATAAAGTATTTGTATCATCCTGTTGGCTTCTTCAGAGCTTAACAGAAACTGGTTCGCATTCTACTCTGTACCTGCTTTTATATTGTTTGAGCTAAATGAGAGGCATAAACACCATCTCGGATGACTGATTCCAAATTTATGGAAGCCTTTGAGAAGGCTCTCGACACCTTCCATTTAAAACCAAAATTAGGGAAACGATACGTCGATGATACTTTTGTTACTTGGCCTCATGGTCAAGAATCCCTAATAGATTTTCTAAGACATTTAAACTCTATACACCCAAACAAACGTTTATCCATTGAAATAGAAACTAATAACAACCTACCATTCTTAGATATTCTTATCTTTTTATAAATCTTCGTGAAATTTTAACTAAGCAACGGTTGCTTAATTTATTCTATGTGAAAGTGGAGTCCCGATTATGTTATGGGATCAATTTGTGGGGAGCATCTGTAAATGCCGATAAAGTATTTTTGGTAAAATGGTTTTACCATTGAAATAGAAACAATTAACAAGCTCCCATTCTTAGATATTCTTATCAATAGAAAATCAGACCTAACATTGGGTCATTGTATTTACAGAAAACCTACGCACACAGACCGATACCTTAATGCATTGTCACATCACCATCCGGCCCAAAAATCATCGGTTATCAACTCTCATGTTTACAGAGCCGTAAAACTATCTTAGCCAGAGTAATTGAACCCACAATTAAAACACCTTACCTCTGCTCTTCTCTCCAATAACAATGAAACCAAAAGCAATGCCACACTTGTTACTGTTGTCCTTCCTTGTATTCAAAACATCACTGACCACATATCAAAAGCTCTAAAGAAATATAACCTCAGAACCAGATTTACCACTTGTCCAAAAATCTCTCAACATCTTTGAATCGCCAATGACAAAATTCCATTGGATATGCCAGGAGTTTACAGCCTTCCATGCATATGCGCCAAAGAATACATTGGAGAGACCGGACGAAAAATATCAACTACGCTCAAAGAACATGAAAGACTAAGACAAATAAACTCGTCAGCAATTACCGAACACAATCACGAAACCGGTCATAAAAATTTTATTCGATAAAACTAAAAGTCTTGTATGTAATCAATTCTTCTACCAACGAAAAATCCGAGAGTCTATATAAATCTATAAGCAACCCAACAATCTTAACCGCGACTCAGGTCTTTACCTGTCACCGATATTGTAATCAGTCATCCGAGACGGTGTTTACGCCGCTCATTTAGCTCCGCCCCCCTCAAACAATATAAAAGCAGGTAAAGCCAAGAAGCAAAACGTTAGCTAATTCGATTCAACAAAAACCGACGAAGGAGGAATCCAGAAGTTTTATAAATAGTAGGGAGGAAGACCATCAAATTGAGATAGAGTTAGTTAAGTTTCGTAAAAGAAAACGTGTACGAGTAATTTGATCCTTTCGCTTTCGCGACTTTTTGCCGTGCCACCTGCGGTCAAATTCTGTTCCGCGCGGTAAAGACCAAAATATACGGAACCACTAAGTCGCCACAGAATTTCCTCCGTCGGGCGTCCTAACTTACCAGATTGGTCTGGAATTCGGTGAGGTCGACGTTGAGCGCGCCGTCGAATCTCAGAGACGCAGTGATCGATGACACGACCTGACTAATTAGTCGATTAAGGTTGACGTAATCGGGCCGTTCGATGCCGAGCTTCCTGCGGCAAATGTCGTAGATGGCCTCGTTGTCGACCATGAACGCGCAGTCGGAGTGCTCCAGGGTCGCGTGGGTGGTGAGGATCGAGTTGTAAGGCTCGACGACCGCGGTGCAGATCTGCGCAATTCGCGGCGCTTTATGCAGGGCTAGAGACGCGGGCGGAGAGCTCACTTGGGGTGCCGGATATACGACAAACTCCAGCTTGCTCTTTTTGCCAAAATCCTGCGAAAGCTTCTCCATGAGGAGGGAACTGAAGCCGGAGCCGGTACCGCCTCCGAAGGAGTGAAACACCAGGAATCCCTGCAGGCCGGAGCAGTTCTCCGCGAGCTTGTAGAGGCGCTCCATCACGTTGCCCAGCATGTCCTTGCCGATACTGCAGTGTCCGCGCGCGTAATTGTTCGCCGCGTCTTCTTTGCCCGTGATCAGTTGCTCGGGATGATAAAGTTTCTTGTAAGGGCCGGTCCTGACCTCGTCTGCCGACGTTGCGCGTCGACAAACATCACGAGCCACCAAATGTGAGCGCATACGTACCGACAACTGTGGGCTCGAGGTCCACCATCACCGCTCTAGGTACCAGTTTACCGTTCTCCACTTCGGAAAAGAAGGTGCCGTAGCAGTTATCGAGGTTCTTCGACGGGGCAATAATCGTACCGTCGGGACGGATGCCGTGCTCTAGGCAATACAGCTCCCATGTGGAATTGCCGATCTGCACCCCGGCTTGGCCGATATGAACCGATATGCATTCCCTCTAACGGCGACAATTTTAACGGGATATTGAGAGCCTTTCGCGCACATGCCTACCATTTTTTATAAAACTGGAATTTTTGTCCGGATCGCCGCTGCTACACAGTAATTTCGCGTTACTATTTAAATTTGAAGTTTGTCATTTAAAACTCTCCTGAGCACTAGATTTAACGACTTTGCGCTAAAAAATTTACGAGCCCGGCCCTGACCCGCCACAGACCGGAAATAAACCACCGTCGCTGTCACAACAAATAAGTTGGGTTAGGCGTTAACTGTCATGTCATAGATGAGAAGCAAATGTAAAATATGTGGGAGTTGTTTCGCAGCTACGTAGATAAATCGTCGAAATAGCGAGCGGGGCAGTGCGATGGACCAATCGCCCCCGATAAAACCCCCTCGGGGGGTGAAACCCGTAAAGGAAACGGTAACTCGGCCTGTTGTAGGTTAGGTCTCGATGACCAAATTTCGTTTCAGAGCGGCCTCTTAATGTCCGTTATCCGCACTTTATCGGCCAGCGAGACCAACGAGCAGCGGGACCGGGAAAAGGCGAAACTCGAGGCGGATTTCAAATTGTGCGATCGGAAATTGGACGAACTCGTGTCCCAGCACGAGAACGACCTCAAAAAGGTACCGCTCGGGCTTCGGTCGCGCCTTTTTTCTTTAAACGGAGCTTTCGTAGGTGATGCACATTTTCGGGCGAATATCGCAGTCGGTAACCGAGAACAGGGAGAAAATCCGAAAAGTCCGGGAAACGTTGCAAGATTGCAAGAAGAAATTGCGATGTAAACGGGACGAGCTGAAGAATTTGTGGACAGAAGGGTTGGAGTACAAAAACATGCTACAGCTTTTAAATGAAATGTAGGTGACGAAAATTTCACGAGAGCGTGTTTGACGATCTACATTTTAGCGAGAAATTGAATGAAGTACCTAGTCAGTTTGCGAGTCATTTGAGCCACAAACGGTACCTGCACGCCACCAAACTTTTGGTGGAGGCGGTGGCCTTAGGCCGCGATCGCCTAATCGATGTCGACAGTGTGAAGGAGCTCTGCCTGGATTTGGAACAAAAAAAGGAAGTAAGAACCTAATGGAACAGTTCTCTCAGTTGGTACTTTATCTTTTCCACAGCAACTTCATGTGGAACTGGTTGCCGAATTGAAACAGCTTTTGTATACCAAGCCATCCCAGCATATTTTAACACTGAGACGGCAGGGGTCTGGCCGGGACGGATTCCTGATCAATTCTCCCTTAAGAAGAAGCGGCAAAGGAAGATTGTCCGGCAGAACCCGGTCCAAGGTCGCCAGGAACCTAATGGAAGACATCGCGAGGGAAAACAGGGATTTGTTCAGTGACAATGTAGATCTGGACAACGATTTGGACTTGTCAATCAACGAGGAAAATCCCAAACACTACATGGCAATAATAGTTAAGAGCCTGTGCCTATTGGAAAAGTTGCCTTACTCGATCGATGTAAGCGCCCTTGTAAAAAAATAAATTATTACATACCCTTTAAAGCCAAGACAAAAAGTACAAAACAAATTTTATGTGTAATTTTTACAGAAATGATGAAAAAGAAAATTTTTTTTTGTCGGTTTCTTGTCTTTTGAATATTGCTATGAACCGTGACGACACACGTAAGCTTATAAGAAATGGCACTGATCCGACGCCAGTATCCATCTTTTATTATGCGATTTTCGACTGGTTTTTCTACCTTGCTATGCAACCCACTGGCCATTTTTTTTTAATGTGGGTTATTTCGGGCCCTTCAAGTTCGATTTTTACTAGGAAATCGCCAGAGACATGCAAATATCGCTAACCCAAATCGTACAAAAATCGACGCAGCACGTCATAGACTACGCGGAAGGAATCGATTCCAAGCTGGCGTTGAAGGAGTTGGTCAACATACTGTTTGATCAGTTCAAGGAGGCCTCGGACGCGCACGGCACCTTCTTAAAGTGGGTCGACAAGGCGATCGCCGCCCACAAAGTAACCTTCAAGCCTTACACTCTACAATACTACTGGTCGCAAATCCAAGTCGTGGTATGTATTGGCCCCGCCTCGTATTACGTCGAGATTCTCCGTGACCTAACTTTCAGCTCCAGACGTTCCTCAACGATTACATGGACTTGCAAAACATGACGACCGATTTGCAAATCAACGCGATCCCCGAGAACACCGACATTTCCTTGTACTTCTCGCGCAGAAAGCAACAAAGGTAGGCGTGGTTTCTATGCGCGGAACTTACTTCAATCCGGGTGTTCCAGCAAGAAGAAGACTCTGTTCAAATTCGAAGGCTCCTCGAGTGCCCTGACCCTCAGCAGCGCATTAAAGTCGACCAAGAAGGATAAAGTGCTGATATGCAGGCCGCACCCCAACAACATACTGGTGCTCTTCGTGCCGCTGATGTGTTTCATCGAGGACGTGGAGCAGCTTTTGGGCGTGGCCCACGGCACGTGCGCCCTCTACAAGTACGTGACGATGCACGTGTCCAACGTTTACTTGAAACGCAAGTCGGATGAAATCGTCGAGCAAGTGGAGGCTGCTTTCAAGGCCGCGGACGCGTGGAAGACCACCGTCCTGCTCGATTTGTCGGCGGACTACAAGCCGCTGTTGACGGTAAGACTCGCGCGCCCTCTTTCACGTAAGCAACGCTCAAATTTCAGAGTACCGTCAGCGTGGAGAGATGTATAAGAGAGTGGAAGGCGGTATTGCAAGCGCTGCCGCTGTATAGCGAAAAGATCGCCGAATACTCGGTGAAAGCGCTCAGAGAGTACAAAGAAACGTGTTACGCCGCGTACCAGGGCCTGGTGCAGCCGCACTCCGAGGACAAACGGATATGCAGCGCCGCGTGGCTCAAAGACGAGGATATCAACCGGTTTTTAAAGTAAGACGACAGGGTAAAGCTCCGCCTACTGTACCCGGCAGTGATTTTCGACCGCAGGTCGTTACCCAACTGGCTGAACCTCAAGGCCCAGCAGGAGTCGCACGCGCGCAGCGAGCGCAGCCGCAGGGTGCTGCGCGACCAGCCCTCGGAGGAGGAGAGCCCCGAGGATGTGCGAATGAGGAACCGGAAAGAGGCCGAAATTCTGGCGAGCAATCTGGGCGAAGGGGGCGTGTCTGCAGCGGAAATTTTATCGGACATGTCGCTGCTCAAGGAACTCGCCACGTTGCAGGAGAGTATGGTACAGGGTAAACGGGACGTGGCCGACGTATATTTGATCGCACGTCATCGCAGGAATGGTTTTCGGTGAGGATGCTGCAGTACACCAGCGACTTCCGGATCGAGCCGTCGCGACTATCGCCGCACAGAGCCGAGAACTCGCACGGCGATGTCGCCCCGCCCGTCTCGGCCACCACGCTCCACCACCTCACCGGTATCGCGCAGGAATTCGACGAACTTGCCAACACGTGCCTGCTCCTGTTGCATTTAGAGGTTAGGGTACAGTGCTTCCATTACCTGCTCGCGCAGACGCACCACAACAAAGAGACGCACGAGCCGGACCCGAAGGTGCTCGAGCTAAGCCGCGTGCTCGCCAACGTCGACGAGGCGATGACCTCGAGCCTGCACCCTCGAAAATGCAAGGTAAAACGAGTACCGGTTCCGCCGGCAAAGTCACCGAGCCCGTTCCGTTTCGCAGTACATCTTCGAGGGTCTCGGCCACCTCATAGCGAAAATATTGATCAGTTCCGCGCAGTACATGCAAGGCATCGACGACGCGGGCATCCAGCGTATGTGCCGCAACATATTCGCGTTGCAGCAAACGCTGACCAACATCACGATGACGCGGGAGGTGGCCCTCGACCATGCCCGTCACTACTTCGAGCTATTTTTCCTCGCGCCCGAGGAGATCCTCAACGGGATAGTGGACAAGGGGCCCGAGTTTTCGGAGCTCGAGTACATGAACGCGCTCCAGCTACTCAACAGGAGCCGTCAGGGAGCCGGGAGTTCGGTGACCGTTCATCTCGAGCGTCTGTCCGACATACTGGGAGAAGTGGGCGTTACCGTTTAGTCGGTCACAGTTCAAACAAAGAGAGATACATAGCGTTATATTTATTGCCGCGTCGCAGTGCAGCGCCCGCGACGTAGTTGTTTCGAAAAATATTTTTAATAAAAGCGAATATATTTGAGTTACCGAGAGTCGTCTCACAGCTCGTCCTTGGACCGCCGCACCAGGCGGTCGTTTTCGGCGAGGGGCAGTCTCTCCCAGAACGCGCCCCGTCCCGGGGCCACTTCTTCCATGCCGAGTGCTTGGGGGCCCGATATGTTGAGGCGTCGCAGTGGCACGTCGCAACCCTTCCCCACTGGTAACCATTCCACGCCCACTTGCGGTACGCTAAAGATCGCTTGCGTCTATAACCCACCTGGCCCTGTCCCTAAATGGAGGATCTAGCACGACTGTCCACAAGCAGCAGTTAATTTTATATTTATATATATATATATATATATATATATATATATATATATATATATATATATATATATATATATATATATATATATATATATATATATATATATATATATATATATATATATATATATATATATATATATATATTTATATATATATTTGTATATATATATTTATATATATATATATATATATATATATATATATATATATATATATATATATATATATATATATATATATATATATATATATATATATATATATATATATATATATATATATATATATATATATATATATATATATATATATATATATATATATAATGGGTATGGCTACTAAATAAAATTTTCAAAACTACTAATATGAGAAAATTAGAGAAGACACTACTTTGCTAAAAAAATATAAAAATTCTGGGTTTAGATCAAAGGGGCCATTGTAAGCATCTTTTTTTTTATGTATAGTACTTCACATATTTACTGTTATTAGTATATCTTTAAAAAAATCATATTGATATGCCAATAGTATTTAGTTTGTAGTTAAATTTGTAATAGTAGCAGTCAATATTTTATATAAAAATTTTTCTTATTCATAGTTCTTAACGAATATCGAATTCGTGTTTTCTAAAAATAGTTCAGTGTTACGCAAAGGAATATGAAATTGAGAAGTTCTAGTTTTCTTTTTTAATTCGTTGTCTCAAAGCTTATTCCTTAAAATATGTGTTTCGATGTTGCATTTAACATAATACTAACCAACAAAGTAGGTTAGCAACCTTTAAACTGATACGACTAGAAACGGATCACTACTTTTAATTATTTTAGTTATGTCGTGCTAAATCTGTCCCTAAATCAATTTGACCCAATGGGTACACCCCCCTTACCCCGTTTGCATGAACGTCACGAACATGTCGGTCAGAATTTCACTCATGGCGCGGTCGTCGTCGTTTGAGCGAGTATCCGCAACGGTTTTCATCACGTAGATGGTGTCGTCTCCGTGGGAAACGCCTGGAAATCGAAGCAGGGTAAAGTCGGAGGCTTGGGACACCGTTTCTTTTGTACCGTTTGTTCAATTTATCTTGATATCATTTGAATTGGCTTTTTTGTTTTTACAGATATCGATGTAAACAAAAAAGGAACTATAGGGTTAGCAGTCAAGTTTTTTTCCAAATGACGTATAAAACAAAACACTATCAATTTTTCGACATATAAGCCTACGACGTATATATATATAGACAAAAGAAAAAATCCATTATAGTTAAGTCGACGCTCTTGGTTGACCAATCCGTAGTTCCGCCGTTCCCTATCCAACCTCTGGGGGTATATCTTCTATATATTGTTCTATTTGGTGCTCTAAGAGTTGCAAACAATGATCTCCAGTTAACTTTTGATGTATAAATATCGGTCCCAAAATGTGCCCATATATTAATTGATTGCTACGCCTGGGTTTTTATTTCGTGTATTTGTCAACCCTTTTTTGTAGTGGACGAACTTTCATCAGCCCATAAAATGTTTTTCAAAAAATTATTATTCTCATTATGTTTATTTAAACAATCCAAACAAAACTGCGCCTTCCTATGACACTGTCCTGCACTTATTTTTTGAGTTCTACGAAATTTAAATGCATTATATTTATATTCTTTCAAAACGGAATGGATTGATTTCCGAGAAATACCTGTCTCTTCATATATAGTAATCCTAATATGCTTGCCTTCGGCATTTTCTGTAAATTTCTTTGCCACCCTTGGAAATATCTATTTTGAAGGAGTTCGGCGCATCGAATAAAGTCTAATATACTGACGACCAGCTGCGGTTGCACTTTTATTATTCAGAAAGTATACTTGAAGCATATCACTCCATTCACGGGTGCGAAATTCGTGAAAAACCAATGACTTGGACAATAATTCAACCATCAATATGTCAAACAAACATAGTTTTATCTGCCAGTAAAGACACTCGTTAAAATTATATAAAAATTTCCTTTTTGCCGATTTGTCAAAAACGAGTGGACTAAAATATAAAGTGGCACGGAATATTAATTTCGATTTGCGGCAGGTTTTTACTTATAGCGAGAGACATGCTTTAAGGTTAAATGCGCCGCCTAAAACTCACGTACTACTCTTTGCTCGCGACTCTGCAATGCACTTCCTGAAAAGATCTCGAGATAAATGGGAAACCTTTGTCGTTTGGTACCAAGGCCAAAAATTTAAGAGTAACTATCAAGACAAATTGAACGCACGATACCTATGTCGATGCTAGAGCCGGTCCTCGCATCGGACTTGCTCGCAGCACCGCGATAGTCGAACAGGTAACTGTAGACGTCCGATGTCACTGAGGAACTGTGCAGAGCAGTGGCCCGTTCAATGTCCACGACGAAAAGACGGTCTCCGATTAACTGAAACAAAAGCCGGTCAGTACGACGGTGTTTAAAGATCCGAGAAACAAATTACTTCGACGAGTTTGCTAAATGAACGTCTGTCGACTGGGTCGCCGCCCAAATACCGTTCCCGTATCGCCTGAGAGACCTCGTCCCTCAGCTCTGGAGCGACGGTACAGTTGTAGTGCAACACGTGGGGCATTATGTCGTTCCAATTCGCATCGATGTCCGCCAGGAGGCGCTCGTCGGCGTAAAATTCTTACCAGGAAATGAATTAAAATTATAGAAGACTATACATAAACTTATCGAATCTTCATTAGTTTTCTTTGGAAACTCACAAACTTTTAAATATAAACTAAACTTGGGTTTTTTTAATATAACACCCTGTATATCAACATCAAAACAGTTAGTACTAGAGCGGCCAAAGCCCACGGAAAACATTTTCAGATTTCCAAGAGGAAGCATAACCGGCATCTTGTGATTTTTCCGGGAAATGTTACCAAAAAAATATATAGTTTTTAAAATGTAAGCAGCATTCCTGGAGTAATTCTTGTTTACCATTTTTTGACGTGTCTGTTAACATAAAGGGGTGATTCTTCGTTTTTAATGAACAGCTGTAACTCCGACATGTGTGATGTCTTCAAATCTCAGTCACTAGAAAGGGGTTCTTAATATAACAACCAAATGCTTTTTTTTTTCTTAAAAATACCGCGAAAATGATCTTATTCTTGTCTGAAAATATCGCGAAAAAAAAAGACAAAATCTAATTGCTACAAAATTTCGAAAACACGCTTTTACGCTGGTATTTATTTTAGTTTCACATATTGGCGATTTTTAAAAAAACTTGTATAATAATCAATATGCAAAATCAAAGTTAAAATCAACTTTTTGAAAAATGCTAGGAATCACAAATATCAGGCATTGTAATTTGTATTTGCTACTGAAGGCCCAACCGTAGTACGACAAACATTGCTTTCCAAAATATTAATATTAATATAGGAATCGACGCGACAGTAAGAACACATATAACAATAGCAAGGTATGGTCTGTCCATAGATATAAGACGAATTGCTTTGAATGGGATTATCCAAGGGTGGTCATTAACATACAATGCAACAAGATTATTACCTAAAGTTTCGGAATTTAAATTCAGGTAAAATTGTGGTCCGTAATTGAAAATAAGTTTATACCTACCTGTGTTTAATATTCTTTGGTTTGGTATACTACTTAGTTTAAGTTATACATAATACAGCGTGTGTTGAAGAAACGGCCACATTGACGAAAATTCCAACTTCAACTGTAGGGAAAATTGAGAATAATCCCATTTCAGCGAGAAAAAAAGAAGCGATGCTGACATTTTCTCGAGTGTAGATGAAAGTGTGACCAAGATATAATACGGCGAAAAATTTACCAGTTATACGTGGAAAAAAAAGTGCCTACATTAGATATCTTAATTAGGAGGCTTGAAGAAGATGAAATTGGTGTTAAATGTGGCAGAACTACCTTATGGAAGTCAATTCAACACATGGGTTTTAGATTTTAAAAAATTGACAAAAGGCAAGTTTTAATGGAATCTTTTACAATTCTGAAATGACGACTGGAATATCTAGAAAAAATTAGGATTTACAGAGAACAACAAAGGCCAATTGATGAAACCTGGTTTGATACTTATGATACCCCGGAAAAGGGTTGGGTTGACTCAACTAAACAAACGCGTCATCAAAAAGAGGTAAAAGAACAACTATTTTGCATGCTAGCTCAAAAGATAGTTGGATTCCAAATGGACTTTCTCTGTCTGCGAAAAATATTAAAGATTCTTCTCTGGATTACCATGAAGATACCACCGCTGATTTATTTGAAATTTGGTTTAAAATCAAACTAGTTCCAAACATTCCTCCTAATAGCGTCATTGTAATGGACAATGCAAGTTATCACAATCACATATTGACAAAGGCATTACTTTAGAAGTACGTAAAGCTACTGATAATGAACTAGCTTTAATTAATATTGAAACAAATAGCTTTTTTAAAAACTACATTAAGAGGTAAGAAGTACTTCTATTCGCATTAGAAACTATCACTTCAGTGCAGGCAAAGAAAATCAGTTAATTGTATTTAATATTCAAATTCATTATCTTTTGCGTTTGTGTTAAGTAAAAGAAGCTGGTGAGGCGATAGAAAATCAAATAAATCCAAAAGAAGATAAAATGCAGAACATATACTTAAAAAAAATACATAAAGAAATTCAGTGATATTCAACTGAGAGATAGATATTTGAAAATTATGACTATTGTAATAAGCAGCCTTTCAATTTTCCCATATTTTTATTATTTCAATACCAAAGAAAATGTGAGATTTATAACAGAAATATTCTGTTATTAATAATTGTAAATAATTGATAAATATAGTTACTATTGTTTTAAAAATGTTGAAATTCGAGTCTGAGTTGTAAATATTATTTTTTAGAATTTTTGTTTAAATAGCTTCTTAAAATTTAAACACAAACTTGAAATTACTAGTAAAAAAATAGAGAGTATTTTAAATTGCTCGAATTAACAGTTTTTCATTTTGGAGATGATAAAATTATTTGTAAAACCAATTCCTATCATCCTATTTAGTTTAACTTTTTTCTGTCACCACTTCTTCTACAACTCACAAACACATTAAGTTCATGAATCTTACAAAGCACCATCTATTACATCATCACTTTTTTTTTCATTTCAAGACGAATGAGAAATTGGAAAATCAACGAGGCCACAAAATCCAGAAGTAGTATTACAGATGACTAAAGAACCTAAATTTAAAGCAGGAGAACTACTTTCTAATACTGTGGAGGCAGTCTTACGGACGGATACTAACATGCCTATATTGTTTACTAATTCCGAGAAACCGAAATGTAACGCAGAATTAGAAGAGTTGCCAACAACAGCGTGGATACGCAAAAATTTAATATAGCTGCGTATTTATACTCACAACTGAGCTCAGAATTACCAGACTTTCAGTTGTGTTCCTTGGATGCTACAACATTATTTTTGAATATGTTTATAAAAACACGATGCTTCTGGGAAGCACGAATCATCTGACGTGATCGCAAAATTAACTACTGAAAAAATACCAATGAAATGCCAAAGCAAAGTGACGACCAAAGAGGAGAAATAGAGGATGAAGTACCATTAAAAAAATCAAATCAAAGTGAGGACTAATAAAAAAGAAATTAAAGAAAAGATTGAGTAATATAATATTTTAGTTATCTGCTGTAGTCATGTAAGCAAAAACATTTTTATATGTATTATTTAATTGTTAAAGTCTTATATATGTTAAGGCATATTTTCGTATCTACATTTCTTTTATTAAAATATATTTTTTCATATTAGTAAGTGTACAATGATAGATTTTTAGCTGTTTCAGCAGTGATTAGTAAAGGAATATTATTATTATAACTAAGAAAACTTTTATTATCAGAGAACTTATAAGTTTTATATTATGTTTTTAAATAGAAAAATTTTTATCGTATATCAAATGATTTACTAAAAAAAGCTCATTTTTACAATATAATTATTGTCATAATAATAGTTTCATTATTTTAAGATTTATTGCTATGTATTTTCAGATGTTTATTAATTTAATAAATTTGTAAGAGAACTGGATCCTCTCGGGGTAAAGTGGGTAGCACGAAAACGCGGAACAGACTTCTTACTATTTTACTAGTTTTGCGTGTCAATTAGTCAATAAACGAAAATAAAACTCCGCGTCAGTCACGTAGCGCCGTCGAACCGCAACTCCCGTGTCGGAATCCGGACTCGTCGTGACGTGCCGAAATCGGAGCGGGATGGAAGGGTTTTTTTGCGTCGGGCCGTCTCATTCGTTGCGGTTAATTTAATACCATCGGTGCAGTGGTGGTTAGTTCCAAATTTCAATAATTTTCAACTATTTCGGCATAATTTTGTTTTCACATTTTACCTTTCAAAATTTAAATTGAATTGAACCGTACGTCCCGCGCGTTTTCCGTTTTCATGACTGGACACAATTGCTAGAGGGCGTTGAAGCTCGTGTATGCTTTTTAACATTGCCACTAATGGGAGCCTTCCCCTCCATCTTATACTCTTTGGGTGACCACACACAGGGCCAATAATACACGTGTGGAGGCACAACGCTTAATAAATCCCAAAATCTGAAGTGATGGGCTTTCTGCTCCCGTTGAAGTTCGTGAGTTGGCATTTATTACTATTTAGTTCCATTCCATTAAAATCCCACCATAGCGATAGGTGATCTAAATGGGATTGGAGTTTTATAAAGTCGTCAGCATTTTGTACTCTCATATAGAATTTGAGGCAATATCATCCACATAGACATTGAAGAGTAGGGGTCCCAGGTGTGATCCTTGCGGAACACCAGGAAGCACTTTAATTTCGGTGGATTGCACTCTTTCAGTAAGGTACTATGTCAACAATTCCAAAAGTTTTCCCCCAATTCCAATGTTTCGCAATTTTTTGATTATCATTCGATTATTTACTCTATCAAATGCCTTTGAAAAGTCTGTGTAAATGCCATTGTTTTAGCCGAATGTCATACGCAACTGAAGTCGACAGAATTTCTCAGCAGATTTGGATATCCAGCTCTCTTGGAGGCAATGAAGCCCTGTACATACCTGAAGCGGGGAACAGGCCTTCAGATGATGTGTACGAAACGATCCAAGGGTGGTTCTGCACGAGTCCTCTCACGAGCAAGTCGTACGGATGGTGGGGCAATACGGGATCTTCTGCCCAAGCGTCCACTACCACGCCAAACGGAGAGAACGGGTTGTACATCCACGGTTGGAGCAGCCTCGCGGCCCCCGCGATATCGGCGGCGAGCCTAGTTTTGAGGCACTCCTTGATGATAGCGGAAGTGTCTGCTGGACAGCCCAGCCGGTCGGCCAGCTGACGCGCTTTTTCCAAGGGGCGTTCCATGAGTACCCACGGGTTGAGAGCGCAGCCGCTCTGCGATACACCACCCTTGAACAACCCTGAAAGATTTCAATTCTGAATGTGTTACGTCAACCACGATTAAAAGACGAATATTTTGGTTTTTAAGTTGGGTATATAGTAACTGACTTCTTCGGAACCTGTGTTGGCGTTTATAAAACAAGTAAATAAAACAGTAAAAAGATAATAATTTTTCATTTGTACTTTCTTTCAGTTCCATTGATTACACCCTTCATTTTCACGTACTTTCGACAGATCTAGAAAATCCACGCTCTTCAAAATATATAAAAAAAAATCATATATGAAAAGAAACGAAAACAGAGGAGCCTGTCCACCATTAATTAGATGTATTTTGTTAGGAATGTTTTTTTAACATTTTTTTAGTCTTGCAGAGAAAAATAAACACATAACGCGCAAGTATGCATATACTGGGCATTTCAAAAAACATGCACGTTAGCTGGTCATTCCTCATCCAAAAAAAACATTTATATAAACATAGTGTAAAAATCCATTTTCTAAAATAGTAATTATTTTTAACAAAGTGTTCAAAAGGGTTCAAGGGTTCAAAAAACAAATTTTCACTGGTAATTTTTAAGATTTTTGTTTTTCCCTTGCGGCCTTACAGTTATTCTTAAATCTCCATAAAAAATACAAAATACATTGTTGTTTTCTAAAAATCGGTTTTTAAGAGAGGCCCGACGTTTGTTTTAGAAACTACCAGTATTCAATTAAAAATATATCTGGTCAATTCATCTTGATAACATTTTAATTGGCTAAATTTTTTTGTTTTGAAATATCAAGGTAAACAGAAAACCAAAATGTAGGGTTAGTAGCCAAGTTTGTTTCCAAGTGATGTACAAAACAAAACACCATCAATTTTCGGTTTAATAGAATATCTTATTCTGATTACAATGATGTAGTACACTTTATATTTTAGGCCTCTCGTTTCTGAGAAATAGGCAAAATAGGAAATTTTTATATAATTTCACATTGTTAAAATGTTTTTAGAATAGTTAAATAAAGAACTTTTTACTTTAGTGTGTACTTATCATTTTTAGTGTTTTTGTTCTTCGTTAATTTGTTAATAATTATTGTTGTTGCAGTGTAATCGGAATAAGATATTCTATTAAAGACATATATAATATACAGGGTGGACCATTTAAAAAAATAAGATGTAGGCTTATATGTCAAAAAATTGATAGTGTCCTGTTTTATACGTCACAGGGAAAAAAATTTAGACAATTAAAATTTTCTCAAGATAAATTGAACGCACGGTACGACATTTACAGTCAATCAAAAAAGTCTCCGTATACATAGTATTTTTTGAGTTATATTTTCAGTATTTTTTCAGTTTTCTTTTAGATTCTTCTTTCATTTACATTTAATTGGAAATACATTTTAAGTAAATATCGGCAATCTCATTAAGAGTGATAAAAATAAAATAAAAATCATTTGAGACACTTTATTTGAACGATAAAGAATAAGGCAGTTTTAGAAGCAAGAAACTATGTCCAATAAGTCTCCATACACTTTAATAAATCACTATTCACAACTGCAGGTAGAACCGTTAATTATCAATATTTTATCAAGCTTCTATCAAATTTAGCTTAAACAAATGAGTTATACTTGTTTATTTTTGACACCACTTTTAAGTCACTAATTTTGAAGTAAAAGCAAAATGGGCGCTAAAACTTGCGAAATTCCGATTTCGCTTTGAAAAATCGTAGTAGATTTATGGAAAGAGAAAAAATAATTTAGAGATATTGGTAAAATAATTAAAAATTACATTCAACTGTACAGTATGTAATAAATCAATACAAATCTACAGGATCTTATAAAGTGCGGCCACGCTCTGGTCGTCCCAGGAAGTTAACTGCACGAGAAGAGTCTTCTGTTGTGAAAAAAATTAGAATTAATTCTAAAACAAGCGCCCCAAAACTTGCAGGGGCAATCAGGGAAGAGTATTAAAAAAATGTTAGTCCTCAAACGATTAGAAACTGCTTGCATTGTCAGAAGGAAACCATTAATTTCGGAAAAAATTGAAAAAAAACGTTTGGAATTTGCCCGAGAACACATGAACAAAACCAGGGAGTTTTGGGAAAACGTTATGTTCAGTGACGAAATCAAAATTAATCTCTTTGGGACAGATGGTCGGGATAAAGTTTGGGGGAGGAAAAATACAGCTCCGAAAATCGAAAATGTCTGTCCTACGGTGAAGCATGATGGAGGTAATGTTTTATTGTGGACGTGCGTGTCAGCTAATGGGACAGGCAATTTAGCTTTTATTGACGGAATCATGGCTACTTGAACATCCTAAAGTATAATTAAAACCAAAGTGTTGAAAAACTTAGCCTTGAGGGGCGTTATTTATTCCGACAGGACAACGATCCTAAACACAGTGCTACCCTTGTACGTCACTGTACGTTATACACCACCACAGTCTTCGGATGTTAACCCCATAGAGCGCCTGTGGGAAGAAGTAAAGCGACGAGTGAAAAAACATCAAGTTACGAGTAAAGAAGACCTCAAAAATAGGATAAGGGAAGAGAAGGCTTGTTTTAAGTCTTCCAAAAAGACTTAAAGCCATTATTAAAGCAAATAACAATTGTACTGTATTTGACATAGTTGTTTGCTTTTAAAACTGCCTTATTTACTTGAAATATATTTGTCATTAAATGTAAGTGAAAGAAGAAACTAAAACAAAACTGAAAAAATACTATGTGTATGGAAACTTTTTGACCATAATAAAGAAGAACTAAAAGTTCAGATTTTCACGAAATTATATATTTTCACATGCAACACCGTGTCTTTATCAAATGTAATATTTACAAACTACCTGCTACTATATCTACCGCAATTTGTTCAATGATATTAAGTTCTTTAGTTTACTGTTGTCCGGACTTGTTTTTTATTTATAATTTTATCGATAATGGACGGATTGTATAAGCGTGATTTGAGCTGTTATGTCTGACTGTGTGACACACAAAATGGCTGCAGTTCACTCACAGAACATTACAATAAAGAACTTAATATCATTAAACAAATTGCACTGAACAACGGCTACAATCCGTGCATTATCGATAAAATTATAAATAAAAACCAAATCCAGACAACAGTAAACTCTATCGATCCGAAACCTAATACAGAATAGGAACAATTTAAAACAATTGCATACATAAGAGAACCCAGTGAAAAAGTTTGAAAACATTTGTCAGAATGTGCTTTCAAAATAGCTTTTAGAACTAACAACACAATAGCAAAATTTTTAAAAAGCAATAAAACGAAATGTCCAAAATGCGGATCTTGTCCTAAAATTTATATGGGACACACAAGCAGATCCTTCAAGAAACGCATTAACGAACATAAAAGAGCGTTTAAAAACAATAGTCTAGATACTAATTATGCTACACACTTAAACACAGAAAAACACATTTTTGACGACAATTTTGATATATTACACACAGCCACAAAAAGTAGAAAATGAAATTTATTGGAAGCCATGGAGATTAACAAAATGAGACATTTAAATGTATTGCTTAACGATCAATTAGATTTAAATATCTCTCTAATATTGAACTTAAATTCTCGCAACAACATTAATTAAGGTTTTATGGTCATTTTTCGGTATATATAGTAGCAGGTAGTTTGTAAATATTACATTTGATAAAGACAGGCTGTTGTCGAAACAATTGTCATGTGAATATATATAATTTCGTCAAAATCTGAACTTTTAGTTCTCATTTATTTTGTTAAATGGATTTTCATCAAGTAAATGCCACCTCAGTTCAACTTTTTTGACCGACTGTACGTCTTACCGGCCGATCCGGGCATCAGGTAGTGCAGGTGGACGCTGGCCCCGCCCGCCGACATTCCGCTAATGGTGACGGAATCGGGATCGCCGCCGAAGTATCTGATATTTTCCCGTATCCAGCGTAGCGCGGCGATTTGATCTCGGAGGCCGTTATTTCCGGGGGTGGTGGCGTCCTCTGTGGACAGGAAGCCCAACGCGCCAAGTCGGTAGTTGAAACTGACGTAGACGACGTCACGGTCCATTATGATTTGGGGACCGTAAGCTGTGCCGCTACCGAACATGAAAGCTCCGCCGTGGATGTGAACCAGGACGTCGACATTCGCGTCGACGCTCAAATCTCGGGTGTAGATGTTCAGGTGCAGGCAGTCTTCTTCCCCTAAATCGAATTTTTCGAAAGTATCTACGCTCGTATAAAAATTTTATATCTCGGTAAGGATGGGATCGCCATTGGTACAGAAATGATCAGCGTCAGTTTGTCCGTTATCCGTTCTAGTATTTTGGTTTTTCCTGAATAACTTTCAAACAGTTGAAGTTACAAAATTAAAATTTGCCTCATTTTAATCATCCGCGACACACGTAAACTTATAAGAAATGGCCCTGATCCGACGCCGTATCCATCTTTTATTTTGCGATTTTCGACTGTTTTTTGGACCTTGCTATGCAACACGATAAGTATCCGAAATTTGAAGCAATCAACTTCACATTTGGCACATATATGCAGCTTTGCCCCGTGACAGAACCTATTGAAAATGGGGGGCTGGGGGGTCGGGAAGTATTCTAAAAGAATAAAAAATCGCGTGAGCAAGAGTCTACAAAAAAACATAATTTTTCAAAAACTGTCTACGAGACTAAAAAAATTCTTGAACCAGAAGAAGTAGAAATTACGGCTCTATATTTTATTTTTTTATATTTATTTTATTCTTGACAATTTTTTACATTGGTTTAATTGGTTACAACTGAAAGACTATGATTCAGATTTCACTTTCTTTTATATTGCGATCTAACCCGCATAGACAGCAAAAACTTTTGTATTTAAGGTTTTCACCTATTGTACAGGGTGTTTCCGATGTTTCGTGCTAAATAAGAAATGTATTAAGTGTCCTAAATTTGCAGATATCAGCTTCAAATTTAGCGGAGAAATAAAAGACCGTGTCCACATTTAAGCGGTAGAAATTGGGCGCAATCAAATTTTACCAAGTATTTTTTAAAAATGTTTGATTTTTTTTTTGTCAATTTAGCTTCCAGAAAAATATGTTTTTCTCCATAATCGTTGATCCGATTGGCAAAGTTCTTTAACCGGCCGAGGCAGAAGATCCAGTGCAATAAGATTTATTTTGGACATTTTTTCGATTATATACAGAGTTTTCAAATTATAGGCAAAAATCTAAAAGACCTAGAAAATTGTTCTTTTAGCCGCAAATCAAAAATCGCAAAAAATATGGCTAGTGTTAGCATCACCAGTCAACACTCGCGCTCCTGGCTGTTTGCATAATGAGGAGTGCGAGTCTGGTGCGTAGTTCGGCAAGTGACCAGCGACGATCGGTGAGAGGGTGCCGCCGTCCACGCACAACGCTCGCTGAAGCCAGTCAGCCGCCGGGCATTCACTTGTCCCGCGTGTGCATGGATGGCATAAGCAGTTATTTTGTATTTTGTTCTCGATTTACATCAAATAAACCCCTTTTACTATTTAATTTTTGTGCAATCATTAAATTTAACATTGTTTGAATTATATACAAGGTGTGTCGTTTAGGGGCAAAAATTTCCGTTTTTGTGGGTTAATTATTGGCGATAAATGAAAAACCGTTAAAGATGGAATAATTTTTTTGAACAGTATCGTAAACTGTTTCGAGAGAAAGTTTCAGGTTTCGTCAATTATACAGGGCGCGAGATATTTGAAAAAATATCATTCGACAACGCTATTTGTGCAAATTTTAATATTTACTTTTACTTTAATTTTGTAATAAAACCAATAATAATTAAACGGTTATTAACCCAACAGAGAAAAAAAGTAAAAATAAATACCTGAAACCAAACAATGGGTTAAATGACATTAGTTGCAACTTCAAAAAAAAAATTTCAACAAAATCGCTGCTGTAACTCTTTTGTTTTCATGTTTTTATGAAAACATTTTACGTAGAATTTTTTTAAGCCAATAATTGATAGAAAAATACCTTTATTATATGGGAAATTCTGTATATATTCGAATTATGGAATAAAACTTAGACATTTTTCAGAGAAACTTCCACAGGCTACTGTAATGCTTTTTACAAAACTTCTGGATTCCTCCTGCGTCGGTTTTCGTCGGTTTAGAAATCTATAAACAACTTAACAATCTTAATCGCCACTCAGGTCTCTACCTGTCACCAATTTGGGAATCAGTCATCCGAGACGGTGTTTATATCCCTCATTAGCCCCCCCCCCCCCCCCCAAACAATATATAAGCAGGTACAGAGTAAAATACGAGCCATTTTCAGTGAAGCTCTGAAGAAGCCAACAGGATGATTGGCGAAACATCAGCAATTTCGACTAAGCAAAAACCGGCGCAGGAGGAATCTAGAAGTTTTGTAAAAAACAATCTTACACACTTTTCCGTCACCAATATTCCACGCATCAACAGTCAAAATCCAAATTTAACAACTGCCAGCACGCTATTTTTTTTCTGTATTGTGGCTGCGCTGCCAAACTTCCTAGTTTAAAGTTTCATAACCTTGTATTCATAGTACTTATAATGATTTATCACGTATAAACAGGCGCTTTGAAAACACATTGAAATACAAGCTTTTACTAATTAAAACTTAAAATTGTTAATTTAATGATGAAAATGCTCAAAACTTACAGAAATGCTTTACATACGTAAGTTATTTTATCAAAAATAAAACAAGATTAAAAAGTATAAATAACCTATCAAATGTATAGCACAATTAAAATAAAATAAATATATATAAATAAAATACTTTTTTTAAATTTGTGTTAAATTTTATCTATTTCGATATATTTTAAAACATTTTAAAACTTACCTTCGACTTGGTAAGTGCCGTTTACGTATTCGGAGAAATAGTTGTACTGTATACACTGCGTTGGCGCAAGCGCCTCCACCTCGCCGACCCATTCGCCTACCGGTTCGGGGGGCTCGAAAAAAAAATCAAAATCAATTTTTTTCACCCTGATAACGGAAATGTGGCTGCTACCTCGAATCTGAGTTGTCCGACAGGCGGTCTTGCGTAAGGCACCCCTTCGAACGAAAAGTACGCCTTATTGCTGACTGTCAGACCGATGGAGCCCCGTATTCTTCCCGACGGGGTCGTCGCTACTGGGGTGAATGCGTCACCTCTCACTGTCGACAAACTGGTAAGGAATATCGCCACGCAACTAAAGAAATTTAAAGCGCAATACCGACAACTGGAATAATTATTCCAGTTCAAAACAAATGAACTTTTATCAGCAACCTTGTTTTGTACGTTTGCCGTTGCCACCTACCCCCGCATTAAGCTAAACAACAGACTCACCGTAACTCGTTATAACCGCAAACGTAAAAAGGACCTTATTCATTTTTGCGCGCAATACTAACGCTCAGATTTAGCAATTAAAGCAACGCCTGCAACAATAGGACGAATAACAGTTGAATATTTAAACAAGATAACTTTAGGAAAACAAAAAAGAGTACACCGACGGCACGGCACACTTATCTTTCCACAATTAATACCACGGAGATAAATTTGCCCTCGGAGCAGCGGCGTCTCGTGAGCCGCTCGTCGGCCGTTAGAAAGCCGTTACTTTTAAATTAATGGGGGTCGTTGGAAAACAAATTTGCGCGCGTTTTCGCACCGGCAACGCGGCGCTTCGCGGCCATTTGCATAATCTGACCAATCTAGTGTCCACCCCCACCCGATTATGAACAATAATTTCGCGGTTTTTATCAACGGACGCTGTAAATTATTAGTGGTGAAAAAAACCTAAACGATGGACGTAGATTTCGGGTAAGTCTTCGAAAGTGCGATATCGCTGCTTCGGGGATGTGCCGCGCGTCCGCATATGCATTAAAAATTCGCGATACACTGATGAAACACTTGTTTAAACATATCAACTTTTCGTGCAATAGCGGGGTGAGTAGAAGTTGCGAAATTAAAAAGTGCCCAGTAGGTAGACGGCGTGACTTAACTGAGCCGTATATTTGGAAAGTGATAATTGAGCAAAAAATTTTTAAATGTGTGATCGAGACGCTGTTGCTATACGCAAGCGTCCGGGCCACCAAGTGCGTCGATGTATTTCCAGTTGTCTACGGTCGGGCGTGCTCCCGTGAAACGTCAACATTTTCACCGACAAGGTTATGTTTTGTTTGCGGCCGAAAAATAATAGGAAAAAAACTGTGATAAACTTGTGATTCGATATTTTTGCCATTCAAATTATGAATAGAAATCGCCAGAAGTGCGATAGGCCTCTCGGGGACAGACGACCGAGAAGGGAAAATGTAAGGTACATATGAGATTAACAGGGAAAACTGTGATAAATGATAAACATGTCGTGATTCGATTATTTCTCCATTTAAAATTATGAATAGAAACCGTCAGAAGGGCGGTACGCCTCTCAAGGCCAGAGGACCGAAAAGGGAAAATGTAAGGTACATATGAAATTACTAGGGGTCTAACAGTGCATTAAAAAGATGCGAGGCGCGCTGCACTTCAGTGTTTCATCATTATATCTGATTCATCTATTTTTGAATGGAATAAATAAAATTATTGTATTAATCCTTGACTCACATGCTTAAAGATTTTATTTCAATTTTTGGAATTTTGAAAGTTATTAAAAACTAACCTAAGAAAACATCTATATATCCTCGTCCTCTCCCACACACACAGCTGCTGTATTCTCTTAAAAATTTATAATTTTATTTATATTCCACTGCATATGGAGAATATCCATTTTCTTATGTGTTTTTTATGCAAACAAAATTGACGCAGGTTCGGCAAAAAGAGTCACAACAGACTGAAGTTGGATGCCCAGACACAGGAGGCGTGTCCCGAAGATCTGCGCATAAAAATCGACAAGACGATAGACGAGTTCCTCGACGACCACGAGAAGATCGAGTACGTATTCCCTACCGACTTGAACAACCTGCAGAGGAAGTACATCCACTGCAAAGCGCTTGCGCTGAATTTGATTTCCAAGTCATACGGAAAGGAACCCAACAGGGAGCTGCACTTGCGCAAGAGACCCAATGCCGTTACAGGTGGTTATGATATGATATGATCTATATTAACTACGTTCTGCAAATATATATTTTTTACAATAAACATCAATAGTACATAAAATTAAATATCAAAAAGGAAATCTGGCAGTTGATGAAACAGCCGTTGATACAACCAAATACGGGGCACTGACATAATGTGTAACCTTTTATACCATGACTGACAATGATCACGGTAGCCAATTGTGGCAATAGTTCAAATTATTTCTTTCTGCAATTTAAAAATAACAAGGTGAAAAATACATACTGTGCTCCATATGATGTAGTATAGTAGCCTAAAAATGAACGGTTGGTCCTATATAATTTATGACTAAATTCACACCCACAATTTTAGTAGACTGATGGTATTTTTGTAATAGGACAAAAATGTTACTAATCTTTTATACATCCAGAATTTAGTCTGACGGGCAGCTCACCACATAACCTACTTTGGAATATAACCTGATCAGTAAAAAAACCGACCCTTTGCCTTGATTGAAATTTTAGTAGAAGGTATATTGAACTAAGTTTAAAGAACCGGGTCTAAGAGGCCTAAAAAGAATATTTCTATTACCTTAACCAAACAAAAAAAACCTAGGGTTTGTAGTACTCTTTTTAGCTTATTTTGTGTCACTATTTCCTATATGGGTTAATTTTTAACAAAAATAAAATTATCTGAAAATTAAGAAAAGAGTAGAATTATCTAAAATCCAAATACATCGTACTTTGTCGAAATATGAAAATACCTTTTTTTACCTAATTAAAATTTGAAATTTTCCGATTTGTTATGTGGATTTAGATTTAGAAAGTTGGATTCGACTTTCCCAAAACAAAACATTTTAGTAAATAATGCCCAATATAAAGTAGCATCAATTAAAGACTGATTGATCTCCTGGGCAACAATCTCTAAATAGTTTTTCCGACCTACATTTTTTTTCTATTTTACCTCCATTTGAAGAATTTCTGCACCTCTATTTTTTATGGATGAAATAAAAGATACCACTTCATCACTTGGAAAAAAATAGTTTTTATCAACACTGCACATAATTCTTTGTAAGTTAGTTATAGTTACTGTAAACTGTGAAAATCTTTACTTAAAATCAACTGAATAATTATAATAGTTAAAAAAGTGCTGAAATACTATCAAATATAAAAATATTGTTATAAAATCCTCTAATGAATACAACTGTTATTATAAGACACGCAAATATGAATATGAAAAAAACAAACCGTATGGCTATGAACATCAAATTTAACTTTCTTGGCAACAGGTAACTTTCACACATTGTAGAGTTATACTTTAAGGACTGGAGGGTAGAAAATATAGAACCAAGTAGAAAACTATTCGATAAAAGTCTCCATGAAATTAAGTTTACCAATTTGAGGAATGCGTTGTATCACTCTGAACTATATGTGACTTTTATGAAGCCCTTTTCAGTGCATCTTAAAATATATTTCGATCAAAAGTTTCGTATCATCAATATCATCAATGAAAAACGAGTTTAACGTTGCTTTAAAAAAAAAGTCCTCTGTCAAGGCTTTTTCCTCTTTAAACCGGTTTGCGTCGGTGGCTTCCTCGCATCGCATGCATTTAAATTAATAAATCGAAAGACTAAAGCTGAACAGTAATGGCCCTAAAGCTTGTGCCACCCCAAATCGAAGACTTTTACAGTCGATACCTGTCCTTCAACACACTGTTTAATAAAAGTGGTGCATATTTTTTTACTCATGCTCTTACGGTTGTGCGTTTTAGGTAAAACGTTGGAGATAAAAGTTAGCAAGGCGATCGCGAACGAACTGCGCCGATCCAACGAACAATGGTGCTCTACGCAACGGGAACGCCAACGAAACTACCACACCCTGCAGAGGTGCGAGAAGGTGTACGGCAAGCTACAAGACACGAGCCCCGTCGTTCCCAGACAGCCCCGCGTCTCCCCGGAGATACAACGCGTCAGAGATACTTTGCCGATTTTCGATCAGAAACTCTTGATCGTAAGCACGATCAACGATCACCAAGTGGTAATCGTGTCTTCGGAGACGGGCTCGGGCAAAACGACCCAAATTCCCCAGTACGTCATGGAGGATATGTCGAGCCGCGGAGAGCCCTGCAAAATCATCTGCACTCAACCGAGGCGAATTTCGACAATGGCGGCGGCCGAACGAGTCGCCTATGAACGGGGCGAATCAGTCGGGAACTCGGTCGGCTACCACATACGATTGGAGTCCAAATACGGTGAGTCGTTAACAGAAAATCTCACCACACCTGCGTAAATCAGTCGGAAAAGCCGATTATGACTGGAATTTTACCGAAATACAGAATACTTTTTACAAAACTTCTTGATTCCTCCTGCGTCGGTTTTTGCTGACGTTTTGCCAATCATCCTGTTGGCTTCTTCAGAGCTTGACTGAAACTGGTTCGCATTTCACTCTGTACCCGCTTATATATGGTTTGAGGGGGGCGGAGCTAAATGATTCCCTTATTGGTGACAGATAAAGGCTTGAGTCGCGGTTAAGGTTGTTTAGTTGCTTATAGATTTCTATAGACTGTCGGAGTTTTCGTTGGTAGAAGAATTGATTACATGCAAGAATTTTAGTTTTATCGAGTAAAATTTTATGTCTTAGTCGTGTTCTTTGAGCCTAGTTGATATTTTTCATCCCATCTCTCCAATGAATTCTTTGCCGCATATGCATGGAATGCTGTAAACTCCTAGTATCTCAAATGGAATTTTGTCTTTGACGGACCCAAGATGTTGAGATATTTTTGGACAAATGGTAAATCCAGTTTTGACGTTATTCTTTTTTAGGATTTTTGATATGTGGTCAGTGATATTTTGAATGTAAGGAAGGACCGCAGTGGCAAGTGTTAGGATTGCTTTCGGTATCATGGCTATTGACAGGTTGTGGTGAAGTGTATTTTGTGATGGAAGGCTTAATATCTTTAATGTGGAAATTATTAGAAAGAAGAGCAGAGCTAAGGTGTATTCTGGGTTCAATGTTAGGTCTGATTTTCTATTGATTAAAGATTATTATTAGCTTCCAAGTCAACGGTAAAACGTATGCTACGGTGTATAGAGTTTAAATGCCTAAGAAAATCTACTAGGGTTTCTTCTCAAGACTTCCATAAATATATTCGCGATGACTGGTGATAGTCGAGAACCCATAGCTGTTCCCGGCGTTTGTTCAAAAATTTGACCGTCATAAGAAAACTATGGTCCAGACAAGCATTTTTCCATTAAGGTGAGAAGGTTTGGTTCCAGATTCTCGGATTTTAATATATGCGAGCCAGTTTCAGTCAAGCTCGGAAGAAGCCAACAGGATGATTGGCGAAACGTCAGCAAGTTTAATTCAACAAAAACCGACTCAGGAGTTTTGTAAAAAGTATTACAGTAGCCTGTGGAAATTTCTTTGAAAAATCTAGAAGCTACATACACTAATCCTTTTCTTTTCGATTTCGATCAGGAGATTGTTTAAATGTACTTTTACCCAGTACAGGTTTCGCCACTTCTCTGGTTTACTGCACTGTGGGCGTGTTCCTGCGGAATCTAATGTGCGGTAGCGAGTGTCTGCGCAATATCACCCACGTCATCGTCGACGAGCTCCACGAGCGCGACAAGCTCACGGATTTCCTGCTGATCTGCCTGAGCCAGTACCTGGAGCGGTACCCGCGGCTCAGGCTGATCCTAATGTCGGCTACGTTGAACGTGGCCAAGTTCCGCCAGTACTTCAAAACGGACGCGGTGATATCGGTGCCTGGCAGACTGTACCCGATCCAGTCGTACTTCCTGGAGGACGTCCTCTGCATGACGCAGTACTTCACGCCGCACATGCGCGTCGCCCAGGCAAAGCTCGAGAAAACGCAGGAGGGGAAACCGGTCAGGTACGACATAACGGACGATGCGGACAGCGTCGACGCCGCACTGGAGGCCTACATGAACTTCAGCGACGAGTACAACTACACGGCGCACTACGAGGAGGCCACCGCCGATTTACTGCAGTTTTTCATCACGGAAGACGTGCCGGTCGACTATCAGCACTCGCAGAAAGGATGGACGGCCCTGATGATAGCCGCCCACTTGGGCGACATGGAGTTCATCTCCAAGCTGTGCAACATGGGAGCGTCGCTCGACTCGTCCTGCGTTCTCGGAAAAACCCCGTTCGATTACGCGCGGCTCAGTAACAAACCCGACGCTTATCAGTACCTGGCGGCGGTGCAGCAGCACCGACTGAACCAGGGCACCGCTAGTAGCACTAGCGATTCCTACTTTCTGCTGCAACTGTACGACATGACGACCCCCGACGATTTTATTGACTACGATTTGATCAAGACCCTCGTGAAATACATCCACAGCCGTTCCGACGCCGGCTCCATTTTGATATTCCTGCCCGGCTACGACGAGATTATGCAGTGCAACGATCACATTGTTGATTCGGACATCGATCGCGCCACCTATCGCACTTATTTCCTGCACAGCAGCATGAACATGAAGGATCAGTGCGGCGTTTTCAAGCCTCCGCCTCCGTTCGTGAGGAAGATAATTCTCTCGACCAACATCGCCGAGACCAGCATTACGATCGAGGACGTAGTGTTCGTCATAGACGCCGGCAAGGTCAAGGAGAAGGCGTACGACTCGGTAAGCGTCGCCCCGCCCACTTTCGTTCGATTGTTAACGGAGCGTATTGAAACAGTACAACAAGATGTCCGCGCTGCAGACGCAGTGGATATCGAAGGCGTGCGCGAAGCAACGGGAGGGGAGGGCGGGCCGCGTGCGGCCCGGCTTCTGTTTCCGTCTGTATTCCGGTCAGAGGTTCAACCATATGGCGGAAGAACGAGTGCCGGAAATCCTGCGGGTGTCGCTCGAGGTATAGAGGGGAGGAGCGAGGGCGGGGTTCTTCGACCTTTTGCTTTTCAGGAGCTGTGCTTGCACGCGAAGATCATCGCCACCACTGGCGTCAATATCTACAATTTCCTGTCGCTGGCACCCGATCCACCTAGCGCCAATTCCATACGCGTCGCGATCGAAAGTTTGGAGGCGTTGGGCGCGCTCGACCAGGAGGAGGATCTCACCAAGCTCGGCGAGTATCTCGCGCAGCTCGCGCTCGAGCCCAGGCTCGGCAAGATGCTCATCTACGGCTGCATCTTTAAGTGTCTGGAGCCCATTTTGACGTTGGCCGCGGTCATGGCGAACAGGTACGTGTGGGAACACCACAAATGGTCGAAAATCCCGAACGGCGTTCGCTTCCGTTTTGGAAAGTCTCGATTCGCGAGGGATCTCGATGTAGCAGATGGTCGAATGTCAAATAGAAAAGGATAAATAGCAGTCGATACTAGATAGGCATAATCCAAATAAGAACTAGCAAAAGGGTGCTTGTTTTAAAGATACAGCACATCCATCGCGTGCTAAATACGCACAGGATACATGAATTCCTGTTCATTTGATCAATTATTGTTTCCTCAAAAATATGAGCTAATTTTATCGAAGCGTACTGCAACCCGCATTCAAAAGAATATTCTTTATTAACCCGTGAGTATCTTTTTTATTACAGCCACCGCTAAAAAGTTGTCTATCAAATGAAATTTATCGAAATTTTATGAATGACATCAACAACAATAGTATATTATGCAACAAATGCGGTAAACGGCATTTGACTCACGAGTTTATTTGACACGACCGGAGCGAGTGTTTAATAAACGAGTGAGTCAAAAAGTTTACCGAACGTGTTCCATCCTAAACTTTTTCTACGACGTTTAGTTTTTGGATGCATTTTCTCAAAACAACAAGAATACATTCACTGACATAACTGTCAGAATTGACAAACGTCAAAATTCAAAGCTTGGGAAATATCTCCGAAAACATCCGATTGCTCCCAAACCCTTGCCGTAAAACCCCGGAAATGTCCGAAGTGGTTCGGATTCGTGGGAAACGAAAGTGACGTGGTAAAGTGACGCTTCCCGCACGCTAGATCGGTACATAATTGTGTATTTTACAGACGGGAGTAGAAAAAATTCATTCTTTAGAAAAATAGCATTATAAGCTGACTGGATTCACTGTGCAATTTGTCCTAGTCAGTTGCGAGTGAGCCTTGGGGTAACACACATTTACGGGCCCATACACCTAGCCTACTTTACAAATAAGATAGGGCGTCTCTCATAGCCACATGAGAATCACATAAAAATGTACTTATGGTGCTACAAAAGTAATTCTGCAGCATCGTGGACCGTGCTTTTTAACTCCCGGCCTCAGAGCGAACCGCCCACCGGTCGAACTCGAAAGCCGTTCGGGATTTTCGACCATTCGGCCATTTGCGACGGAACATCCTGCTCCAATGTTTGTTGCAGGGACCCGTTCCAGTTGCCCCCGCAGGCCAACCTGAAAAGTCTGGCGCAGGCGCGGCGCAGGGAACTCACGGAAAACGTGCCCAGCGATCACCTGATGTACCTTAGGGTGTTCCAGAGGTGGCAGGTAGGGTCGAATGTCGCAGGCCGCAGGGTTTTTAATCATAATTTCGGTGGGTAGGAGGAAACGCGCTGTGGCAGGGCGCGGCAATTCTGCCGCGACTTTTTCATTTCCGAATCGACGATGCTGACGGTGTTGGAGATCAGACGGCAACTGGTCGCCCAACTCCGTGCCATAGGTTTTGTGAACGGTACCCGGGGCATAGACGAGTGCAACGTAAACAGCGACAGCTGGCCCCTGGTCAAGGGCATCATGGGTGCCGCGTTTTACCCCAACGTCGGATACCCCACCTTGAACAGGCAAGCGTTGACCACCAGGTACATAAACAAGGTCACGGTGCACAACAGCAGCGTATGCGCTAAGAAGGAGCTCGACCTGTGGCTGTTTTACGACGAACTGATCAAGAACCGGATCAGTTTCATGGTGAAGGGCACAACCGCGATCACCCCGCTGACGGTGAGTGGTTATGAATATGAATACAATATACTTAAAATGCCCCTGGTACATTATAATTGAAATACAAATATTCATCAAAAGAATAAAAATACCTTTTAATTAAAAATCGTCTGACCCTTTATTTATACATTTCAAATGGTAAATTAGGAGCAGCATTTGGAAGCGTATTAAAAAACTTAAAGGACCAATAATTTGGAATAGTCTGATACCTCTTCAAGGAGCAGTAGGTAATAACCACATTGTCCCGACCTCTGCTTTGATGGTCACACAATTCCTTATAAGTGGTAAATAGATGCAAATTTCCCTTTATAAATAATACATGTTCCAAGATAAACAATGATAACCAAGGCCACTAATAATTCGATTTGCTTTTCGTTATAATCTGAACAAACTGTGCCTGCCAGCAGCATGGCAGCATATTAAGATCACACATAGGAGGTGTGAATGAAAAAGTGCAAAATATGCAATCCTTAACACCAGGAGAGACATTTTCGGTCCAGCGTCGAAGCAAATACAAATTTTTGGTCAGTTTCTGAGCAACAAAATCTATATGGGAATCCCATTAAAGTTTTGGGTCAATATGGAATAAAAAACACTCTCTGTTTTATCATTATTTAAAACTATGCGATCTTTGAACTCTCCAGCGGGTCTCCTAATGAATTCCATAGTGGTGTCATGAGCAAAAAGTGTATAAACACATGGAGGATCTATAAGGGGAAGGTCATTTATATATATTAAAAATAATATGGGGCCCAACATTGAGGGTTGGGGCACTTCAATGTTCACCTCATTCTTCGCTGATGTCACCCCAGAGTACTTAATCAGCTGGCATCTATTGTTAAGGTAAGATTGCATCAATCTAAGACTGCTATTTGAAAAATTATAAGCCTTTAACTTGCGCAGAAGAATTCCACGATAGACACATCGAGGGCTTTAGTGAGATCACAAAATAATACAGTGATATTGCCAATTCTGGAATGCATCTGTAATGTCTGAAACTAAATTAAGAATGCCTGAAACAGGCTAAAACTGATTATTATTAAAAATGCCAATAATTCGAAAATATTGAACTAATTGTTCAGGTCGATAATTTTCAACAACATCGGGGTTACTTTTTTTAAATACTGGAGAGCTTTTTTTTAAATTTCTGGAAAAATGTTGGCTTGAATACTTAAATTTTTTGAGAGGCAGGAGTAATATTTTATTTTGGCAGACTTTATGCTCATGCCAAATACGTCTCGACTATCTCATTTATGATTTCCTTAACCTTATTAAAACACAGAGATCGCCAGATCTAATATACTGATAAGCTGAAATTTTAACGCGGCACTTATGAAAATGTTATCTAAACACGGATCCCCAAAGCTGTCGAAAAAATCAGTGAGTCGAAGTGTGTTTGTTTCGTTGGTGTTAGGTGGGTCGGTTTGGAGTGACGCGACATAAAGTACCGACTTCGGGCTTTGCAGGTGGCGCTCATGTGCGGCACGAATGCCGTCTACCCGGACGAGGCGTCGCTCATCATCGACGACTGGGTCTTATTCACTTTCGGTGAGCCACTGGTGCTGAAATTCCGACGGGCCATGCACGACCTGATCGAGAAAGTGTTAGGCAACCCGTGGCACTCGTTAGATGGGCGAAACAACGCGGTCAACGACGTCCTGCGTAAGATACTCGAGCTGCAGGACACGGAGACCGGGTTAGTGCAGCCGAGACACATCGGGGTGAGGCCAAAGTTTCTCTACAACGCCCCGAACCTGAGAAGAGGCGCAGGAGGCGCTTCTAACGGCTGGATCGAGGTGCACAAAAAAGGAAAGTCGCCGAAAAGACCGCCACCGCGAACCTCCAGGAGGTTTGGTATGCAGTCCACCAGCGTGGAACAGGTGCGCTACGGGTTGCAGGACATTAGTTTGACGCCAAGTCGCAGGGATCCCAGGTCGCCCGACGAAGGTAAGAGGCGGGGCTACCGGGGCTCTGCTTTTCACCACGTTTCCTTTCCATAGAGCCTCCTTATTATCCCGAGAAAGGTGGCGGCTTTTTGCCCTTTCGGTATTATTGCAATCTACAATCATCTCCCGCGTCGTCAGGTATCGCTCGTTGTTTTTACGTAATTGTCGCTTGGGATGGTCAAAAATTCATCCAGCGTTTTGCAGGCGGCGAAGAAGGTCGCACGGCGGATGTCGCCTTCAGGGGCGGCGCTTCCTCCAGATACGGCGACTTCGAGGACAACCCAATATTCCTGATGATCCGCCCGTTGGAGAAACGAAACGTCGACATCGCGCAGAGCTCCCACAAATGGGTCTTCTCGCCCCAGACCGAGAAAAAGATCCTTCATTTCAGCAAGGTATATATGCTTAATTGTAGTCCAAAACCGCGATATACGGGGCACGTCGTTCTTTCTTGACTACGGAGTGACAAAACTTTATATATACCGGCAAGCTTGTATGAGAGTGGATATTTATTTATTTATTTATCAACGAGCCAACCGCAAAATATAAAATAAAATTCACATAAACAAAATAGTAAAACACAAAATAAAAAGCAAAACAGAATGAAATAGATAAAAACTCAACCCTAGTATGACAAACATTGGTTTCACTGACAGTCTTAGTTTTTGTTTTTTTTTTTTCAAAGAAACGTCCACAGGTTACTGTAATACTTTTTACAAAAGTTTTGTATTCTTTCTACGCTGAGTCGAACTTGCTGACGTTTCGCTAATCATCCTGTTGGCTTTTTCAGAGCTTGACTGAAACTGGCTCGCATTTTATTCTGTACCTGCTTATATATTGTTTGTGGGGGGCGCAGCTAAATGAGGGGCAGAAACACCGTCTCGGATGACCGATGCCCATATTGGTGACAGGTACAGTCGATTAAGATTGTTAGGTTGTTTATGGATTTCTATAGACTCTCGGATTTTTCGTTAGTAGAAGAATTGATTACATGCAAGAATTTTAGTTTTATCGAATAAAATTTTATGTCCGGTTTCGTGATTGAGTTCGGCAACAGCTGATGAGTTTATTTGTCTTAGACGCAAGGCTCTTTCGTGTTCTTTTTGCCCAGTTGATATTCTTCGTGTGGTTTCTCCAATATATTCTTATATGCATATGCATGGAATCCTGGTATCTCAAATTGAATTTTATCTTTGACGGATCGAAGATGTCGAGAGATTTTTGGACAAGTGGTAAATCTGGTTTTGATGTTATACTTTTTTAGAACTTTTGATATGTGGTCAGTGATATTTTGAATGTAAGGAAGAACCACAATGCCAAGTGTAGGATGGCTTTCGGCCTCATTCCTATTGGAATATTGAAAGGTTGTGGTAAAGTGTATTTTTTGATGGAACGCTTAATATCTTTAATATGGAAATTATTAGAGAGAAGAGCAGAGGTAACATGTTGTAATTCTGGGTTCAGTGACTCGGGCTGAGATAGTTTTACGGCTCTGTAACCGATGATTTTTGGGCCGGTATCGGCCTGTGTGCCTAGGTTTTCTGTAAACATAATGACCCAATGTTAGGTCTGATTTTCTATTGATAAGAATATATAAAAATGGAAGGTTATTATTAGTTTCCAACTCAATGGTAAAACGTATGTTAGGGTGTATAGAGTTTAAATGTCTAAAAAAATCTACTAGGGTTTCTTGACCATGAGGCCAAATAACAAAAGACTTTTAGTTCTTTCTTAGCTATTTTTACACGCTGGAAGCAGTCAAGTTCTAGTAAGGAAAGGACTTTGCCCATAGTACGATGAAACTCTACCTGAAAGGAACGTGAAACCCAATCTTACATAACAGCTCAGGTCCATGAGAATTTGAGTGCAGTAGATTATATGAGATCCCTATGCATGTGACGAATCTTGAGAGTTGTAAGATTGTTGTTGAAAGTTGTAAGATTTCCAATTCCGAGTAATCGACTTCCTCAGGTCCTTAGTCACCACTAACATGAACAAGAATCCAGGTGTGGACGCACGAGGAAGCAGAACAGTAATCTGAGGAGACAGAATAGTCTGGAAGTTCACTGTACAACGCTTAATAAAGCCCCAAATCTGAAGTGATTTAGACACAATAGATAAAATATTGTGTGTCAATTTAATATCAAGTAACACTCCAAGATCGCTTATTACGGAAGCCTGCAATAAAGGTGACCCTTTTATGTTGTAAGTGTAATGTATGGGGTTTCCGTTCCGGTTGAATTTCATTAGTGCACATTTATTAATATTTAGTTTGATACCATTAAAATAGCGATAGGTAGTCTAAATCGGATTGGAGTTTTGTATGGTCATCGGCATTTTGGACTCTCATATAGAATTTTAGGTCGTCAACAAATAATAGGGAAAATGCATGATGAAAACATGAGGCAATATCATTCACATAGTCATTGAAGAGTAGGTGTCCCAGGTGTGATCCTTGCGGAGCACCAAAAGGTACTTTAATTTCGGTGGATCGGAATCTCTGGAAGCTCATATTCTGCACTCTTTCATTAAGGTACGATGTTAACCATTCCAAAAGCTTTCGCTGGATTCCAATGTTTCGCAATTTTTTTATTAAAATTTGATGATTTACTTCATCAAATGCCTTTGAAAAGTCTGTGTAAACGGCATGAACGTGAAACCTCTCTTCCTATGATTCCTATGATGAGCAATGGAGGAGAAACCCTAATTGCAACCTTTCAGGCCAGCAATAGTCGCAGACTAAACTTTCGGACACCTTAGGAATACAGCTCAGGATACTGATGCGCCTATAATTGTTGACTTGCGAGTTATCCAAGGGTTAAAAACGGTATTTGGTGTTCTGATTAATATTTCTTCAGACCCTGTATACAACACAACATTATAATAAAAAACAACATCCTGCAAGAACACCTCTATGTAGACCGGGGAGCAAATAAAGAGGGTTATAAGATTGGGTTAAATATCGCCTGCTTGGAAAACAAGATCCATATAAAGAAAGCACATACAGCTTTTGCCAGAATGAAAAAGATGCTCCTAAGACTAAATCTATATGCATATGAATATGCATACAAAAGGTGGGATGGGATGGATGTAAGTGCTTATCAGAATGAACAGAATTAAAGCAGGTAAAGAGAGAAGAAAGATCATGCATCTAGGTCACATAAATGTGGGGTTGAAAATATTATATACTTTACTTGATAGTCCCGGGGAACATTGAGGGCAAATAGTCAATTGGCAGAAGCATATCTGCGAGAATGGTTCAACATGCCCACTGCGGGCCTTTTTTGTGTTTTTAAGTTTCACTCCTTGGCGTAGTAGCTCAAGCGCCTACGCCTCAACCTCTTAATTTTTTTCGACCGTTCCAGCTGGGTAAAATCGTGTACCTCGCCTTTTACGTCAAGGACATGTCGAGCTTCATGGGCGTGGCTGAGTTCCAACAATTCACGTTCGGTACCAATCAGTCCAAGCCGGTCGGCCTTATTTCCTGGGTGTACACGACGCCCCTCCACAAATCGAAAACCAAGTGAGTACATAAGGAGAGGGGTGCGCACGTACCAACTCGCCGTTTCTGCAGGCACCTCGTCAACCCCTACGACGACCAGCGACCGATAAACGATGCACTCGATGGCATGGTGTTGCACCAGCAGGTCGGCGAGGAACTGATGCGGATCTACGCCGAATCGGTCGCCGCCCTGTCGTCGGGATGTTACGCCTAGGGGTAGGGGGGGGGGCAATGCATTTTTTTCTCAGTTTTTGTCGGTCGTTTCAAGAATTATAGTTTCGGTTTTATTTGCAACGCAATTGATGATATATATATATACATAAAAAATTTTCTAATAGATTTTTGGCATCGACGCTTGCGTTTTGTATTACCTCTTGCTAACCCAACAAACTACAAGTCGCAGGTTAAGGATCGGCCGACACTGTACCAGACGTTTTTCGGGAAGACCAAACGCCAATTAATATCACCCGTGAGCTTTATCGTCAAGTTCTTGGAGTCCGCGACGGATTGACCAGCCACCGCGGCCCTAGGCAACGGCGACAAGAACAAGTTCAAGGCCTTATGGTTGGCGCATACGAGCTCCATCTCCACGGTGTGCGGAAACACGGACAGCAGACCTGACGGAAGCCCTTTGCTTATTTCGGCGTATATGGGGTTTCTCGGGTAGCGATTAAGGGCGATGACCGCATTGCCTGCGTTGAAGGGTGGACCGTGGTGAAACATGCTTTATACGAGGTTAGTCTATCTCAATCTTCATCGGGTTGGCTTTTTCCCGCAATTATGGAAGTTACCTGCCAAGGGTATTAAAACTCGGCTCCCGTAGGTATTAAAAGAAGGACGGGGACAGACCCTCAAAGGTTTTGGTATTAACAAATTTTTTCTTGTTTTATTTTATTTATAATCTTATTAAATTGCACTAAGAAAGAACAATGACATTAAATAATAATAATAATAATAATAATAATAATATTTATTTAAATAAATAAAAATATACAATTTAACAACTTATTGTATTGTAAACATTAAATAAATATTAATACAAAAAAGAACACTTATATTCAAGGTATATTAAGTTAAAAACTTGACAGCCATTCTTGAACATAACGCAGATTAATTTAACCATGTTTCCCATCTATTATATAATACCAAAAAAACAAAAAAAAACAATTTTATATAGCTACAATACATTAATAAATCTGCGAATTTGACTTATAATAAATACCCACTTAGAAACTTAAGTTACAATTTAGCACCAATAAGCCACTTAGCGTGAATGACGGTGATGCATTTTCCTTTCTTTGAAGGTGCTTTCGTCTGACAGTTTCGAATGGAATTAACCCATCCTTTGGATACAGCGAATTGATTGTCTAATCATATCTTTTAATTTCTTGTAAGTAATTAAATCTTCAAGTGAGTAATCTGTGTGATTCCATTACTATTTGCCTTTTGTCTATTTTGCGGTGCTAAATATTCCATTTTACTATGCAGGGTGGCTCGGCTTATATTTATATTGGTTTCATCTTCGTCGTAACTCCGTAACTCCTTTTTCAATTTATCCAAGTCCTAACCACTATTGTCTATACGATGAGTTTAAAAATCACTATGTTTATACTTTTTCTATATCCCGTATCGACGTCATTGCCGTTTCTTGTTTAATAAGTCCTCTAATGATTAACTTAACATTTTTCACGACCTGTTTTGCCTCAAGCGACGAATGATTTCGACGCGACATTGTTACATATAAAATAACTTTTTCAACAAGCACAGTAAAAATGATTATTCAACGGTCAACGCTAGACAAACATATCAGAAAGAAAGAAATATAAATGGCCCACCTCTGCCTCGTGGTTCAAGTAAGAATAATTTTTTTGTTAATGGCTTTACCCAATAACAATAGGTGATAACGTCGTTAGAGTTTTATTGGGGAGGGTCCGTCGAAAGCCAACACGATGACGATTGAGACAGACTATACCTCGCGCCAAGGCGCGTGCTAGAAGCGACGCATTGGAGTCCTGATCTGACTCCAAGTCGATGGCGACCACGCCCCTCGCGTTAGTCCATGGGGTAACGACGTATCCTGGGCGCGAAGATGTTCCCCATTCCGCTTTATCGATGACGCACCGCCTCAATTCGTCGGCAAACTTCCCTGCGAAACACCCTCCCAGACCATCGGCGACCTCCCGCAGTGCATTGACTCTGTCCAAAAAGGCACGTTTGCTCCAACGAGCGCCCGCTCCGACTGCAACATTAATTGCGGTCCCTACTCGCAAGTCGATTACGGCCCCACCCTCCTTGCCCGATGCATCGAGCGACTTGGGTTCCTCCGTAAACTCGCGGAAACCTAAAAATTCGTGCGCTGCCGACACAAAGAAAAAAAGGTTAACCGCTCCCACCTTGCGCGCCGCCGAAGTAACCCGCGCCGCTATCTTTCAGCGACACGAACGTCACATCCGGGGCGATAAGCCCGTGGCCGTTGAGCCAAACATTGCCGACGGTCACTTTGGCGGCCACCTCGTTGGCAAGCCCGACGTTTTCGGTCCACACGGATGCGCCGAAGCCGTGCCGCGTGTTGTTGGTCAGGTTTACCGCTTCATCGATCGAGCGGAACGGTAGCAGAGTGACGCATCCGTCCCTCTCCCCGCCCACGATGACGTAATTCGAGTATGCCTTCGCGCCTATCAAGAGAGTCGGCGCGAAGACATCCGTGGGCAAGTCCGGCGAGTATACCTTAAAACTTAAGGTCGGGATTCCGCTTGCGACACGGGAAACTCGGCACATGGATTATTTGACGTATGAAAGTTGCTTTCCGATCTATAACGTTATACCGGGTGACACAAGAAAGAACACTTGAGATGGCGATTGGAAGTTTGGAAGGGTTAATATAGGCTGAATGTCCAATGTTTTGAAAATATGGTTGCACTTCCGGTTTGAGCGGAAACGACTGTAACTTTGTAATTTTAAATGGCACCACCTATATTTTTTGCATTTTTGGTTTGAGGAGACCATTCTACTTGGGCTAGGACGAATTTTCTTTTCTTTTTTTTTTTTGAAATTTTTATTTTATTTTTGAAAATTGTGTCTAGGAGGCTGTGACCATCATAAATACTATTTACCGGGTCACCTGATCATGGGGAAAATTGTAAATGAAACTGTTCTTTACTTGTCTAATGGCAAATAGCATTTAATGTAATGAACTATTAATTCTTTAGGATAACCTAGTTTTTTCAAATAGCACCCCAGTGGGAACAAAAATTTTTTAAAACCGGTACTGTTTTTGCAACATTTTGACAGCAAAATTTTCAAAATTCGTTAAGAAATAAGCTCGCAGGAAGGAAAAAAACAGATAAGTAAATACATTTTTCTACTCCCGTCCGTAAAATACCTAATTACCCACCGATCTAGCGTGCGGGAAACGTCACTTTACCACGTCAGTTTCGTTTCCTACGAATCTCGCTCCGCTCGTATCAAATAAACTCGTGAGTCAAATGCCGTTTACCGCACTTACTGCATAATATACTATTTTATTAAAACAAAATATTACTTAGGTGGCTTTGCTTCTATTCATTGTTAATTGTCTAGTCAGTTATCTGTTTCTCCAACATTAATAATATCGATGTCTTCTTACAAAGTCAGCTCCATAAAGATGTTGATAAAGAATGATAACCGTGTTTTTTTTAAATTCTCCTCATAGATTCTCTTGAGATGCCACTTCTCCTAACGACGCAGCTGGATTTACGTTGACGTATCCCCACAATACATCAACTTTTTGTCCATTTCTAAATTGATTATTGTTTTCCATGATAATCCAATAGATAACACGACAAAATCGATAACAGATAAAAATGTACAACCTGTCTGAAAATTGTACCAGATTATTTTTTTTTACGGATTTTGAATATTTTGGCGTCAAAATGTTGCAAAAAAAAGTACCGATTTACAATAAAAAGACAAATATAAGTACTTCAAAACAAATTTGCTATTCCAAAGGATAGAAACAATTCTATCAATGCAAAAAGTCCAATCTTTAAGTTTTTTTTCGCTGGTATTGTTCACATAATTTGCTTTTAGTGATTGTTGAATTTGCGTTTGCATTTGGAGAATGAAAACCTAATAACTTCCATTAATGTTTTTATAATATTATCCTAACGAGTTATTAATCAAACACGATACATCCCTACATAGTTATTTGCTCTTTATATAAAATATATTATTTTCCCTACCATAATCTCAAACTTATATTCGTCTGAAATGAGAGTCACAGTCAAATGGGTAAGTAAAGATGAATGTTCGTATTTTTGCAGTTTTCCAATGAGCACATTAGTTTTTTATTAGTTTTCCTTATAGGTCATTGCATGATCATTTGTTCTATTTAAAAACACATTTCCACAATCATAACGCACAAATTTCTTTCAATCATTATTAGAATGGTGCAATTTTTTTAATGTGATGGGGATACATAAAAGAAACATATTAAATAATTAAATAAGATCTTTCAAGGATACTTCCTCAAGCTACTGTAATACTAATTGATTCCAGTGTTTTTTAAAGTTAGCGTTGGGAACTGAATGCTTCATTACACTTCTCATATATTCATATGTATCCAAAACATTATGATCCATGCAACATAAAACAAACCAACAACTTCGACAAAGACTAGTCAAGCGACAAACAATAAGGTGAGGTTAGGTCAACATGGATCCTAAAGCAACTTCAAAACGTCCAAATATTCCTCCGTACAATTACGACCGGTCGAGAACGAACCTCTATCCCTTGGTCTTTAGCCCTCCTCACGGTTCTCGCTTGCCTCACGCTCAGTGCCTGACAATTCGGGTACGAAATATCAGCTAGTTTGTCGTCACCATATCCCACTCTAACCGATGCCAGTTTCTCTTTCAATTTATCGGTGAACATGGCGAAAACATTCTCTTGTATAAGGACGGTGTCGATAGTCCACGGCAGCTAAAAATAACGGCAAACCGTAAGTGCGAGGAAGGCCGTTAGGGATCACCACAGTTACCATGCCCTGATAACCCCAAGCGGCGTCCACCACCGCCTCGGCCGCCGAACTAGTGTCAGAATCGTCAAAGACGATCATCGACGCTCCCGTCCGTGGCGAAACTATATCGACACCAATTTCGGAAAACGCACTAGCGACTTATTAATCTACGACTTACGCGCGAGAAATTTCTTGAAATGACGGTTTACGGCGTGGTATTTCCCGTCCAGCAGATCTCCGAATAACACCACAACGTCCACATAATCGTGGTCCAGATATTCTTGTAATCCGCCTTCACTCGATGGTATCAATTTCAAGGCCGCTTGCGGAATCCTAAGCTCAAAACTATATAATGAAATAATCTGGGAAGAAATCAACACCTCCTACATCACAAGACCGTGAAACGTTAAATTATGAGTCATCGCATTAAAGAAGTGATATAATAATATAATAATAATAATAATAATAATATGCAATTGCAATACTGCAGTAATTATTCGATATGATAGGAACAAATTACAAAGCAAGACGGCAAAACAATACCAAAGAAGACAAGGAAAAATAAAAGAAGCCCATGACAGACAGGTATGGTCTGTACATAGATATAAGAAAATGACCCATTGCTTTTGAATGGGATTATCCAAGGGTGGTCATTAACATACAATGCAACAAGATTATTACCTAAAGTTTCGGAATTTAAATTCAGATAAAATTGTGGTCCGTAATTGAAAATAATTTTATACCTACCTGTGTTTAATATTCTTTGGTTTGGTACAATACTTGGTTTAAGTTTAGTAGTAGTAGTAGTAGTAATCGTGTGCGAATTATGCAAAACATGTGCGAGTCTAGTGTATCTCAGGAAGTGCTCCCGCCCAAATGTAGAAAACACCATTCTATTGAGACTAAGTAAGTTATAAACAATGTTTATTTGACTCTCATTGAACGTGGTGCCAGCAAGCAAGCATCTTTAAAAGAAACAACCACATTGACGAAAATTCCAACATCAACTGTATGGAAAATTGTGAATAATCCCATTTCAGCAAGGAAAAAAAGAAGCGATGCTGACATTTTCTCGAGTGTACATGAAAGTGATCAAGATATAATACGGCGTAAAATTTGCCAGTTATACGAGGAACAAAGCGTGCCTACATTAAATATCTTAATTAGGAGGTTTGAAAAAGATGAAACCGGTGTTAAATGTGGCTACCTTATGAAAGTGTATTCAACACATGGGTTTTAGATTTTAAAAAAATTCCAAAAGGCAAGTTTTAATGGAATCTTTTAGAATTCGGAAATGGCGACTGTTTTTTGGTTTAAAAATAAACACATGCCTCCTAATAGCGTCATTGTAATAGACAATGCAAGTTATCACAGTAGACAGTAGACTAAACCTCTTCCTCATGTGACACAAAAGCAACAATCCAAAACTACATGTATAATAACATTTATTTTCATGAGCAACTAACTAACCAAAAAGCAATTAATTGAATTGCTACAAAGCTTGAACCTACAAAAGGATAATTATGCAAAAAATCTAGTTTACCACTGTATATTTATCCCATTGAACATGTTTGCCACCAACTGAAATCTGCCATTCGTCGTAACAATATTATTCCCTGTATTAACTCCAAAGTCCTCAAACTTATAGAAATCGAAGTTTTTAACATCCCTCCACAAAGTTGAGCAAATTCTGTTAAACTTATAGAAAAAAATAATTAAATTCTCAGCAAAGTACGGACCTGTTCGGCCATATTTCATTCTTACAGCTTACCCCGATCTTTCCTTAATTCGTATCAGTTAGTCACTTTCTTATATCTATGAACAGACTTTACTTACATCGCGGACCGCGAATGTATTTGCTCATTACACTCACAACATGTAAAAGGTTTCCCATACCTGTTTTAAAGGAACATATAACCCTATATCGACTGACTGACAGTCGTTTCACCGCCTTGTTGTAGGGGTCGTGTTGACGAAATCCACACTTCACAGCCGCCCTCGCACCGACTTACCCCGCGGTTTCTGCAAGCGTGAGCAAAAAATTAGCGGCCGGGGCGAGTTTTATCCCCGTTTGCAGGACGATCGGGTAGCCCGCCGCCAAAGCGGGCGCGACGACTAGCCCCAACACCCATAATGGATTTTCGTCGTCGCAAATAACCGCCACGCAAGCTCCTGCATCATAATTAAACCCACCTTAACTTTCGAATTTCACCCGCGCAACCAGAGATAATACAGCGCAGAAGCGACCACAGCAAAAACCACAGACAACCAAAGACCGGAAAATTAATCCCATGTTATTCCAAGAAAAAAAAAACATTTAAGTACAATTTCGTTGATTAAAGGCATATGTTATTATTTAAAAAATATCAATATATGAGACACATTTCGAACAGAATATGTTTATACACTAAGAAAGTGAGGTTATGGAATGTTACCTTTTCTCAAGTCGCCCGTAAAATTTGCATAGTAAGAAAAATATTCCGCAAGGAGGGTCACCGCTTTTCTCGTATCCTTCGACAAGATACTTCTGGCAAATATCTCGATCTGAGCAAACATATCCGCATTCTTTTCGATCTGTTTCGCAAGGCTGCAACACGCAACATTTGCTAAATTAATGGGAAAGACATTAAGACATTCACGTACGTTAACAGTTGAGTTTTCGTGTTTTCTGTGAATTCGTGACCCAAGTTTTCTTTCGCCCAATCTAAAATACTTTTGAGCTCCGCAGATTTATCAGTTATATCTACCGCTTTGACCCATTCCTTAAAAACATAAGTTATCGAGAATTTTGAAAGGGGATTATACTTACGGCTGCTTTATCCGTATTTTCCAAGTTTTCGCCGTAATCCATCGTGTTGAATATTGTTTGGAGCTTTGATTCGTTGTTAATTTGTGTAGATTCATTCATTTTACGAACACTGCGAATCGGAAAAACTGATAACAGTATATGCTTTTTTTGTACTGAATATTCGTTTGTAAGATACACCAAGCAATGACGTCAATATTTTACCCTGCGAACATTTAATTAATATTTGATCGGGCAATATCGAAATTTGTCGGCATCAAACTAGAAACTAATTTAATTTATTAATTTATTTTAGACAAAAATTAGAACAATAATAGAAATTCTACATGGATTCTTCATTATTAAACCAACCAAAACTAGCCAATGTAAAATATCCTTGCACATAACCTCAATTTTATGTTGATGATTTAAGTTACATGTTAAAAGATTTTATGAATTATGTTGAGCTTGAGCCGATTCTGCGGAGTCCCGGTGCGGAATTTCCCTAAATTTGTGAGCGCTTTGTCAAGAAATGTTGATAAGACCGTGGTCCCTCGACCTTATTCGAATTTCTTACGGAAACAGGCGCCGTATCGGCTAAGTAACTGGAATGTGAGGGACCTTTAGCGTAAATATTGCCAAATTTTTGTTGAAATCATGTTTTCCAGTCGGTTACACGCGCGGTACCGGTCCGCCTCACGTCGGACGCATCTCAGAAAGGGCAAAAGGCAGTGGGATACTGGCTGTTAACCTGCGGGGGCATGGTTTTCGTGGCGGTCGTCCTAGGTATAGTCACAACTTATATAGTTGTCTTGTTTTGCGTCGTTACGGTTTTACGCGAGGTTATCAAAAGGACAGTACGTTAGGGTAGTTTCGGCGTTTAATAAACGGTATTTTAAAAACGGCGTAGTTTTATCTCAGGAGGCGTCACCAGACTCACCGAATCGGGCCTCTCGATGGTCCATTGGAAACTTTTGGGCGAGCGCATGCCCCGCACCGACCAAGAATGGGAGGCGGAGTTCAAAAAGTACCAGCAGTTTCCGGAATTTAAAATGTGAGTAACAGCACGGGGAGCCCCGATGGCGTTATATACAACAATACTGGTTACAATTGGATATAATGTCATGGAGTCATTCATCACCCGCCTAGAGGTAATTTTCGCGCTTTCTACAATGCAGCAAAAACAGAAAGATGAGCCTGTCCGAATTCAAATTTATCTGGCACATGGAATATGGCCACCGTCAGTGGGGCCGACTCATAGGGGCGGCGTTTATCGCGCCGGCCCTGTACTTCTGGGCGAGAGGAAGGTTCAGTCCGGCCCTCAAAAAACGGATTCTGGCGTTCGGCGGACTGATTGGGGCGCAGGGTCTAATGGGGTGGTACATGGTGCAGTCGGGATTGGAAGACCGATTCGACGGCGAAAGCGATGTGCCCCGCGTGTCGCAGTATCGGCTGGCGACCCACCTGGGCCTCGCTTTCGTCCTCTACACCCTCTTTCTGTGGTCTGCCCTGGACCATCTGCTCCCCGCAAGCGCAGTGACGTATGCGAGCGGTGAGACGCTTCGAGCAGCTCGCAGGTTTAGATGGCTCGCACACGGCTGCAAAGGCCTAGTCTTTTTGACGGCCATTTCGGGGGCGTTCGTGGCCGGTCTCGATGCCGGCCTCGTGTACAATTCGTTTCCCAAAATGGCAGACAAGTGGATACCCGACGACATCCTCGTGTTCACTCCCAAGGTGACCAACTTTACCGAGAACCCGACTACAGTGCAGTTTGATCATCGGGTCCTCGGTACGGCCACCCTGGGCCTCATCACCGCCGCCTGGTGGGTGTCCCGGAGGCGGGTGCTGCCGCGCCGCGCCTACATCGCCGCCGGTGCTTTAGCCACGGCTGCGTGGCTCCAGGTGAGTGCTCACCTGTCTCACAACGGAACGAGACCATTTTAAATGTTGGACACCAGGTCAAATAGCCTAAAATAGCAACTTTGAAAAGAAATGTACAAAAAAACTATTTTCAGAAAACAAAAAGATAAAATCATGTTGAAAATAATAGCAACATTTGATTTTTTTATATGTTTATAGGTTATTTTTTAATCTAACTGGCTTGTTAATGAATTTTTGGCAACATTTTGTAACCACATCCCATTTATCACCCTTTCTATATTTTTATCTTAAACATTTTCAAATCTTAGGTCCAAGCACTTTTAGTACATATAACAGTTTCATTTTAAACTGTTGTCTTGATTCGGATTTAAAGGCCGTCGTCGGTCGGTTGGGAGTACTCCCTAATGTTTCAATAGCATGCATTGCATCCTTTCATCTCCAGATGTAAATGGACGTTTAAAAGGTCTGATTTAGTGGATCTGGAAAATTCTTTAAATGTTTATTCAAGGTTGAGATCACAATGTGAATCTTTATTAAGAATTTAAAATACATACAAATATATTTTTAACTGTATTATTTTTTGATATTTTATTTTTATTATAAAACATGTAAGTCCTGTTTTTTGATAAAAATTCTTTCCTATATTCAATTATTTTATTTTAACAAAAGTTAAACAAATTTTAATTGAAAATTATTTGCCTAAAAATAAAATTAATAACAATTTTTAACAACAAACCTATATTCTTGTTTTCTAATAATAAATAATACAAGAATACTATATTTAAGGAATTTATTTGAAAAAAAGTTATCAAAAATTAGCAATAAGCGCAATTCATATTATAGAAAAAATACCCTAAATAGTCGAAAAGATGATATAAATTACAAATCAAATCAATTTTCATATAAAAATAATTTAATGTTGAAAATTGACGAAAAATTGAATAAAGTCAAAGTCAAAGAAACATCAAAGTCAATATATTCACGTCAATTGTATGTAAGGTATGTAAATATTTATATATAAAATATGCATGTATTTTAGATTCTTGAAGAAATCCACATTGTGATCGAAATACATTGAGTTAATGGTTATGTTGCTTTTTTTTATAAAATTAAATGTTTATTGTTCATCCAATTAATGTTTAATTTATATTTTACATGTAACAAATAAATAGCTTTTTAATATTTTGAATGATTTATAGATGGCTGATAAATTGTTAGTGCACTATCCCCGCAAGCCTAAAATTTTTATGAGCACTATTTTATTTTACATTAGCCGATCCTACCAAATTTTGTTCAAGGTCGCCTTGGGGATCACCACCCTGCTGACCTACGTACCCACCCCGGTGGCCGCAGCACACCAGGGCGGCTCCCTGACGGTGCTATCGGCAGCCGTGTGGCTCACGCACGAGCTGAAACGACTGCCCAAGCCGTGACGCACGCGATCCTCACATTTCCGGATTGAAGGACCGAAATAAAACTCGCCGAGTTTTAACAAATATTTTACAGAGTTTATAAATTACAATAAAACGATATATATATATGTATAATATAATATTGCAAACGATACTTTCGCGCGTACTTATTAACCTCGATCGCTACCGACAAAGGGGGCGTTACGCTTCGAGTGCCCTGAGATGCCCGCGCACGCGCGTTATTTTCGAGTATTACTCCTTCCCCGCCCCCCGTTAATCGGATGAAGTCGATAATATAATATCAGTGAGGCAGATAATCAGTCGAGTAATTAAATTGACCCTACCGCGATATATTCAGGTACTCTTTCCCCCCTCCCAACCCACCTCACATTTGCAAACTATAACCTAATTTTGTAGTTGATCGTTATTTCATAGGAAAAAAGAAAAATCAATCGGGTGCATCATTATTGCTGGAATGTCGTCAATTGAATTGAGAAAAAAAATGCTTGCAAGGTCGTAAAATTATCGACAGAGTGCCTGAAATCCACCTAGAGGAAAATGTATATCACAACGGTGTCGTTTCACGCGAAAACCCGACGGTGTAGAAACTCTTGGGAAAATCCAAACTGTGCGTTCTTTTTTTGTGTTTTTTTGAAATTGACGCGCCCTCTCTATCTCTCAAAAGAAGCCGCAATTTGATTATCGTTCTCCTAAAATTAAGCGATACTTTTTATTGTTCAGTGGTATTCTTTTTTATAGTAATCGTTATTTTTATCATTAAACTTATCCTAAGAGATATGGTCCAAAAGGGTGCGGAGCGGCGTGCGAAACCCCGCGGCCTCACAACCCGACGACGAGACGACCTGCAAAAAAGCACGCATGAAAAATAAAAACCATTACAAAAAAAAAATGTGTACATTAAATTATCTAGGAGATAGGTATCAGATTGTGAAAGTAAATGGCTACACAAATAACAAGATTGCTGTAGCGCGGAGCAGCTTTTTATTTAAAAGAGAAGCCGCTTCGCGGTTTCTTGTCAAAGAGGGACGCATTGTTTTTCTATCATGCTCTTGCGGACCATTATGGAACTTTCGCAAAATCGATGTAATTTAATTGCGCATGCATCCTGTATAAAATGTCCTTCACATCTCGTCGAACTTCAAAGTTACAGCCAACATCGGTAAATATTAAAATTTGTCGAATGATATTTTTTCAAATACCTCGCGCCCTGTATAATTCACGAAACCTGAAACTCTCTCTCGACGCAGTGTACGATACTGTTCAAATAAAATTATCATTATTCATTTATCGCCAATAATTAACCCACAAAAACGGAATTTTTTAGGATCCTTTAGATTTTTTGCCCATAAACGACACACCCTGTATATGATTGAAACAATGTTCGAAGTAGAAGTTATCGCCCTGGATCTTCCACGTTTCTTGGTTTAAGATTTTTTTGAAAATAGTAACTGGTTTTCCAGAAAATAAGTTTTTTCTGAAACCATACAGTGCGCCATAATAATCAATGACGTCATCGCGTCTTGACAGCCACCGAAATAACGATTTCAATATGGATTTCTTTCAAATATCCCGAGCAGCTTATGTGATAGACGAAAACCGCAAATACAAAAATGCGGCCTGTGACACTGTTTGAACAAATTAGCCATATTTTTTGCGATTTTTGATTTGCGGCTAATAATTTACTCTGTGAAAGAACAATTTTCTAGGTCTTTTAGATTTTTGCCTATAATTTGAAAACCCTGTATTAAATCGAAAAAATGCCTGAAATGTGCTATTTGAATGACCATGGTGTATGAGTATTATTTACGCACTATTGTACATACTATGTAATGAAATTATATAAAATAGAATATTATATTTTTTTGTTAAAATTTCATTAATATACAAATGCTTCTTGCATTTAGGTACCACTTATTGTGAGATACATGTGGCGATATTGTACTGAGCTTTGTTTGGTTTCATGTAAATAACTCTTTGCCAATTTATAATATCAATAAATAAATACAATAAAACACATTAACACACACTTTGCCTAATTAAAATCGATAATTCGTGATCGTCCCCCCGCCCCCGACCCATCGGCGAACCAATCGATACTGTCCCTTATTCCCCCCCTCCAGACGACAAGGCTCACCTAGACGCACGATAAGTTCCCCATCATAACGCCCTTTTGGCGGGTCCCGGTGAGTTTTCGACGTTGACGATCACCTGGACGACGTAACCGGTGGGGATCTTCGCTTCCTCGACGTGCAGTTTGTCACCGAGCAGCTTGCCGCCGAAGAACCATCTTTGCCGTGATGCCTCTATACCCTCTTGGCTCTGGAAACGACGCCTTCGTGTTACGACGCCCCGACAAAAAGTTCTACGTCTTGCTTTTTACAAAACTTCTGGATTCCTCAGTTTCAGTCAAGCTCTGAAGAAGCCAACAGGATGATTGGCGAAACGTTAGTAATTTCGACTAAGCAAAAACCGACGCAGGAGGAATCCAGAAGTTTTGTAAAAACCTTACAGTAGCCTGTGGAAGTTTCTTTGAAAAATTAAGTTCTACGTCTTGTTCAAAAAACGAGCCCCGACCAACTCTCTAAATTTGGGTTTTTCAATTTTTCAATTCCTCCCAACATTTTCTTATCTTTAAAGTTGAAATTGCGTAAACCTCCAAACCTCCGGGTGACCGATAAAAAGGAGGCTCTGCAAGCAATTCACGTAACGAGTTGGAGTGACAAGACTTATAACTAAGGCGGCCAAGAGAATATGCTGGAAAATATGTTTAAGTTTGTAGAATGGCCGCCAGGGGGCGTAATCGCATTCATGAATCAAAATAACCTGCCATTATTAAGCCTAGTTTTAATTCGTTTTAGCAAAACATATATACATATATAAAATACAAAAACTGAAAATGATTGAACACAAAATTCAACATTTTTAAAATTCAAAGCAAAGAAGGCAAAAATTGTAATGATGGTGATTAAGTGTCAATCATATTGCAACTACTTATAGTGTACTTTGTTGGCATTATTTTGTTTTTATTTCTTTTGCTGATATTATGGGGTAGGAACAAGATATTGATTTGATTATTTTTAGTTGTTGCAATAAAAGTAATATCGTCGAATATAATTTTTTCGAAAAAATAAACTTTGTCTGTAGGGATGTTGCAAAACGCCCCCTGGCAGCGATAAAACAATCAAAGTCAATTTGCTCAGGGAAGCATTAAAAGCGAAGAGCTATTTTTAACAACACCAAGTTTGATAAAATGCCTTCAACAATCTGTTCAGTTATTGACATTTATTTCCGAAAATGTGCGAACCATAAGCTATTAGACAATATAGTGACCCTACCACAGTAGAAGTTGCACTTTACGACACTTTCTTTCTAAATAGCAATTTCCACACACGTAATCCGTTTTTCCAGAATATTTGAGAAGGAGGAAGCTTATTTTGCGTCAAAAATGCCGCATCCAAACTTACCGGCGATCTGTCAGCGGCAATGTTGGTTGTCATTGGTTAACCCATTTTGTCGCAGTGGTGCGTTAATGCACCACCATTTCTATGATTTTTTTTGTCACATCCAGGAAATATATTTGAACATCCATTTAGAAATTTTATTATTATCACTACTAAAAGACATAAAACCGTAGAAATCGCTAATTTATATATGACTTCAAAAGTTAACAAAAGCGGTACATAAATTTCCATCACATTTTCAAGTAAATCCAAAATAGTAAAAAAAAATATTTTGGATTTGTATTGCCATTTTTGTTAAGTCTATAGCATGTAAACTACATCGCAGAAAACATACATTGGAAATACTATATTGATTATGCTTTATTTTTTGAAAATATTTACTGGTGAGTGAATGCATCACTGGTTTTATCTGTGAAACAAAACTTTGTTATTGCAAGTCGAGACAAGTCAGCGCATGTAGAATAAACATCCAACAATTAGCGTGTTCTTTAGTATTAGTTTGTGCCTTGTGCAATGCACGTTACAGTTCGTAAAATATAGCAGTTCCGAGGTATTTAACTCAAAAGGAATTAGAGGCGGCTATGGAGGAGATCGTGATGGATGAGAACAATAACAATGAAAGTCGTAAGTATTATTTGGATTTACGTATTCTTATGTAATGTAGCATTCCATTCCTTGTAAATATTTACAGAACATATGGATGCGGTCTATATTCCACCCGACGTGGATACCTTGACTGACGACGAAGATATGAACGATAACATAAATCTACAAGAGTTTGGGGGACCAAATGATATAGTTGGAACATTCGAGTTACATACACCGAATGATACAGCTGTCCTTCAACAGTCCTGCAATTTATCAACTACTGAACCTGAATGGGACTCATCAAATGAAACCCTGGAATTCAAAAGAAGACGTATGCTTTCTGCAAACGACAGGCTTGCTTCTACTGTCAAATGGAAGAAAGGTCAGATTGAGTACACTCACACACCTATATCCGATGAATTTAGATTATGTGAGAAACTAAAAAATAGGCTTTCGAGAAAAACAACGCTTGAAATATTTTTTATGTTTTTTGTTGACAAAGTGATTCATTCGATTTTAAATCTTACATTGCGTTGTGACTTTTAAAAACTGATAAAACAATTACTGCACTTGCATCTGCCATAGATGAAGTGCGTTATGATAATCAAGGTCACCTCATGATTGTTCATGCTAATAAAGTCCGAAGGAAATGTATAATCTTTTTGCATTTTTTACGTTTGTAATGAGTGTAATGTGCATTTACACACTTCATGCTTTGTAAAATATCACCAAAAATGAAACCGGGAGTTCACGCACTATAAAATATTATGCGTTTTTTTGTATCAAATCAGGTTCTATTTGGGAAACAATCTACTTTTGGTTGTTTTCTGTCAAATTTGAACTTTCTTTTGTATATCTATGTATAAATTATATGTTACATCTTATGTACCCCAAAACATTATTTAATGTTTTTTCCCAAAGGTTCTTTTACGCACCAGTATTTTTTTGAATGTTTCGAGTTTTTTTTTTTGACACACATGATGTATTCTTAAGTGCAACAAAATAAATAATTTTAGAGCAAAAAAGTATTTTTTTATGCTTGGGATAATATAGGTTAAAAAGGAAATTTTAAAAATCCCGCGTGCGCTGGTCGACCAAAATTTTTGGACGCTTTAGTAATATGTTTTTTCACATAATTACTTTTCGATATAGGGATGATGGTCCTTTTTAATTGGTCAACCAGAACGGCCCTGCTATTGACCCGGTTTTTTCACAATTTATCTATGAGATAACAAATTTCCAAATTCCAACGTTTTCCAAATTTATTAGTAAAAAATACACTATGCCTGCTTTGAATTGCAAGTTTAGCATTTTGCAATTGGCCTATGCCCTGGATAAACAAATAAATAAATAAACCAAAACAAAAAACCCTGACCCATCGCATAACAAAAACATGAAGGTATAAATTCCCAAATATTATCTATGCATAATTAATAGTGTTATTTGACCTTTCCTCCCTTATATTATGAGAAACAAACAAACCTAAATCCAATCAATTTGACCTGTCAATTTCCTAATGGGATGCATTATTGAACATCGGGCCGGCAGGAAAATAGGTAGTTTGTATTCAACCGACGTTGCCGTCGTTTAATATTTCATCGGTTGTAACCGGCATAATCGCAACCGTTTCCTTGGGACGGGGATAAACAAATGACGTCACTCACCTGTAACTTTTTCTTGCACACGCCGATCGTGTCCCGCGAGTAAACCGTCATTTTAACGTCCGAAAACGAATTGCTCAGCCGCAACTTGAGCACGGTTTCTGCGCCGCCTTCCACCGGCTCCGAGCACTCCGCGGGCGAATCCCTACCGTTATCTTCTTTCACTATGTTGATCGGATACGACAGGCAGTAAATCGGCACTTGATAACGTTCGCCGAGCTGATCGTAGCAGTCCGTGATGTAACCGTTGGGCACGAACACCTGGAACCATGGGACACGTATACGACATTGCAGGCGGCTATATTAGAGCTCCCTACCCCGGCTCCGTCCAGTATGGCCTGGGCGAGGTCGTAGTCCCGGGCCTCCGCTGCCACGGCCGCCGCCCGCAGCGCGTCCCATATCTCCTTGCGCCCCTCGAACGCGGGGGCCGTGTCCCAGAACTCATCTCGCTTGCTGCGCAGCTGGCCCTCCGTGAGCGGCACGTCCGACTTCCATCTGATCGTCTCGTGAGCTAACCTGTACGTTTTGTTGTGCTGGTTGCCTGGACAAGCGCACACACAGTCGCAATTTGTCGTTATCAAATTGAACACGCGTTCCGGACAAGCAGAAACGAAGGTAATAAACGCGAAATCTGGGCGTCCGCCAAGGTTAAAAGCGCTCTTACCCGATATCGTCCTGGATAAAGAGCCGGAGGAATTTTCTACGACCGCCGATCGGTTCCTGCCCAGTCCTATACAGCCGCCCATTGTGCCCACAGCGGCTTTTGAAACATTTCACGTCGTATCACGCCAACGTGACGGCAACAAACGCAACGCTCGTGCATTTTACATCCATCACTCTGGTCGCGTACTCGGAACACTAACGTGTGCAACGTGAAAAATTATGGGAAAACTGACAGGCACGCGAGCGAAATGTCAGTCGGGTTCGGAAAACGTCCGCAGGTTGACGTGTGAGGGTCGCTTCACGTCAATTTCTCGGCGATTTTTATCTATGCTCCGGCACCAGCTAACGTTTACCAATATCGTTTCTGTGTTCGTCTGCGGCGTGGTTCGTACGTGCGTGTTTTATTTAACCTCTCTTTCAGTCTTAAAAATGGCCGAGCATGTAGCGTTTCTCCGGACGCTAATTTATAATCACATATCTAGCGAAAATAAGCAATTGGCGGAAAGTTACCGCAAGTTGCTTAAAGTGGTGAGTACGCTCAGCGCGAGACGTCTTAATTTCTGTTAATTTCATTATCGCTGAAATACCCGACAGCAAGCGAACATCCACGTGCGTTTTATGTTTCAGCCATCGGTAAAACCAGGGGCTCCGTCTCTTCAGGAAGTGTTCAGTCATTACTTGAAGGTCAACAAAAATGCAGCGGCCAAAATCAAGCAACTGCTAGCGCAAGAGTCGAGTTCGGAGGTGAGTTTCGTTATACCTTGAATTCCTTGGTGTTGAGGTGATCTGTTTAGGAATCGTCCGAAGAGGAGGCGTCTGCGAAGTCGGTTCAGAATGTTAAACCCGCACCGGCGGTGAAACGGAAACAGGAAAGCAGCTCGGAGGAGTCGTCGGAGGAGGAAAAAGCACCACCCGCGAAGAAACCGGTTAGTCGGCGAGCAGCAAAAAACTGCTTATTCCTTACCTACTTTTCGCAAAAAAACATCTTTGCTCTAATATCTAATTAACATTACTTAACAGTGTTTTCAGCTGTTTTTTATGTACATTTGGCAGGTGCAGATTTTTCTGTGCGTTGTATTTTTCTAGAGTAAAATGTGTCGGCCTGTAATATATATGTATATAAATATTTTTTTTTCTAAATGCTGCAGGCTTTAAATGGCAAATCGAATGTGGCTCCCCCGAAAGGGGCAGCGAGCAGTTCGGAGGAAGATAGTTCGGACGACGAAAAGGCTGCCGTAAAAAAGCCGCTCCCGCCGGCCAAGGGCAAAGCGCCGTTGAAAAAAGCGGCGGAAAGCTCAGATGACAGTTCGGATGAAGACGAGTCGCCAGTGAAAAAGGGGGTCGCTGTTGCCCCGCCCAAGAAATCGGCTCCTGTCAAAGCGGCCACGAACACGACAAGCAAAAAAGATAGTAGTTCGGAAGATAGTTCCGAGGACAGTGAGGCGGAGCAGCCAAAAAAGACGGCTCGCCCGACGACGACGGCCAAGGCGTTAAAACAAGTGGCGGAGAGTAGCTCGGAAGCGAGTTCTGAGGAGGAGGTCAAGACGCCCGCTGTGATGACTGCGAAACCTCCCGCCAAGGTGCAGACGCCTGCCAAGAAAACCGTGAAAAAAGAAGAAAGCTCATCGGAAGAGTCCAGCGACGAAGAGGAGCCTCAGAAAGTGACCATCAAAGCTACAATTCCAACAAAGAAGTCTGCAAAAAAGGACGAAAGCTCTTCGGAAGATTCAAGCAACGAGGAGCCCCAGAGACCGGCAACCAAGCCTATTAAACCAGCGCTCAAGGTCCAGACGCCGGCTAAACCTGTCGCCAAAAAAGCAGAAAGTTCATCTGAAGATTCCAGTGAGGAGGAGCCCCGGAAAGTGGCCCCAAAGGCGCAAACGCCGGCCAAGAAACTCGCGAAAAAAGAAGAAAGCTCGTCGGAAGATTCAAGCGACGAGGAGCCAAAAAAAGCGGTGCCCAAGACGCAGACGCCAGCTAAGAAACCCGTAAAAAAGGAGGAGAGCTCTTCTGAAGAGTCGAGCGACAAAGAAGAGACCCAGAATCCGGCCGTCAAGCCTAAGAAACCGCCAGCTAAGGCGCAGACTCCGGCCAAGAAACCCGCGAAACAGGAAGAAAGCTCTTCAGATGATTCCAGCGATGAGGAGCCTCAGAAACCAGCCATCAAGACTCAGACGCCCGCCAAGAAATCTGTGAAAAAAGAAGATAGCTCGTCGGAAGAGTCCAGTGACGAGCCAAAGAAAGTGGCGAACAAACAAACCCCAATTCCTAAAAAGACCGTCAAGAAAGAAGACTCGGATGGGTCGTCTGAAGAAAGCAGCTATGAGGAGAATCAGAAGCCCATAGCGGTGTCGACGCCCGCCGCGAAAAAGGTTCGTTTAGGGGTCCAAAGTGGGGGGCAGGATTTAATGGCAAGACGGACGTTTCAGGTTGCGGCCAATAAGAAGTCTTCTAACGAGGAGGAGTCTTCAGAGGAGGAGGAGGAGGAGGAGACGCCGAAAATCAAAAAAGCGAAGAGCGCCGACGCCAATGGATTGGACGCAAAAAAAAACGACAGCTACAACAACTTCGTGAAAGAGGGAGCTCAGAACAACAGCTTCGGCAAAGATAATAAGGTATCATTTTTGAGGATTTGTACAGGGTGGTCCAAATTCGAAGGACCTCTATGGCTTTGAGCATTTGCAGCATAGTTAGTCCAAAAACAGGTAGATTTGGCTTTAAAAAATCTTCAAAAAATGTTCTTTACAAATAAAAAAATATAGAGAGATTTTAGAAACGCATATTTTTAAGAATCACCCTGTAGCTCGGAAATACTTTGACATATCATGATGCGGTTTTTAGTTTTCCACTTCTTCTTCCACTTCTCTAGAGAATCGAGCCATTAACATACATATTAGTTTTGGGCTAACTATACTGCAAATGCTTAAAGCCGTAGAGGCGCATCGAATTTGAACCACCCTGTATAAGTGTATCCTAATGGTGTCGCACAGAGGTGCTTTTATTTATTTATTTTGAGAATTAACAAATTAAAAAATTCTGTTTCAAAATAAATTATTTTATGCGGTAAAATTAAAGAAAACATTTGACATCTTATTAAACAATTATTGACAACTTAGCCTTTAGTTTTTTCGATTGAGAGCAAGGCAGGCTTTAATATTTAACACACAGTTATTTAAAAAAATATGAGTATATATAGAAAACAAAATGCGTCAATTTTTTGTCATTTTCGTTTATATTTTCGCTTATTACAAATTAGTAATTAAAGTATACCAGCACAACATCAAAAAAATAGTGATTCCCAAAAATTCTTATCCATAACCGGACAACAGAATATAATTTTGTTTGTTGTTGTTTTTTTGTAGATACGTTTTGTTACATTAGAAATATATTTTATTTTTGATTTAAATAGAACCAAAACAAAAACAAATTTTAAAATATATTTTTTCTTCTAACATTTAAAAATATTTATGCCGATTATTCACTTAATATACTTTATACTAATAATACTAATAATAATGGTAGTACTAATACTAAATAATAACATAACCTATCACTTCAGCAAACTTTTGACATTCAAGAAAGGGAAGGTGTCATAATTGTATTTGCAGATTACGCTACTAATATTTCGCTACAAATCTTGGCATAAATTATAAAAGACACTACAATTGCTGATGGAAAAAATCAATCATTGGTTAAGCGTAAATGTACTATTACCAAATGCAAATAGCATTCCAAAGAAGTTTGAAATCAAACAAGGTGATTATGTAACTACTAAAATTTAGTAAAGTTCTCCCAAGCAGTAATCTCCTAACAGTGATAGTGTTTATTATAAATAAATATTTTGCAATAGCACAAGTAAGAACCACAAAAATGTGCCCAAAGCAATATTGAGCGGCTTTCATATAAAAGATAAAAATAAGTGAAAACAAAAAAAAATGCTTCCTCTTCAGTTTTCTTCGGTAAAACGAATCGTATTCTAGAATTTTTTGTTTGTGGTGTACACCTATTATCTGAGGTTTGCAAATTAAATCAAGGTAATAAAAATAGGGAAAAATGATCTTTTCCTCAATATCTCGTCACCTTGATATCGCAGCATTTTAGAATCTAAGTTTATATGAACTTCTTTATTTATTTTTGTCTGTTGGACTACCTTGGATATAACTTTAAAAAATGGAGAAACATGGGCAAAATAAATGAATATATGAACTGTAAGTTGCGAAGCTTGCGACTTTTATTGGGTTAAGTTGGTAAATATTTTTTTTTATATTTCTTCTTATTAATTTTTTTATTGCAGACTGCGTACAGATAGTTTCCGTCTCTGCAGTGCAATTGTAGTCTCTGTATTTTTGTATTTATTACTGCTCAAATTATGATAAATGACCTCTGTGTGTCGTTTTAGGCGAGGAGGTCGCCTTTCCGTCGCGTCAGGGACGACGAGGTCCGCATCGACCCCCGACTGAAAGACAACTCCTTCGAGGCCAAGGTAATGTGCAATCTCAACAGGAGGGTTCGGTGCGGCGGGCGAGCACACTCCTTTAACCTCGAAAAAATTGGAAAAAAGTGCCGTCTGTAGTTGAGTTTGCACGTTGCCTGCCACCTCCCATCGCGGGGTGGTTGATGGTTTGCCCGCCCGTTGTACTGACCCATTTTGTTTTTTTTATCCCACCAAGGATGGTTCGTTCCGCGGCAGAGGCGGCGGCCGCGGTGGCGGTTTCCGGGGCAACAACGACAGACACTCGTTCGGCAACCGGAACGATAGGGGCGGTTTTGGGGGTGACCGGGGCGGGTTTAGAAAGTCGTTCGGCGACCGGGGCGGGTTTAGAGGCGGTCGAGGTGGCGACAGGGGCGGCGGGTTCAGGGGCGGTCGAGGCGGCGGGTTTAGGGGCGGTCGAGGGGGAGACCGGGGTGGGGGGTTTAGAGGCGGCAGGGGTGGAGATCGGGGAGGCGGATTTAGGGGCGGCAGGGGTGGAGATCGTAGCGGCGGGTTCATTCAACAGCACCAGGCGCTCGTGAATAAGAAAATTAAGTTCGACGAGTAGGGGGCTCACCGTCACGTAAGTAGTGAGGAAGGGGTGCAACGCGACTTGGGTTTTAGGTGTGGGGCGTCACTAATAGGGGGTCCACTTGTTTCAGTTTAACGCGAGGGGCTCGTGGGGCGAGAAGGCGAACCACGACCTGAAACACACGCGGGGCAAATCGTTCAGGCACGAAAAAACGAAGAAGAAGCGCGGAGCGTACCGCGGCGGTACCATCGACACGTCGGTCAATTCCATCAGGTTCGATTAGAGTCGCCCCTCCTCCTCGTCCCTTCCATTTTGTACATATTTATATAAAAGTTAAAGTCGGTTAAGTTTTCATTTTGCAACTGTGTCATCGCTTCATCGACCGGTGACTAGCGAGGCACACCATTTTTGTATTTCTGTATTTGTGCTTCGTTATGACCTTCTAGCGCTAAGTGACTATACCTATCAATCTGTTCCGTTTTTACACGAAAAAAGTTTATCGTTCTACGTTTATATTAAAATGTCTGGCCCTACGAACGCGTGTTTTATTTCATCCGCCCATTAAAGCTTCCAAAGGTAACAGATAAACATAACACGCTTTCTTACGATCTTTATGGTGTATGGTTTGTGGAAAGCTGCGCAAAAATCTTGTAGTTTGCTAACTTATTTTCCAAATCTTAAGCGGGATACGCAGGGAGACTTAAAAAAAAACAATTATTTGAAAACAAAAGAGAAAAACACCACAAAAGGGGTTAGACAAATCTTATATATACAATCCAAAGCTACCCTTAACCTAGTTTAAAGTAGAACTACGAACTCAATGATCTGTCCAATAGTGCCGTTCTATGCGAGAGCGGTGGTATTTGTTGCACATGTCTTAAATCCCTATTATAGCCATCACGTCTAAATTTTATTTTTTGATAAAATAGCCTGGAAGTTTGGAGGAGATTACTTCATTATAAAAAAGTTTGTCATAGGGGGCCACTCAACTTCGTTCATTTAACCGAGGAGCACAGTGGTTCTGGTTACGTTTGACATAAAATTCTAAAAGTTGTGGACGCTACGTAACATCACAAAACGTAAACTGTGACAGAACAAAATTTTCTATATCTAGTCCGTATTTGCGACATCTATCAGAATAAAGTCATTTTAAACACAATGAAGATGGATTTTATAAAAATAATTTTAAATTATTGCATCTCACTATTAATATTCTGTCTCTAAAAATAATGCAATAAATGCTATAAGCAGTTATAAGAAAGAAAGTCATAAAGTTATTTCGAAAATCGGGAACCTAATTAATTGTGCGTAGGTTTAAATTAGAGCTTGTTAAAGTTGCAAATATATTGCACGAGTGTATTGCTTTTCCTATAAGGTTTACAACTCGAATGAATCCATAAAATCATTAAATCGCCAATGATGACAAACGAAATATTTTTCAAAGCAATAATAACGTTTTTTACTTATTTATTTATAACTGATTCCAAAACAGTGTTAAAAATTGGTACCGGACCCTTAGATTACAATCAGCAATTATACAATACGCTTGGTGTTTTATGTAAAACGTTTTAAGTTTAAGTAGAAAGTAGTCATTGCAAAGGTACTTTTAATTTAATTTTATTGTTTTTGCTTCACCAATCACTATATAATGGTGATCTTTGTACTTTTAGAGTTTTTGAAAAATTATTTCTAAAATCACTTTAGTATACCTATGTATTTATTTCACTTGTTTTATATCCCAGTTACTTTTTGTTTACGTAATTTCTCTCTGTAATTTGTTTTGCAGACAGATGGGAAGACTTCCCCTGCATGGAATTAAATACCTTATATTACAAAGTAAAAATCTCGACTTTTTTGTTTGAACTGTCAATACACGCAGCATATTTTTTATGATTTCGTTCACATGTATGTCTCATTCAAGCTTATTTGTCATGATTAAGTATATATAATTTGGTACTTAATTTTTCAAAGAAACTTCTACAGGCCACTGTAATACTATTTACAATACTTCTGTATTCTTCCTTTGGTTGTTGTTTAGTTGAACTTGGTATTGGTATTAAAGGGGGTCGTCCAAGCACTTAGGCCACCAGATGGGCCCGTTGTGCCCCCAGGCCGTTCTAGAGGGCGTCCAGAATGCCGCCCCTCCTATAGAGCAATTCCTTTAGCCCAATACCGTGCACTGAGTCCGGATCGATCAGGGCCGTTCCGAAGACTCCCAAGCTTGCCCATGTCAAGGCAGGGCACTCAGTGAGCAGATGATACGGGGTCTCCTCCCCTTCTATGCACCACCTACACTCCGGGTCGTCTGCAATGCCTAGCAAGCAAAGATGCCTCCTAAGCCTGCAATGTCCTGTGTAGGCCCCTGTTAGTGCTCTACACTCCCTTCTGGTCAGTCTAAGCAGCTCCTAGTTGAACTTGTTAACGTTTTAGTTAACCTCTGAAGAAGCTAACAGTTAGCAAGTTTGGGAGGAATCCAGAAGTATTGTAAATAGAATTGTGTATTTCTTTCAGTTGTTCAGGAGCAAGTTGGCATCACAGTTTTTTTTTGTTTGATGATGTAATACCTGAATTGAATTGTTTATTTGTGTGTAGTGTTTGCGATCTTTGGACTATATTTGTAGAAGTTTGTAGAATATATGTATATTTCTACATGTTATTTAGCTATCCACAAAAAGTTTCCAGTCTTTTCTATTTAGTGTCAAATTTTTAGCTTTGTTCTTCCTCTCTTTTTCAAAATCTTTCCCTATCTGCTGTCCCACGTTTCTCTGGGTCTTCCTCTTTTCCGTTTTCCCTGCATTTTACTCTGCCAAACTCTTTTAACCGGTACAGTGCTGCCCAATTTCTGTAAATGGCCCCACCAGCCAAGCTGTTTCTTTTTTATGAATTCTTCTACAGGTTCCACCTTTAACTCTTCTCTTATATGTGCATTTCTAATTTTGTCCCTTCTGGTTATGCCTTTCACTCTCCCCAAGTATTTAATCTCTGCTTGTCCCTATCTGACAATATCCAAGGTTTGGTCTGTAAATTGTTTTCTAAACTTTCATTTTAATTTCCTTTTTATTTATGAGCCCCTTACTCAATACAAAGTATACCTTACTTGTCTTTTCTATTCTATTATTTAATTCTGTATCCTTCCAACATAATTCCTAAGTACCTCTGTAATTTATGAAGCGTTATATCAATGTCGACAAATGGTTTTTGCTAATCGAGGAATATTGTTAGCACATACTTATTTTTCTCCTAGCAGGTCTGCTGAGCCTCCTAAAGTACTGCTGTTTTTTTGTACTAAAGCAAACAACACAAGGATTCCAAATCCTACTTCTGGGATAGATTAACCTTTTTTCATTGAAATTGGGGAACGAAGGAAAGGAAGTAGTTCAAATGTACCGTTACGAGAGAGGTGGAAATGAAACACGCCGCCGTTTTTGGGGCGAACGCGCGTAATCTTTATTGTCCACAAACGGAACACAACAATACTAAACTGGGGCGTACGCCCGCAGGGCTTATATACACGACAATTATTTTTTAAAATAAATAATTAACCGTCGGTTTGAGAGTGTGGGCGTGGTGCGCTGTGCCACTATTCGACGGTGCTGAAAAACGAAACGGTCAGTCAGTCAGTGATCCGCGGAAAGAGGGTGTTTCTCCCCCGCCCAATTTGTAACCCCACACCAGACAATAATAAAAAACGCAATGCATGCAAATTTTATTTAACCAAAAATCTAAAGTGAAGCGCGCGCGATTCGACAACGCGGCCGCCGCGTTGCCACATCGCGTTTTAGTTGAAAGCGGCGCAGACGCGCTGCTCGCCGTCGGATACGTACACGACGCGCACGGTGTTGGTGAACCCGGAGCCCTGCTTCCATCCGGTCACCACGATCACCGGGTCGCCGGCTTTGATGAAGCCCTTACTCTTGCCGAAGTTAAGGCCGAAGCTGACTCGGGCGTCGACGTCCTTTAACCAGTCCTCCAGCCGGCTCTCTGAGAAAAGAAACTCTCTAGGTCACAAAGATCGTCAGCGAAAAAAAGCCTTACCTTCGTAGACGAGCGGCAATATGCCGCGGAAGAGGTGTGCCTGCCGGGCAGTCTGCGCGTTCCTGGTGACAGCGATGATCGGACAACGCGGCCTGTACTTCGACACCAGGTGGGCGGATCGGCCAGAAGTGGTGATCACGATTATGGCGGCGGCCAGGCTTTTAGAGGATGCTTCGACGGCCGCGATGGCGGTCGTGTGCGCTATGTCCATCGGCGGGGACGTCTGCAAAAGGAAAACCTAGAGCCAAGGCGCCGCCACCCTAGGTCCGGACTCACTATGCTCGACAGATCGATGAAGAGTTGCTTCTGCCAGATCGCGGCCTCCGCCTCCTTGGAGATACTCGCCATGGTGGCGACGCATTCCAGCGGGTAGTCGCCCTTGGCCGTCTCGCCGGACAACATGACGCAGTCGGCACCGTCGAGGATAGCATTCGCCACGTCGGAACTTTCCGCCCTCGTCGGTCGCGGTTTCTTAACCTGCAAATCCGGCAGGTTTCAAGTAGCCGACCACGCCCCCCGCCAATCGACCTACCATCGACTCGAGCATCTGCGTCGCGCAGATGACAGGCTTGCCTTGCCGGTTGCAACGCGCGATCATCGCCTTCTGTGCCAAAAACACCTTCTCCGTCGGGATTTCGATGCCGAGGTCGCCGCGGGCCACCATGATGCCGTCAGACGCCTCGATGATTTCGTCCAGGTTCTGCATGCCCTGCTGGTTCTCGATTTTCGAGATGATCATGATTTTTTTGCCTTTGTCGCCTAGGATCGACCGGATTTCGGTGAGGGCGGCGCCGTTACGTATGAACGACGCGAAAATCATGTCCACCTCCTGGTCGACGCCGAACTGCAGATCGGACTTATCCTTCTCGGAGACCGCGGGCAAGTCGACCGGCACCCCGGGCAAGTTGACGCCCTTACGGCTGCCGAGCATGCCTCCGTTTTCGATGGTGCAGGTAAGGAACGAGCCCTGAATGTTGGCCACCACCAGCGAGATCAGACCGTCGTCCACGAATATTCTGTTGCCCGGCTTGACCACTTTCTGGATGTTGTCATAGTCGACGTACACGACGTCCTTGTTGCCTTTCTCGGCGTACGCCTTGTCGGTGGTCAGCTTAATGGTGTCGCCGCGTTTCAGTTCGATTTCGGCCGAGCCGCCCCCTTCAAGCAAGCCGGTACGGATCTCGGGCCCTTTGGTGTCGAGCGCGATCGCGAGCGGATACACCATACCGATTTTCTTGCTGTAATTGGCGACGGCGGCGCGGATGTTTTTGATCGTTTCCGCGTGGTACTCGTGGGACCCGTGGGAGAAGTTTAGCCTGGCCACGTTCATGCCCACCTCCATCATTTTCTCGAGGATGGCGGGGTCTCTGGACGCGGGACCTGGGCAAAGGGACCGACAGGTCTCGCGTGCTACAGGGCACGGAAAAGCGAATACTCACCGATGGTGCATATGATGCCGCTCAGTCGCACGTACGAGGCTCTCGACTCGATGTCGAGGGCGCACATGTGCTCCAGGTGGCTTTTCGCCTCCATGGCCTGCAGCTGGAACGGCAGCACGTTGGAGGTCATCTGGGAAATGTCGAGCCGACGATAAGATTGTCGTTTTACATCGGAGGCGATTTAAGAGCGTGGAAATGCCGTGACGTGCAAAAAAGTTTGACCGAAAGAAACTAAGACAAAGGAACTTCTACGCTAATACGGCACAACACGCAGCAAACATGATGGTGCCGATGAATAAATGTGGAATGGGAACAGACCACTAATCGGTGGATAAAGCGCTGACCGAAAAAAACGAGCAAAAAAAAATCGAAGGGACGCAAATCATTCCAAAGCACAGGCCAAACCTGCGACTGCACATTGGTATCGTTGACGGTGGACCAGACCATGTTTCTGACGAGATGGGGCACGCTATCGGTTCCGTCTATACCACGAAGGTGGTTTTTAATTGTCTCGGGCGTCAGCCGCTTGCATAAGCGCCTTCCACCGCGGCCTAGAATAACCCCCACCATTTGAACGTGCACTTACGGAACTTGAAGGTTTCAAATGCAAGGGGGAAATGCATAGAAAAGTTTTGGGGTTTCAGATTCTGATTAAAATGAAGCCCCGAGATAGAAGCGCGGGTTGCCGCGGCGAATCTTTTGGGGTGGGGTCGGGGTCAAGCGGCGATTTAAAAATAGAGGAAGCGGTATTTTTAGACGGCAGCATCACAGGTAGGTTTGAAAACATTAGCATGTTTCGTTTCTGATAAAAGACCAACTAGTTATAGTAACTACTCAAGCGGCACGCAGTTTATAATTTTAGTATCGCTATCTTATCTCACAGGATGTGGTCCGGTTACCATATACAAAAATGAGACACAATTAATCCCAAAGCAGACATAATTATACATTAACATATAAACCCGGCCTTTCAAATTTAATTACTATATGAAGATTTTGAGCATAAACTGGACAAAATTACCCATATATGTGATATATGAACGCTTATATTCTAACTTTGCCAGCGGAGATGTCAAATAACTATTGCATATATTTTTAAAACTTAAAAGGATGCAGCAATCCGCTATGTGTTTCAAACCGGATAAAATCCTGCCATTTACTCCCACATAAAACTTTGGCAATCAAAATCGATATTTCCCAATCTTTCCGAATATGCTTCGATAATAGACTATTTATAAAAAGATAAGCGAATAATTTATCTAAAATTCGCATTTCAAAATGATCCGTCCACTTTTATGTTAACAATTCACGTGCCAAAAATGTCAGCCGTCGGAGGATGCGGCAAGGACGATTTTTACTGAAATTTCCCGGGCGTGACGCGACTAGCCAAAATGAAAATAAAACCACAATGCGTACCTTTTAGATCAGATCACAGTTAGCACGAGAAAAGTGGAAATTGCACCGAAACTTATTCGATTTATATAATAAACTGACTTACAGACCGGCTACGACAGTCACCGATCGGCGAAAATTGACAATGATCCGACCAGGAAGGACAAGCAAAGGTCACGATAGTTCCAGGTGTTCGCTGAATAAAGGGGGGTTTACAATAAAACGACTACGTTCTCGCAGTAGTTTAAACGTCAAGTTACGCGGACTCCCATCTTAAATCCTTGAAATAATTAAATAAAAAATGCGACTTGTCTTAAAGTTTTGTATTTCACCGTTCAAGTGATGACGTCATTAACAATTTTCTGCATTGCGGCATTCTAATCACATTCACAAGCTAAAGTCTATGTATTATGTCAGTGTAGTGGGCTATGCTAACACCGCAAAACTAAATTCTGTGCGTGAACGACTATTGTGTCGTTTTGAAGTTTCTTCGTTAGAAGGTGAGCACCATGGCACAAGAATGACGTCACCAGACAGGTAGCTCAGACAAAATTCTCCCGAATACGCAATTTTAAGTTTTGCCTTGCGGTGTTTCTTACAATGTAAAAACTCACCCTATTCACGCGTTCAACGGCCTTCATCTTGATCCAAGGGAAAAGAGTATATCACAGATTTAATTTGGGCCGAACGGGCCCAACAGACTCCAACCTCGAGCCAGAGACGACTACCTGCTTGTTACTGCAACAAAACACGCGGAGAGGTCAAAGATACGATAACGCAAGGGCATTTAAGATAACAGCTACGCCTTCAGTGATATGGGAATGGTTTTGACGTGCCTTGCGGCGTGATATTATTAACACAAAAAGGCCTTCAATATCAAGGCGCGAAATTATAAATTAAAATTACCAGATGATTTACCGAATCCGAAACTCAAGTATTTATGACAAAAAATATTACGCCCGAGCAGGGACTTGAACCCTGGACCCTTGGATTAAAAGTCCAATGCTCTACCGACTGAGCTACCCGGGCTTGATGTAAAGATATTCAAAAAGTCGATACCATTCCGCGGGTTGTTAAAAATAACTATTTCAAATGACTGTACACATATAACATCTACTGCGATCGCTAATGAACTCCATTACATTACTATTACTACGTTATGATTGGAATTTCAAAATGTATTAATATAAAACGAGACTTCAGTCACGTGCGCCCTAAAAAAAATCAGGCGGTGATGCCACTAGCATCCAATGGTGTCTATTTGGAGCAAATATTTTAATTTTTCGGCACCATATTTTTTAAGTAACATTAGTGATTTGCTAAAACTATGAAACATTTGGTGCGTTCGGTCGTTTTAAACTTATTCCTAGTTTCTGTCGCGTGCCACCACAGAAGAAAACGATTTCAAAATCAATGCTCTTTATTTAGCGGATAAATTTGGCAACGCGCCTGGAGCTTGACATTAAGGCGGATTCGGATTGATTGTTTATCTTCCCGAATAAGGTTATGTCGTTTTCCCGAAGCCCTTGAGGAAAGGCAGCCTTTGTTCGGGATCGGGTTATGGATAAACGGTGTCAATCTGAAATTTAGTTTGGCGCGGTCTCCCCCGGAATTGTTACATAAATCGTCCGAGCGAGACCTTCGAGACCATGCCGAAATTTTTTGAAAACTCGGTCGTTTTTAATTACAACTGGGAGCAGGTGGCTCAAGCGTTCTGGCAAAGGTATCCCAATCCGAACAGGTAACTAATACGGTTCATTTCGCCGCAACGGCGATGATATTAGGTGAACCGTTACAGCCAACACGTACTGAGCGAGGACACGGTATCGCGGGAAGTGAAGTCCGGTAAACTGTTCACGAAAAGACTTCTCAGCAAAACCAACAACATTCCAAAATGGGCCAAAAACTTCATAAATACCACGTACGTGTACATCGTGGAAGAGAGTGTGGTGGACCCAAAAGCCAAGACATTGATCACTTACACGAGAAACCTGGGCTTCACCAAAATCATGGTAAAAGTTGGGATTCTTTTCGCACTGGTACAATTTGCATGCATCTTTCCCTTTGTAGAGCGTCACCGAGAAGGTGGTCTACACCCAGAGTCCCGACAGTCCGGATAAGACGGTGGCGCAGCGTTACGCCTGGATCGATTCGCAGGTGCGTGGCTTCAGCCGCGCCATCTGCGCCTTCGGCTACGAGCGTTTCAAGAAAAACTCCCAGAAAATGGTGGGCGGCTTCAACTACATTCTTGCCAATTTGTTTCCGCACCAGAACGGTGTCCCGCCTGCGCATGCCACCGCCATCGCCGCGGCGAAACTTAAGGGGGCCGCTAAAAACGCGTCCGATCTGGCGAAATCCAAGGCCGCTCCGATTTATGCGTCGCTGCACCCGAACCAGTCCTAGATTTGGCGCGGGGGTTGTTTTAGAAACCAAAATGGAGCTGGAGCATTTATTTTTTACCACCGTCAACAATTTTTATATTCAAACACAATTGATTCCTGCATTGTTTATTAAAAATACCCTTAGGCGACATAGAGTAGCTTTTTTTATGGGGGCGTGGCCAAACGGACGGTCACCCGATGATAGGCGTTGCCGAGCACGCCCCTTAGGTTCCAAATGTTGGCGAAACTCTCTGGTTGAGTGTTATACGAAGAATCCACAGCTTTCGCCCAAATTTCCGCTTCCTCGGAGCCGCCGACGACTGGTACCCGTACCGACCACAAGGTCCACGCCCAGTGACGCGGCGGCTCGGCCGAATCCTGCACGTCCAAACTGGCCACGTGCCACGTCTCACCCCGATCAGCGCTCACGTCCACTCTGACGATTTTCTGACCCCCACCAGACCAGGCGTAACCTTCGGAAACGCCAGCCGTAGTAGAATGTCTACGAGAATCGGTGAGACAACTCCATGTCCGTTTCCGGTTAATGGTTAAAGTAGACTTTACTGTGGTAATACAAATATTTGTACGAACCGAATGTTTCTGAACCGTCCCGGCATGGTGTTTGAATCGAAACGATTATTTTCACTGATTCTGTTTGGTTTTGATTTAAACCTCTTACTTATTTCTATTTGGTATTAATACTAATTAATTTTTAGGGAAAGGGTTTCCTGCTTCAATAGAATCTCTTGTTTTTTTTTTTAATTTAATTCTCGCAATACTAGCAATCTCTATCGGTTTTGTGTCGCATTATTGCTTTTCATATCTAAAGAATTAGTTATTTTGAATCGTGTTTTTGAGTTAAATGCACAAAAACCTACACAACACGTGCCGATTTTCGGGAGTGAATCAAATTTATTTTTCGACGCCACAGTGATACCCAGCGGCATCGGTAAGTCCTTCACAATTTTTTAATAACGGTATCACTCAAATATTATATTGATTTCGATTTAGTAACTGCCACCAAGTTTTTATAGCTTTAAAAAAAAATCCAATGATCCGGATGTTTCACTAATCCCGATTGCCTCGGTTTTTATTAATCCGGATTACCGAAGCTCTACAGTATATTGAATTTTTTTTTTAAAACATCAAATTTTCCAAAATTGGTTGGAATGAACACAGACTCTATCGTTGAGAACGATAACATTACCGTTGGAACAGTTTTATTTGTTTGAGTTGATACGATGAGTTTTCTGCGACCACATTAAAATATCTACGTACTAAAAAGTACAAAAACATATGTATTATGTAAATGTAATGTATGTAAATGTATTTAGCTGTAATAATACTACTGCTGAAAGTCCCTTCATGTTATTTGGAAGTTCATTTTATCAGTAATAGAACAAAACGCTTAGTAAAAATTTTAAAGGACAGGTTGAAAATTTCATATTAATACCAAACGACATGGTTTTTTGGTACCGGAATATTAGGCATAAGCAAATTTTGAAAAAAAATTACAAAAATAATTTGGAAAAAATGTCGCATCCGTTTTGGACATGGGATCAAAACATTCAAAGAGTTGTCACACCGATTCTCGCAGAGCCTGTTTTTTATGGAGACGCGGTCGAAATGGCCGAAAAATGTTACCTTTAACTGCAATGTGTCCCCTTTCCACTTCGACAGTATCGCCGTCGCAGGGTTTACATATCGCGGAAATGACGGGCAGTTCTTGTATGGCGGGAGATTTTTTAAAATCGACGGTATCCCAGTCGGTCGATGGCGAAAAGCCCTTATAGTCGTTCTGCTGCCAGTGAGAGCGGCTCTCTTTTTCCGACACCACGACTTTAGCTGCACGAAAAAATAAAAAATAACCTAATCTCACTTTTGCTGGCAAAGATACTGAGCCTGGGCGAATGACCTTTGAAATCGTGCCCAACGAGTTACGAGAAAAGAAGACGTACTGAGCCATTTGACGTTCCTGGCGCCAACCACCCCCGGCACTAGGACCCTGATGGGGAACCCGTGGTCTCTGGGGATCGGGACGCCGTTCATCTCGTAGGCGAGTAAGACATCGCCCCGCGCCGCGACCGCCCTCCACAAAGGGATAGACGCCCCATAATTGTTAGCGGCGACGTCGAAATCGGCCCCCTCAAACTGAAACCCGAGTCGGACGAAGAAAATCTATATTTGAGCTGGGCCCGTACCTGAACATGTTTCAGTTTTTCTTCGTTCTCGGTCACGCCCACACGCTCGAGGACGTCGCGAAGTCGCACGCCCGTCCACGTGGCGTTGCCTATCGCGGCAGCGCCCCAATTCAAACCTTTTACGGGCTTTATCTGCGAAACTCGGCTGATGAACATGGGCTCGATCGAAACTGAAGAACCTACCTTTGTCATTTCACTTCTGCGATTACCCGCGCACATGATGGTAGCGGTTATGGTGTGTCTCGGTAGTCTTTTGAGGTCCTCGAGGGTCAATGTTAACCATCGATTGTGTCCCTCCACTTCCACCTCGAGCGCGTAAGATTTGGGGTCTATGTCGGGCACCGGGAGGTGATTTCTCACGTAAAAAAGCTCGCTGTAAACAAGACATCCAAAGGCGAGCTCGACACAATGCAGGTATTCAATTTACTTGGGGGTGATAAAGTTTTCGCAAAGCAAAACGAGAGGTGATTCCGCGTTGAAGGGTTTAACGCTTGCCGGTTTTAGAATTACGTGTCTTTTGGGGTCGTTTGCGTACGGGTCGTCCATGTCGCTGGTCATTTGGTCTTGATCCTGCTTAGAGAGGTTACCAATCCTCATAGTTTCCAAAATTTCGTAGACGTGCTCGTTTTCATGTATCCCGTAGAGCATCCAGAAAGGCTCTACCGAGCTACCGGCGGCCATCATTATTTGGTCCCCGCCCGGGTGTCCCTCGATAAAATCGGTAATGTCGTATACGCCTTCTTTGTAGGTTACCCATATCCGATTATCGCTAAAATGAAATCGCACTTATGAAAAACAGTAAAAAGAAGGCGAACAAATAATTACTTTGCTGTGTGCTTATCTACTTCGTCTAGAGAATAGATTGGTAAATCCTCCCGAAATTTTCCTGCTCGGGCTTGCGCCCCAAATCCTGTTTTTTTACGTTCCGCAATTGCAACATTTTTTTGTTTATAAACTGAAACTAATTTTTGAGACCTCAAGGGGATCAAAAATACGTGCACTGCTCACAATAAAAATAACCCCCAAAAATACCGGCCACTAACGAACCAATCAGAATTTTTTCTTTGCCCTTACTATCGGTTCGGTCATTTTTAGGGTTTTTATCATGAAACTGACTCAACACGCTCCGATATTGCTTTTGACTTATCGTAAGTAGTCGTAGAGTACTAGAAAAAGGCAAGCTTAAATCAGAAAAAAAGGAATAGCAATTCAGTAAACGCTGACCACAATCTACGAAACATTCTTTCCGAACTTTCGCGAATAACTGTTTTTTTTCTAGCCTTGATAAGGTCCAAATAAGACAGTCCATCCAAAACTCGTTGTGCTTTGGAGGTCAAGGTCGTTCACCCGTTGCTTAATTTGTTGCGGTCGCATTTAAAGATAAACAAAATTGCAGATATCCCAATTTTTCGGAAACAATTGCTTAGTTCAACTTGGCGCCCGTTCTTTCGATGATTGCTGTCAAATTATGATTTAATTTATTATAACTTCTAACGAGGCATCAACAAAAGTTCTTATCTTTTTCTCGTTTCGCATAGATAACCGACACAATCCCAATTACTTAATTGATGATAATATATTGCAGGTCCCTGTTATATTACATTAACATAAACGAACGGCCATGATTGCATCTAGGGTCCAACTAACCTTGTTGGTTACCATGCCAAATGTCAAAGTAGTTTCTGAAATTTTAGAGGAAAGTTGTTTTTTTGTACTTTCAAAGGAACGTTGTTGCTTGACATCGAAAGCGTTTCTTTCGTTGTTCTGGATCGGAAAATGACCACGGTCTGTGTATTATGAATGTCGGATTTTTCTCGCACGGTACGTAAACGGCAATACATCGCCGTGGGGTGTGGTAAACTCGAACTCCCTTTAGGGAGTTCAAGCAAAGAGTCGGGCGCGGTAAGCGACGGGGACACCATGGCGGAACTGGCGGCCCTGCTCCGGTCGGAAATCCCGGAGGGACGCAGCAATCTCACCGACAACCACACCAATCTGCAACGGGTGGCGGAATACTGCGAGGCCAACTACTTCCAGACCGACAACAAGCGCGGAGCGCTTGAAGAAACCAAGAATTACACCACCCAGTCACTCGCGAGCGTTGCCTATCAAATAAACACCTTGGCGTACAATTTTTTGCAGCTACTAGAGATGCAGGTCAGACCATAAAGCTATTAGATAATAGTACGGCAAAAAGTGGTTATGATATTTTCTTAGAAATGGGGATGATCTTCCGCTCCAACTTAACCACGAACCCGCACTTTGCTCCATAAATGAAAATTTTTGGTTAAAAATGGGATACCTTTTTATAGCTTCTAGTAGCTTTTCCACTTAGTTTGCGCGACGGATGCTAAAAAAATCTCTTTTAGTCTGTCCAGTTGGCAGAAATGGAAAGCCAGATGAACCATATATCCCAGACGGTTATGATACACAAGGAGAAAGTGGCGAGAAGAGAGATCGGGGTACTGACAGCGAACAAGTCAACAAACAGACAGTATAAGATTATCGCGCCGGCCAATCCCGAAAAACCAATCAAGTACCTGAGGAAGCCCATCGATTACACAAGTAAGTGCCTTTTGCGAGTTACTAGTGCCTGACGCTCGTGGTAGTTTTCGACGACATAGGTCACGGGGTTCGTAGTGGTGGCACACCCCGCCAGAAACAGAGGGGATCCAGCTCGGGCAGCATACATTCCGTGAATTCGCTCCAGGGCAACCCCCTGGTCGGCCCCGCGCCCACCACCAAACCTCCCACGCCGCCCCAAGTTTCGCGAACCTCCAGCAAAGGTAAAGTGTACATTTAATGTGACATTGGGGGTCCCAATTTAATATTTTGGTCAGTGTCGGTGTCGGGCGGTACACTCAGCAAGGGAAGCCGCGAGTACCGCACACCGCCGGCCGTCGCCCCGCCTCAGGTGCCCAGCCACTATGCTCCCAATTACCCTATAGGGCATCCGCGGAGGGAGCGGGGGCCAGGTTATAGCGCCTTGCCCATAGCTAACCAGCAGCCCCAGGTGGGCATGGTGCACCCGATGACGCAACAGCAGCAGGTGGTGCAGCCGCAGACGCCGCCCCCACCGCCGCCGCTGAACCAGGCACAGGGAATGTACGGCCAAGAGTTGCATGTTATGCCGCGTAAGTGGAGAGGGTGAAAAGGTCAGAGCGTTCGGTCATGGGCACGTGTGTCGTTTCCAGCTCCCCCTTCTCCCTTAATCAACAGCCAGGAGATGGTGTTGAGCTCGAACCAGCACCATCCGATGATAATGGGCGGCCACCATGGGCCCGTGCCCCACGGCAGCCTAGGGATGCACACCCTATCTCATGCTCAGGGTCACCGCATGTCTCAAGCCCTTCAGCAGCAGTTGCAGGCGGCTAGAGGCGGCGGGTCTCAGTCGCCGCCGTTGCCGCCGCCCCCGCCCCCTGAGGACGAGCACGAGGCGTTCGGCAGGCCTCGCAACTCGTCGTCGGGCGTCATGCCGATCGTGCCCGATGAGGAGGACTTGCCGGGGTGGGTGCCGAAGAATTATATCGAGAAAGGTGAGCAGTGGAGGCGTTGCCGGAGGATCTGAATTTGTCATTATTATTTTTTCACCAGTGGTCGCCATCTATGACTACTACGCAGACAAAGACGACGAGTTGAGTTTCCAGGAGAGTTCCGTAATTTACGTGTTAAAGAAAAACGACGACGGATGGTGGGAGGGAGTAATGGATGGCATCACGGGGCTATTTCCCGGCAACTACGTGGAGCCTTGCGTTTGAAAGTGGCCCTGTTGTGTTTTGTGTCCCCACCGATCGCGCATTATTCGCTGTTATGTATACACTTTAATTACTGCCGAAAACGTTACATTTAAAAATTAGTTGAAGGATATAATGCTTTAGTGGTTATTTTTGTCTGCATTTGCGACGTCATATATTCCTGTATACAAGAAAATAAATGTATTATATAAATACCCGAACCGCTTTTTCTTGCAATCTTAAAATCCCACCCCCGCAAAATAAAAATTGCAACGAAATATGTCGCCCGATAGTTTATTGCTCGTTTCCAAATCTAGCGATTCCACTAAGACACCTTGCTTCTGTTTTCAATTAATCCAGTTGAAATAGACGTCATTTGGTCGACATATAACACTAACAAACTCCTTCACTCATTAAATTTAGTGCATTTCAATGGGGTACGTCTCTTTAAAATTACCAAATTATTGCTAAATGTACTTACATGTTTCATTTCAAAACCCCAACACCCGACGATCATGCGACTTCCTAAGTCACTTTCATTTATTGTCACAATAAAAGCAGCCACTACAAAAAAAAAGCGCGCTCACATATTCGAGTTTCAGCAATCTTAAAAACCGCGATGACCGCAAAGAAAATTAAAACCGTACCAGAGAATCTTCCCGAGTTGCGCGAACGCCGCACCCTCTATCGGACGTTTTGCACACGCGATGTGAGAGACAGCCTTTTCTTTTCTAATAACCAGTTTTACTAAAAAAATTACCTTACAGTTCTGTGATTATTACTTTACGAGATATAGGCACTTACCTCTCTTAATTGGCAATCGCAAAAAAGCGCAGCAAAGCTATGCCAAATTTATGCTTTTGTTTTGGTACTTTGGGATACTGTGTTAGTTTTCTTCTCCTAAACAAATTGAAAGTAATTCTTTGGCACTATTTTAGCAGCTAGTAAGAAAATCACCGACCATTCGAATTATCAATACTTTATTTCACAGCATTTAACAAATTTGTTCATGTTTTTATAAATATCAAGACATCCAAGTATTAACGTGATGTCAACTTGCATGATATATTTTACTATTTATTAAAAAAAAAACATAATTAGGGTATAAGGTGTCTCCTATATGATATCAAAGCTTATTATTTATAAAACTGCATTTGTCAATCTAGTTTGGTTTAATTGCTTGCTGTGCGCCGCGCCCGTAGGCAACCAGGAATACGGACGCGCACGGCAGACTGGCGATCGGCGCAAAACAAACACCGCGCGCTTCAGCGGAAAACAAACGGACAAGCACGAGCCAGTCGGACACAAACAGTTGATTGTGTGGTGTACGTAGGTCGGTCGCGCGAGTGCCAACCTGTTTCCCGCGAAAGAAAACTATGCACGCGAATTTCCGTTCGACCACAGACGCGTGTCGATCGGAAAACCCATGAGAAAAATGAATTGTCGTGCCGTCGGTGCCGTAAAATGTTCACGCGGGATTTCCTCTCGCGCTGCCGCTGGTGTGTCGTGTTTGTTGTGTTCTTCGCGCGCCACCACGTTCACTCCACACCGTTAGATCCCGTTCGACGTGTGTCGGCGGCAGGTAAATGCATTTCATTGACAAACCACCATCGCCATTGTTTCTACGCTGGTCCGATATTCGAAGCAGGTTTTTGGCTAGGACGCTGCATGTTAAATAGTCTTGTAAACTACTGGATACCGAATTCAAAGGTCGGAGATGTACGGAATTCAATCGTAAAAATGCTTCTCGTCGTGTTTTGACTTTTGCTCGTAATCCATCCGGTGTTGTCAAGTTACATGGGAAAACATATCGTGACGTACTAAGTTGTCTTCAATGTAAGCAAGCGGTTTGATTTCGACATTGAGCTGAAGGCTGTTTTCGATTTTTAACGATCGGTGTTGGGATTAAACACAATAATCGGAAATATGACGGTTTTATAACTTTATTTATGAGTGGCGATGCGAAAACGGTGGTTAGGTAGGGCAGGCCAAATAGTTTCGTGGTGAATGCGGATGCCCCGGAGATCACACATTGCCGCGTCAGTATGCTGACGATGGGTTTCCCATATTAAGCGGTACATTTTGGAGCATTTGCGGTGACCCAAAGAGGCGCGTTCTGTTTGGGTCAGCGAGCCGGTGCTCGTCTAACTGTGTTTTTCGTTTGCTGAAATGCGAAATACACGCCCGACCACGTACCGAGGGATTGCATCTCCGGTTCCTAATAAATAGCCGGTTTAAGTGGTTTACAAACTACTTTAACGGTTTAGCTTAGACGTGAACATTTTAGTGGTTCGCCTCTAATTTCTGTGAAAGGTCAAGTTCCCAAGCAGGCCGATATTGGTCTAGTTAGAATAACTTTTTTGTAGTATGACGGCAAATACTGTGCCGATATTTTTTTAATGACATGACTTAAATTCCTCCCCTCAAGGTAGATATTGTGAAACTACCGACTTTTATTTTCTTTGTTCCCCTCCCTTATCGCGGCGGTTGTAACCAGTGGCAACGTTGCCAGTTATTGCGTTTCGTTTTTCACCGAGAATAGTCATCGAGAGTCGGTAAATTACATATTCCGGTAATCCTGCAGTTTACGTATTTAATAGATGGGGAAGTTTTAACTGCGGTCGTCGAACGACGTCTGGCTGCACGGTGTTGCCGGACTGCGTTATTTATTCGATTTTACGAGGAAGTAACACAAAATAGCGAAATTGTGGCTGTTTCATGAAAAATTCGAAAATTGGCAATGATTGGCAGTAATGGTTTTTCTATTTCACTTTTGAAATTAATGCATAAATCGAACATAATGGGTCGAAAATGTTAGTGTTAAGCTCTGAAGAAGCCAACATGATGATTGGTTTTACGTCAGCAAGTAAGGAAGGAGAAACCCAGAAAGAAGATTTTTAAATATAACAAATGTGTTTACTTTAGGTACATCAGTCACCAAAACACGGGTGACGTAATAACGATTAATTAACTCATAAAAGCTGAAGTGATTCAAAATTGTATTTTATATTATAATTTAAAACTGTGTTATATTCTTAGTTAAATTACATAAACAAGATTTGCCCATTAGACCAGTCGTGTCTTATGTAACGGCTCTAGCAGTTAAACTCTCAACAAAATTAGTAAATATTTGGATGTGATAGATTTAGTAGATTTCACCCTCACTCGGAAACAGATTAACCCCATTGGTGAAACAAGATTTATTAGATTGCTTAATAGCATCTTTAGACCAAAATTATTTTGAATTTAATGGACAGATTTCATCTCTAAGGAAGGTTTGATTATGGGAAACCCACTTAGTCCTTTGTTAGCCGAGATTTTTATGGATAATTTGGAAAATACCATACTTACATATACATACTACATCCTTTAAACAAAAGTTTTCTATGGTGGTATAAATACGTGAATGATGTCTTTGCTTGCTTTGTCGGAAAGGACAGACAATTGAATTCTTTTTTAAAATACATTAGAGATTGAACAGGATAACTCTATTAATTTTTTAGACTTAACTATTATTTATACACACAAAATGGCTGCATTTCACTCTTTTATACACAGACTTCTTAATACGCAACTCTCAACAGAAAATTACAACAAAGAACTTAATATCATTAAACAATTGCAATGAACAATCAGTATATTATCGATAAAATTATAAATAAAAAACAAATCCAGATAACAGTAAACTCTATTTATCTAAAACCTAATACAGAACACGAAATTTAAAACAATTACATATATAGGAGAATCCTGTGAAAAACTTTCAAAACATTTGTCAAAATGTGGTTTAAAAATAACTTTCAGAAATCACACAATAGGAGGATTTTTAAAAAACAATAAAACAAAGTGTCCAAAATCTCAAAAATCAGGTGTCTACAAGTTGAAATGCGGATCATGTCCTAAAATTTATATTGGATAAACAGGTATTAGATCTTTCAAGAATCGAATTAGTTTAGATTCTAATTATGCAATTTGATATTTTTTGATATTTTACATACAGCCACAAAAGCCATGGAGCTATGGAGATTAACAAAATGAGACATTGAAATGTATTGATTGCTTAACGATCAATTAGATTTAAATACGTCTCCATTATTAAACTTAAATTCTCACAACATTAATTAAGGTTTTATTTTCATTTTTCGGTATATATAGTAGCGGGTAGTTTGTAAATATTACATTTGATAAAGACACGGTGTTGTTGAAACAATTGTCACTTGAATATATATAATTTCGTGAAAATTTGAACTTTTAGTTCTTATTTATTTTGTTAAGTGGATTTTCATCAAGTAAAAAGTAAGAAATACGTAAACGGTAGGATTACCCATTTTCCTGTGAAATACACAAACAGTGAAAAAAAAGTCCCATCCTCCGCGCTTCTCGAAGCCGCAAATGTCTGTTGTCGTCGCCACAACAAACTGACATTTCCGTCAAAATGGCCGATTGTTGCGGGTCAGAGGGTCAGGCGCGACGCGTGCCGCGCCCCCCGAACGCGTTCATGCTCTACGCGAACGAAAATCGAAAAAACATGGCGTACCTGTACCCCGCGGACTCGAATAAGGAGATCAGCAAGCGTCTCGGGCAGGGATGGAAGGCTCTGAGTCCGACGTCTAAGCATGGATACTTCCAACGCGCGAAAACCATCGACACGGAGCATAAGAGAAAGTATCCGGACTACGTGTACAACCCCAAGGAGGCGAGGATACGGAAAGCGCTGCGTGAGGCAGTGAAAGAGAAAGGAAGCGGTGCGCCTTCGGCGACGACTTCCACGTCCGACACCTCGGCGGCGGAAATCGAGGCCCCGCGCGGCGGCGACGGCAGATACCCGCCCCTATATCGGACGGAGTACAGCCAGTCGCCTGAGCTGTTCGCCAACAGCGCGAAGTATCACCGGGATTACATCGTCAAGTACTTCCAGAGCGTGCCCGAGTATGATATAATGAATGTCACCACTGAGGACGGGTTCAGCTTCCCCTACGTGACCATTCCGAAGATGAGGCTCAGACAAGGTCCGACTCAGCGACAGCAGCAGTGGGACTGAGGACGCAGGGGGTGCCGTCGACCTTTAGGGGGGTTGCTTAACTCTCGCTTGCTTGCCGATAGAGATAACTTTAACTTTAACTTAACGAGTGAGTTCGGGGGCGTGGGATACTCTTGTGTTTTTGTTTTCGATTTGAATTAAATATAACGGATTAGGAAACCAGGCGATCCGGAGTTATTTATTTTAAATTAGGTGCGTTGCCATTTGAGTCGACCGTCATCGACCAAAAAGGTGTGTGTATAGTGTTAAAATCTCTCGAGATATACAAGGGTCATTTGAAAAGTTGCCGACATAACAATGACCCAAGACATTTTTTTTATATTTCTTCTGCATAGTCTCCTTGTACCTCTATACACTTCTCCTAGCGATCCTCCCATCCAAATAGTACCCAGCGTTTTTCTCCTCAACACGATTCTTCACTAGGGTGATTGCCTCCTCACTTAACAAAAATACCCGTCCACCGAGCGCAGTTTGCAGATGAGGGAACAACAGAAGTCGCTTGGGGCTAGATCTGGTGAGTGAGGCGGATGAAACACGATTTTTTTTTGGCAAATGTGGCCCTTTTTCCGCAATTTCTGCCCTCAGCGTGTCAAGTAACGACGCGTATTATGTTTCTGTAATGGTTTCTCCTTTTTGAAGGTAATCGATTAAGATGACTCCATGGCTATCGCGAAAAACGCTCGCCACAATATTATCGTCGTTAGTTACAGTTTTTGGACGTCTCCAATGTTCATAATTTCGTAAGCTTTTACGGTCCCTTTTAAATTCCGGTGCCCAAAATTTCACTGTTGTAAATGCTGGTGTAAAGTCTTCATACACAGAGTCCAACTCGTAGGCGTATAGCCTTCCAAAAACAAATACTTTATAACAGCTCTATACTCAATTTTTTCCATTCACTTAAACGGCTATTAACTAAACACCACGCGCTCAAAATGACTTTGGTATGTAACTATCATACTAAGTACGTGAGGTGGAAAACATTTCGAATGGCCCTCGTAAAAAGGGGCTGTCATTATTTAGCATTGCAAATTCCTTTGTTTTTATTATGTTTTATTATGCGGGTTTGAGTCAATTTATGGGTTTTGCCTATTGTTATGCAATCAAAAACTATTAAAATAAATGGATTTTATTGTGACGGGATAAAAAATTTGCGTTGTAATAGTGGGATCCTTATTTTTTATTTAACATTATACAGTAATTAAATTATAAAAACCCACTATATTTGACTTACGAGTTCATTGGGCACGAGCGGAGCGAGCGCTTAATTTACGAGTGATATAAACGTGTTGCATACTATACATTTTCTACGACCGTCACGAAAAAATCACAATTTAACAAATTAAAAATAATAACAGATTATCGGATTACCAAATTTCGATCCATTCAAACAAAATATTTACTAGTTGCCACTAAACCTATTCTGCCATTGTTGTCTCTTTTTAACTGTGTACGTTAGACAGAAAGATGTATTAACGGATATGTTAATTTTTTTAACTTTTGCAACTGATCATTAAGTAGTTTATTTTTTAAAAAAGGGCCGT